CTGTGAAAAGAGACAAAGATGGACACTACATAATGATCAAAGGATCAATCCAAGAAGATATAACAATTATAAATATATATGCACCCAACATAGGAGCACCGCAATATGTAAGGCAAACGCTAACGAGTATGAAAGAGGAAATTAATAGTAACACAATAATAGTAGGAGACTTTAATACCCCACTCACAACTATGGATAGATCAACTAAACAGAAAATGAACATGGAAGCACAAACTTTAAAGGACACAATGGACCAGCTAGACCTAATTGACATCTATAGGACGTTTCACCCCAAAACAATCAACTTCACCTTTTTCTCAAGTGCACACGGAACCTTCTCCAGAATAGATCACATCCTGGGCCATAAATCTAGTCTTGGTAAATTCAAAAAGATTGAAATCATTCCAGTCATCTTTTCTGACCACAGTGCAGTAAGATTAGATCTTAATTACAGGAAAAAAATTATTAAAAATTCAAACATATGGAGGCTAAACAACACGCTTCTGAATAACCAACAAATCATAGAAGAAATCAAAAAAGAAATCAAAATATGCATAGAAATGAATGAAAATGAAAACACAACAACCCAAAACCTATGGGACACTGTAAAGGCAGTGCTAAGGGGAAGATTCATAGCATTACAGGCCTACCTCAAGAAACAAGAAAAAAGTCAAATAAATAACCTAACTCTACACCTAAAGCAACTAGAGGAGGAAGAAATGAAGAACCCCAGGGTTAGTAGAAGGAAAGAAATCTTAAAAATAAGGGCAGAAATAAATGCAAAAGAAACTAAAGAGATCATAGTAAAAATTAACAAAGCTAAAAGCTGGTTTTTTGAAAAAATAAACAAAATTGACAAACCATTAGCAAGACTCATTAAGAAACAAAGGGAGAAGAACCAAATTAACAAAATTAGAAACGAAAATGGAGAGATCACAACAGACAACACTGAAATACAAAGGATCATAAGAGACTACTACCAGCAGCTCTATGCCAATAAAATGGACAACTTGGAAGAAATGGACAAGTTCTTAGAGAAGTATAACTTTCCAAAATTGAACCAGGAAGAAATAGAAGATCTTAACAAACCCATCACAAGCAAGGAAATCGAAACTGTAATCAGAAACCTTCCAGCAAACAAAAGCCCAGGACCAGATGGCTTCACAGCTGAATTCTACCAAAAATTTAGAGAAGAGCTAACACCTATCTTACTCAAACTCTTCCAGAAAATTGCAGAAGAAGGTAAACTTCCAAACTCATTCTATGAGGCCACCATCACCCTAATTCCAAAACCAGACAAAGATGCCACAAAAAAAGAAAACTACAGGCCAATATCACTGATGAACATAGATGCAAAAATCCTTAACAAAATTCTAGCAAACAGAATCCAACAACATATTAAAAAAATCATACATCATGACCAAGTGGGCTTTATCCCAGGAATGCAAGGATTCTTTAATATCCGCAAATCAATCAATGTAATACACCACATTAACAAATTGAAAGATAAAAACCATATGATTATCTCAATAGATGCAGAAAAAGCCTTTGATAAAATTCAACATCCATTTATGATTAAAACTCTCCAGAAAGCAGGAATAGAAGGAACATACCTCAACATAATAAAAGCTATATATGACAAACCCACAGCAAGCATCACCCTCAATGGTGAAAAACTGAAAGCATTTCCCCTGAAATCAGGAACAAGACAAGGGTGCCCACTCTCACCACTACTATTCAACATAGTTTTGGAAGTTTTGGCCACAGCAATCAGAGCAGAAAAAGAAGTAAAAGGAATCCAGATAGGAAAAGAAGAAGTGAAACTCTCGCTGTCTGCAGATGACATGATCCTCTACATAGAAAATCCTAAAGACTCTACCAGAAAATTACTAGAGATAATCAACGAATACAGTAAAGTTTCAGGATATAAAATTAACACACAGAAATCTCTTGCATTCCTATACACTAACAATGAGAAAACAAAAAGAGAAATTAAGGAAACAATACCATTCACCATTGCAACAAAAAGAATAAAATACTTAGGAATATATCTACCTAAAGAAACAAAAGACCTATACACAGAAAACTATAAAACACTGATGAAAGAAATCAAAGAGGACACAAACAGATGGAGAAATATACCGTGTTCATGTATTGGAAGAATCAATATTGTCAAAATGGCTATACTACCCAAAGCAATCTACAGATTCAGTGCAATCCCTATCAAACTACCAACGGTATTTTTCACAGAACTAGAACGAATAATTTCACAATTTGTATGGAAATACAAAAAACCTCGAATAGCCAAAGTAATCCTGAGAAAGAAGAATGGAACTGGAGGAATCAATCTGCCTGACTTCAGACTATACTACAAAGCCACAGTCATCAAGACAATATGGTACTGGCACAAAGACAGAAATATAGATCAATGGAACAGAATAGAAAGCCCAGAGATAAATCCACGAACCTATGGTCACCTTATCTTTGACAAAGGAGGCAAGGATATACAATGGAAAAAAGACAACCTCTTTAACAAGTGGTGCTGGGAAAACTGGTCAACCACCTGTAAAAGAATGAAACTAGAACACTTTCTAACACCATACACAAAAATAAACTCAAGATGGATTAAAGATCTAAATGTAAGACCAGAAACTATAAAACTCCTAGAGAACATAGGCAAAACACTCTCCGACATAAATCACAGCAGGATCCTCTATGACCCACATCCCAGAATTTTAGAAATAAAAGCAAAAATAAACAAATGGGACCTAATGAAACTTAAAAGCTTTTGCACAACAAAGGAAACTATAAGCAAGGTGAAAAGACAGCCCTCAGATTGGGAGAAAATAATAGCAAACGAAGCAACAGACAAAGGATTAATCTCAAAAATATACAAGCAACTCCTCCAGCTCAACTCCAGAAAAATAAATGACCCAATCAAAAAATGGGCCAAAGAACTGAACAGACATTTCTCCAAGGAAGACATACAGATGGCTAACAAACACATGAAAAGATGCTCAACATCACTCATTATCAGAGAAATGCAAATCAAAACCACAATGAGGTACCATTACACGCCAGTCAGGGTGGCTGCTATCCAAAAGTCTACAAGCAATAAATGCTGGAGAGGGTGTGGAGAAAAGGGAACCCTCTTACACTGTTGGTGGGAATGCAAATTAGTACAGCCACTATGGAAAACAGTGTGGAGATTTCTTAAAAAGCTGGAAATAGAACTGCCATATGACCCAGCAATCCCACTTCTGGGCATACACACCGAGGAAACCAGATCTGAAAGAGACACGTGTACCCCAATGTTCATCGCAGCACTGTTTATAATAGCCAGGACATGGAAGCAACCTAGATGCCCATCAGCAGACGAATGGATGAGGAAGCTGTGGTACATATACACCATGGAATATTACTCAGCCATTAAAAAGAATTCATCTGAATCAGTTCTAATGAGATGGATGAAACTGGAGCCCATTATACAGAGCGAAGTAAGCCAGAAAGATAAAGACCATTACAGTATACTAACACATATATATGGAATTTAGAAAGATGGTAACGATAACCCTATGTGCAAAACAGAAAAAGAGACTCCTATGTATAGAACAGACTTGTGGACTCTGGGAGAAGGCGAGGGTGGGATGTTTCAAGAGAACAGCATTGAAACACGTATATTATCTAGGGTGAAACAGTTCACCAGCCCAGGTTGGGTGCATGAGACAAGTGCTCGGGCCTGGTGCACTGGGAAGACCCAGAGGGATCGGGTGGAGAGGGAGGTGGGAGGGGGGACCGGGATGGGGAATACATGTAAAAAAAAAAGATACACTATGGTTGTGATAAAAAATAAATAAATAAATAAATAAATAAAATTAAAAAATAAAACCATTAAAAAATTAAAAAAAAAAAAAAAGATCACAAAATAAATACTAATTACTCAATTCCTCATCTTCATGAAAGAAAGTGAAAGTGTTAGTTGCTCAGTTGTGTCTGACTCCTTGCGACCCTATGGACTACAGCCCACCAAGCTTCTCTGTCCATGGGATTCTCCAGGCAAGAATACCAGAGTGGGTTGCCATTCCCTTCTCCATGGGATCATCCCAACCCAGGGACTGAACCAAGGTCTCCTGCATTGCAGGCAGATTCTTAACTGTCTGAGCCACCAGACTCAAATCATGCTAAGGGCCTTTCAGGTAACAGAAAATAATTACCTAAATAGCCAATGACACATTCTTGGCCACACTGAAGAGTGAAAACTGAACCGTTTTTTAACCAGGCCCAGACTCCCGACTAAAGAGGCAAGGAGTGGGGACAAAGGGTGGCCTTAGCCATCTGTTAATAACTCCTGAACTTGTGACCTGTAATGATGGGAGATATCATGTCTCCTAGTGTTAAGGATATTTTAAGGGGACAGTCTTGACCACTGTGAATTTCAATCACCTTAGTTGCCTTAGGAAAACATTTTTTGAGCAGTGAGCCCTTGACATAGAGAATGCCTATGTATTTCAGTTCAGTCGCTCAGTCGTGTCCAACTCTTTGCGACCCCATGAATTGCAGCACGCCAGGCCTCCCTGTCCATCACCAACTCCCGGAGTTTACTCAAACTGATGCCCATCGCGTCAGTGATGCCATCCAGCCATCTCCTCTGTCATCCCCTTCTCCTCCTGCCTTCAATCTTTCCCAGCATCAGGGTCTTTTCAAATGAGTCAGTTCTTCGCATCAGGTGGCCAAAGTTTTGGAGTTTCAGCTTCAGCATCAGTCCTTCCAATGAACACCCAGGATTGATCTCCTTTAGGATGGACTGGTTGGATCTCCTTGCAGTCCAAGGGACTCGTAAGAGTCTTCTCCAACACCACAGTTCAAAAGCATCAATATTTCGGCGCTCAGCTTTCTTTACAGTCCAACTCTCATGTCCATACATGACCACTGGAAAAACCATAGCCTTGACCAGACGGACCTTTTGTATTTAGAGTATATCAAATATCAAGTTTACTTACCCTACTGTCTCTGTATATATCGAATACAACTGCAAAGGATAAAAAACTCAGAGTTAGTAACGAAGTACTATTTGCATGATCAAAGCCTCCTTTGACAATTAAAATGCATTTTATTATAAGTTACTCAAACAGCAGGATATATTTGGCTTTGAGGACTTCATGCTTCTTCTACATCTCAAAACTTCAAACATAAAAAGGCATCCTGCAATGTTTTACTTAATGTAATTTTGCTTTCCTTTTCTCTGTCTTCAGCCATAATCCCTTATATTTAAAAATTCAAAAACATAAATGAATAAAAATTCAAACCAAACACCAACATCTTCTCAACCCATTCATCATTAGAGACAGGTGATCTGTCACAGTGAAAGGAAACCACTTACTATCTGATGGGGAATAAAATGGGTAAAACCTGCACTAGGAAAGCACAAAACCTAGGCATGCTCAGGGCACAAGTCCTCCTTTTTAAAGTCAAACCTGCCACAGGGACCAAGCTTGGCAGGCAGAAAAACGTCAACCACAGCAGATATAATCTGACAATGCATGAACACTCCAATATACTTTCAGTTCTTTTTAACACAAGTGATTATTGTGCAGCTGGTGCTATCTGATCACTCAAATAAAATCTAGAAAGGTAGATCAGTCAACTAGCTAATTTACTCCTAATAACAGAAGCGTTTGGTTCTCTGTAGACAGACCCTTTGAAATGTGTAGAAAATATCTCAAATGACAGGACAGAGAAATTGTCTCAGTCTTAAAAAGGGATTCTGGTTAAATAAGGTAAAATTAACATGCAAACCCATCAGCACTACCATAATATAGTAAAATGCTTAAAAACATAGTGATTCGAATCCAGTTTTAAAATATACACCACCATGAAATGAGGTCCAGTAACATTATGCATTTCATTTCACTAGGTCAATAAAAAGATACTCACACACACACACACACAAAGATACTCACAATCTTCATCTAAGAATTTATACTGTATGTGTTTCCTGAAAAAATCTTGTATGCATCTGCAAATCTCTTCTTTTTGTTTAGAAATATGATCATAATATTGTGTGTAGTCCCTCTGAGAAATACCTGATGAGAAAATATTTTAAATTTTGTTATTACACAACATTCTTTTCAAAAACACCAAAATGTGATTTTAAAGGTCTTTTTTAGGGAACCATTAAAGTAGATCAGATGAATGGAATCGCACATTAGTCAGTATTTTATATAAAGCTTATCAGTTGTAAAGGTTCATAAGGCCAGGTGAGCCCTAAAATGCCATAGTGCCATGCTTACTTCAGAAACGGCAGTTATTTTTATTTAGTACAATGGGAAGAATTCAAAGTTATGAAAATGTTTGCTATGTAAAAAATGAAAGAAGCAATTTTAAACCTACCCACATAGTCATCTGCTTCTTCTTTGATTTTTCCAATGGCCTCTCTAAAAACTGGCCTTCTTTTCACTTTCTTTGGGAAAATGTTAAATACCCCTCACCACACATCTTCCATTTTCATACTGCACTTCAGAGAAGCATCTAGAACAAGCATTTTCCTTGTTCATACATGCTATCCTTCCTTCACAAGCTCCATGTTTTAAACCATGGAAAAGTAAACATTCCTTTCTTCAGAGTGACTTGCTGACATTATTCAAAAAACACTAAAGGGAGTATTCTAAGAACTCCTTCAATCTGCCCTAGGCCTAGAAGACAGTTTTCTACTCTGAAAGAAACACCTCCAGCTAAGTACCTCTTCTTTAGCTATACTTTGGATTTCAGTGTTTCCTTCAGGGATACATAACAATACATTAAATCCAAACACACCCAGGGTACAGCAGGCAAGTTAAACGTTGACATCTCATTCAATAAATAAATAGTGTGGATCTGATTCTGTTCAAATCACACTCTTCTTGAGAGTGTGAAAGTCTTGAAAGTTGAGGTTGAAAGTCAATTTTACCTCACGGAAAATGTGCTTAGACAAAATAAGGGCAAATTAGCTTCAATATTTAACATGAATAGATCACAGCAGACAAAACGATGTCTGAGAGGAAAGAAAATGGGTGGCTTTTACAGTAATGCCCTTCTCTGTTCGCATGTTTTCTCTTGCTAGGATAATAAACACCGCTTCAATATTATAAGTAAAGGTTCAAAAACTGGGCTTTTTACGATGATTAAAATCAGCCATGTACTGTGAGTAGCGCTTAGGAAAGCCCCAGAGAGAAAGCAGGTACACGTATCCTAAGTGGGATCAGTACAGGCCACTGCTTTCACTGCTGGAATCCAGACAGACATGATTCATCCAGACTGTTTTCTGTGGAAACAGAATCTGGCCCTAGGACCCTTGTAAACACAGCATTCCAGAGAGTCAGTGCCCACTGGCTAGAGGCAGCATCTGAGATAAAAACTGACTGTTACCCTTGTCTTAATTACTAAGCAATCTATTTCCATCAAAAGCTTGTCTTTTAACAATTAAAGGTTTAAAAGGTTTAAAAAAATAAAGAAAGAAAGAAAACCTTACCAATAAGCTTATTTTCCTTGACAAAACATCGGAACTCGGCCCCAGGAATTAATTCACACCATTTTCGAAGAACAAGCTGCAGACAAAGGAAAAAATGTAACACAACAATGTAAAAAGAGGATATTTACTAGTCTGATAAACAATTGTATGTGGAGACTGTGTCTTAACAACTGCCATTATCAAGTGGTTTTTTTTTAATTTAAAGAAGGCATCATAAAACATTCTTGACATGAGATGTAGAGAACAGAACTATGATCTATTAGTCTAACAGAACTGTTAAAACTCTTGATGACAAAATGCATCTTTATCACTTATTTATCATTTTGGGAGTTCTGACATAAAATACAACTCAAAAGATGATAAAGTCAAATCTTATTACTGCTGGGCCGTAAGTTACCCTATAATTCATATCAATTTTATCAAGATTTTAAAGAAAAGATTCTTACCTCATATTCCATACATGGATCTGGAGAATCATCAGTACAATGAATAAATCTTTTAGGGGAAAGAAAGGCAATTAAATCTTTATTTTATGGTGTCACTTTATGCAAACATGTTATTTACATTTAAAGGGACAGTAAGGTTTTACGAATAACATAAATTAGGAGATTAATTCAAATTCAATGAACATTTATAAAGCACCATTCAGTGTCAGGCGTTAGCCTAAGCACCCTGAATTGTTATTTCATTTGTCCTCAAAACCACCATATGAGCTAATATAATCTCTGTTTTTCTGTTAAAAAAAAGAAAAGGAAAAAGCTAAAACCCAGAAGAGAGCACTCTGAGTGACCCAGCCAGGACTATAAAGCCAACTGTCTGACTCCTGATTCCAAATGAGGGCGTGACGGCCCCGCATTTTATTTCTCATTGTGCTCTTTGCAACAGTAACTTGAACCAGAACTTAGTTCTCTGCTGATATTAACTCTGTCACCTAAAGCCACACAACATTCATATAATCCTTTTCCCACATCCCGTGTAAAAAACATTCCTCCATTAAATATATTGCTTCTTCCTCTAAAAATCCTCCGTTTCATGGACAGTATTTTATATTCTTTATTAAATGCCCACCTATGCCAGGGGCTGGTAAGGTACTGGAAACATTAAAATGAGGTGAGTCCCTTGTCCTTTAGGAGGTTGGTCTGGTGAGGAGAACGTAACAAGTAGACCAAGAATTTCAAAACACTCAGGCTTTAGGAATATCACAGTGGCAGTGGTACAGAGAGTCTGGGGGGAGGGATGTTTAGCAATTTAGTTGCTAAGTCATGTCTGACTCTTTGTGACCTCATGAGCTGTAGCTGGCCAGGTTCCTCTATCCACCGGATTTCCCAGGCAAGAATACTGCAGCTGAGTTGTCATTTCCTTCTCCACAGCATCTTCTCAAGCTAGGGGTTGAACCCGCATCTCCCGCATTGGCAGGCAGATTCTTTACAACTGAGCCAACTGGGGAGCCCTTACTACCATTTTAATTGTTCTAAAATTTTTTTATTATTTATTTGGCTGTGTCAGGTCTTAGAATTGCAGCATGTGGGATCTTTCACTTGAAGCAAGCAGAATCTTTAGTTGTGGCATCTGACCTCTTAGCTGTGGCATGTGGGATCTAGTTCCCTGATCAGGGATCAAACTTGGGTGCCCTGCATTGGGGGTGCAGAGTCTTCACCACTGTACCACCAGGGAAGTCCTACCATTTTAATTTTTGAAATGTGATTTTAACCATGTTGATGGTTTTTATAAATCTAATAAGAGGATAGTACTTAATACATTAGTTTATAAAGAACAGGTTAGGATTAAGGTTCTGCTCGGAAGGTGAAGAAACTGCCTGCAATGTGGGAAACACAGGTTCGATCCCTGGGTTGGGAAGATCCCCTGGAGAAGGGAATGGCAACCCACTCCAGTATTCTTGCCTGGATTCCATGGACAGAGAGGAGCCTGGTAGGCTGCAGTCCACGGGGTTGCAAAGAGTTGGACACAACTGAGTTACTAACACACACACATACAGATTAGGGTTCTATAATATACCTGTTTTTAAAATTCTACAAGAAAATCAAAAGGAACATTTCCAAAACACAAGTCTTCATTATCTAAATTTTTTAATGCTTCTATGATTCCAACCTTTGGTTAATCCTCATTTGTTACTTTAAAATAAGTTAACATTTCAATACAGGTTTACATCCTACAATCCTGTAACATTTTTTAAGTGGTAGTTGGTTTAACATTTAACATTATTTAAAAACCTTGACTAGTTTCAGAAGGTAGACATGAGAACATATGTTCACATGAGATTACTGTACAAGGCTTTTTCTTATTAAGATGATTTAACCAGATGGCCAAGTACAATTTCTGAAGGAGAGGAAAGTGTCAGCCATCTAATTTAAGATCGAATGTGAAGGTCAACAATAACATTTTCAGGAGCTCATATGAAAAACAGAAAAAATATTGCATATGAATATTTAAATTCCTTTTATATTCTGGAAGAAATAGGTTTAAAAAGTAAAAATGCATGAAGATGGAATATTAGCAACACTTGAATGTTTACAATCCTTACACAAATTATCAGTCCAAAAATTACAGGTCCCAACAAAAAAAGGAAAAGAAAGAAATCCTTAAATCAAGCAAGGCTGCTTACTACACTGAGAATCCTAGAAGAAACAATACAAACAGAAATACAAAAGAAACAATACTAGCATGAGTATCCTAACAAAAACAATAAAATGTCTTCAATCATATCAAATATAAAAATATCTGTATTATTTCCTTAATTAACTAAACCAAGAACACAGATGATCCAAAAACTTGCATCTATAATACAGGGAAAAAAAACCCTGATTCTCTCGTTTCCAAAGATAAGTTTCATATTTGCCAAAAAAAAAAAAAAAAAAAAGGGCAGGACAGCAGAAATAACAGCTAGTCACTAATCAAGGAAAGCAATTTACAGAGGAAAAACACTGAATTGTTCAATCTACTTTAGCTTTTGTTTCTATGAACATAATTTAAAAGTCATGGTAAGAACTAGTATAAATTCTCAAACCCCAACTCAGTATATAATGTAAAATTATAGTAACGTTATAAATTTGTGAGCAAAAGCAAGAAATATGTCATATACCTAACACTTCCACTGTGTTAACCAATACATTTAAATAACATTTGGAAAATCTGTCTGAATTACGAAAAAACATGAAATCATTTGTGGTCACTTTGGAATTCGGGCAACTGTTACAGAATTCCTCAGGTCAGAACCAAAAGCAGCCTGGGGCCAGACTGATCAGCGTCCCATGTGAAGGAGAGACAATGCAGGCGAGCGTCCGCTTTCATCTCCACCCCCCAGGACTCAAGCCCTTAGAGGAAGAACTGATGGAACAGGCCCCCCGCAGCGGAATCTGCTGGCAGTCTCACAGCTGTCTCTCTACAAAATTTGCCTCTGCTCTCCGGTTGTCTTTAAGAGCTCCTTTTGTCCCTAGTGCGCTGCAGTTACACTAGTCAAATGCTGAGTTCTCTAGAGCGGGCCAGGCAATGTGGCAGGAAGGGAGGAAGGAGAAATCATAGAATCGGTCAACTGGGAGAACAGTAACTATGCGAACTGCCTCTCAACAACTTAGGTATTGCCTAAATCCACTGGCTGAGGCCACAATTTGATTATTTTTATAAGAGAAGACATCATTATTAAAGTTTTATGGGTGGCAGTACACAAAATCACGAATACTTTAAAGTGAAAGACCACCTAGCTATTTACTAGGGCACAATCCTCATTCATAAGCTTCCCTTAAAACACTGGAAGATTACAACGTTATACGTCAGAGAAAACAACCCTTTAATGTCAGAAAAAAAATTATCTCAAGGTCGGAAACAAAAGAGAAAAACACAGCACCCACGGAAAATTAAGCACCAAAGTTGTAGTGCTGAAGATTTAACTGCTCGTCAGGATCCAAAATAAGAGTTTAGGTACAGAGATTCCATTTCTTTTGGTCTCACTGGTGGTGGAAAAGCAAAGACAAAAAATGTTACTGAATTAAGGGAGACTGGGTGTGTTCATTCAAATTATCATAAATTCTTCTTCAAAAAGAGATAAAATATGCTATCAAAAATTATAACAATCTAACACATTGTAAATGAGCTACACTTCAATTGAAAGTATACAATAAAATTAAAGTGATATAAAGTGGAAAAATTGTCACCTAAACCAGTTCAGTCACTCAGTCGTGTCTGACTCTTTGCAGCATGAACTGCAGCATGCCAGGCTCCCTGTCCATTACCAACTCCTGGAGTTTATCCAAACTCATGTCCATTGAGTCAGTGATGCCATCCAACTATCTCATCCTCTGTTGTCCCCTTCTCCTCCTGCCCTCAATCTTTCCCAACATCAGGGTCTTTTCTAATGAGTCAACTCTTCACATGAGGTGGTCAAAGAATTAGAGTTTCAGCTTCAGCATCAGTCCTTCCAATGAACACCCAGGACTGATCTCCTTCAGGATGGACTGGTTGGATCTCCTTGCAGTCCAAGGGACTCTCAAGAGTCTTCTCCAACACCACAGTTCAAAAGCATCAATTCTTTGGTGCTCAGCTTTCTTTATAGTCCAACTCTCACATCCATACATGACCACTGGAAAAACCATAGCCTTGACTAGATGGACCTTTGCTGACAAAGTAATGTCTCTGCTTTTTAATATGCTGTCACCTAAATAAACTGACCTAAAAAAATTATAAGGTATAGGTTCTGTTAAGTTTAACTTAGGCAGAAAGTTTTACTCCTGAATTTTAGGGTTAATAACCAGTTCCAATAATCTTCAGAACAAAATGTATAAAAATTATGCTGATTATAACTGAGCTTAAATTACTAAGACAAGTGAACTTTCCTGACCTCTAGAAACTCTTAACTTCCTTAGTCATGCATGACCTTCTCGGCGAAATAATTAATGGATTAATTTTTTTCACTCACTCAGCCCTTTCTTCTACATGCCAACTGAATACCAGATTTTTCTTTCTTGCCTTGGTCTACTGAAGTGACATCCCCATCAGTAAAATAATTAATGAAAGCAGCTTTCTGACTCAACAAGCCTAATCACAAAGAATGTTTATCTGGGCAAATAATTCACTCAGCAAGTACAATGCAGACAGATGATGCTGTGTCACATTTCAAATTCCACTTTTCAAAGCTTCGTATACAATAACCATTTGACTAACAGGAAAAATAAAAGTGTATTTACTATTCCATGTCAAATTACAGTGCTGACAGACAGTCCTAGTTGTCTACCCTCTGGCTGTTTCCAGCCTTCACCCTTGCTAACGGAACTGCAGTTGTTCAGCGGAGGACACGTGGTCCTCGGCACCCTGGGTGTATGTGTACAGCTAGGAGCAAAGTCCTTGAGCTGCAGGCCCGCACCTGCAGCACCAGGGTCACCTGGGAACGAGTTAGAAATTACCTTCTTGGGCCCCAAGCCCAGCCTAGTGAATTGGAAACTTGGGAGGCAGGGACCAGCAAGCTGTGTTTTACCAAATTCTCCAGATGACTCTGATCCAAGCTGAAGCTGGAGAGCCTCTGTTCTAAACCAATCACGGCATCTCTGCTCCCTCTGCCAACGCCTGGATGAGGCTGAGTAACTGTGTGGCCGTGAGCTATCAGCAAGTCTCAGGGAAGCTTCCAGACTGCTTTACTTGCTCACAGAGAAGAACGAGAGGAAACGGAAGCACCCCTCCTATATTCGATTAAGATCTTCATGCCATACCTGCAGAAGAGCAGCTACCTTGTAACCATTATGTGATGTTGGGTGATAAACCCAAACATCAAGCCAGGAAGCCAAGGATGACAGAGGGAAAGACTGAAAGAGCCTGGTCCCTGGTGACCATGATGAGCCGCTGACAACCCTTACAAATATTCCATCTCCAGACTCCCTGTTAAATAATGTATTTTTTAAAAACCCTGTGTGAGAACTCTTTCTGGTTGGCTTTCTGTTAACCTGCAAATGTAACTGTAACAGCCTTGTTTCTTTCACTGAAGCAAGCTCCCAAAGAGTGTAATGTTACATAATCTTATATAATTATATAATTCTACACATATAATTATATACTATAATATTCCTTCTTACATTCTATAATATTTTACTTTGAAGTATTTAGAAAAGAAGGAATTTATAACTTCATCAAATGAAAACACAGAGAACATTTAGAATGACATTATTGAAATTACATTCTGGTTTTGGTTCTATTAACTATAGGAACAAATTACTGAACAGTTTTAGGCCTCAACTTTCTAGATGATGAAAGAGTCAAATTAAATCACTGTAAGATCTTGTCCTACTTAAAGATTATACTCTTTAATTTTTAAGGGGTCTGGAAAGACCTCTATGACCAAAGTTCATCCGTATTGACCCAATCAATAGGGATTTTTCTAGACTGATAAGACTTACGAATTGTTACACAAGTGACGACTGACAAAGATTTCTGGAAGTACTGCCTGTCTGAAAGTTCAGCGCCTGGTATGTGTCCTGCCAACCCAAACTGTTTACACAGGGAGAAGGATGGTATTCTGCAGATAAACACTCCAAATACAGGGCCTCAAATGCACCTGTTGATTTAACCTCTTCCCCATGCAAAAGTCAAAAAGCATAAAACGCAAAATAACTGACTGGTATTTCTACCCTTCACTGGAATCATAACTAAATTCACCTAAGGTAAAAGGAGAGGTGTGCTAAGAGGAGCCAGCAGGTCACTGGACTACAAAGATGGTTTTAAACACCATCAGCCACAGAGCATTAAAAGTGGTTTATATTTTGTGGAAAGGAAATGATGTCCCTATATAGTCATTGTAACTAATAGCAAATGTGCATAAAAATCCATATCCAGTGAATTAACAGGTACAGAGTATTTCTGATGCAATATATTCCAAGGCCTCTTTACAAAAGCATTTGATGCCAAAAAGCTCTACAATGGCAAAAAAAAAAAACCTGAAAGCCACAACATCTTCTAAACAGAGGGTATCTTTCACAATGAAAATGCTGCCCATCACCCCTAAAACAAACACCTTATCATACCTGTGCCAACACAACCATAAAAGGTTGACACCTAAATATCACAACAATATAAAGATTTTTCTGTAAATGAACCAGAAAAATCAATACAGCTAAACTCCTTTTACAATAAATTGGCAATATGATCATACTCACTTATTATTACTTAACCTCGCTTTCTTTAACACAGTACTAAAACCGTATGTCCAAGCTTCAGAACCAGACGTAAAAGAGATGATGTACAACTGACTTGTAGGCAATGTATTTTTTTTCAAGCCAGACTGCCCTTCAAAATAAGATCTGAGGCTAACAGGGGATGAATTAGCAAACTGAACTAGGGAAGATGTGGCAGGCATACACAGTATTTTCACCTGTGTATCTGCTTAGTTTCTAGATTTTCTGATATGCTTTATCTTAAGAGATCAAAGGTTAGTTTAGTTGAGATTTGGGGTTTAAAATGTGGAAGGACAAGAAATCTATAATAACTGCTATTTGATGACAGAACAGAAGAAGTATGAAGAGATCAGCTACAGCTCAGCAGTGCAGTGTCCAATCTGCCTACAATGAAGATTAGCTATAGAGCAACTGGCAGAGGGGAGAAAACCCAAGTTCATATCTAGGAATTTTTTTCTTTTGGCCGCAGCACGTGCCTTGTGGGATTTTAATTCCCCGACCAGGGATTGAACCTCAGCCCTCAGCAGTGAGAGCGCAGAGTCCTAACCACTGGATTGCCAGGGAACTTCCCATGTCCAAGAATTTATCCCAAGAAAAAAATCAGAAAAGCACACACAGATTTGGCTCAAGGATACTCACTGCAGGACTGTATATAAGAAGAGAGAACCAGTGAAATAAACGATGCTATAGCTGTTCAGTGGGATACTCTGAAGCAAGCTTAAAGTAATGATGCATTTAATATTTAATGACATAAAGATGTTTGATATATATTAATGAGTGCAAAAGCGGCCTAGTAAGCAATATGAATTATATGATCCCATTTGTGTTGTAAAAAACTGGAATACAGTTAGAGACAGGTGTATCTATATTATACCTATGCAGAGAGAGAATTCTGGAAGTATTATATAAAACCAACTGTGCTAAGATCATGAATCTGCTTACTTCCTGTTTTTGTTTAGCTATAGTTCCTGCTTTTATTTTTCTATGATAAGCATATATTGGCCTTATAATAAAAAAAAAATTACCAACATATTTATTGGGCAGAATTCAGAAAACCCTCGGTATCTAGGGATATTCACTGTATAGCATTTGCTGTCAACAGAAAAGAAAGGTTTGCTTTAATAGGTCATTTCAGAAAGTGAAATGGGTCTGTTGTGTACAATAGCACTAGAACTAAAGGAATTTCATCTGCAGCAAAACTCACAAGCACTGAAAACTACTGACGTAAAAGAACAAGAGACATACTTACGGTTGGGTGAAGTCACGAGTGATGAAATCGGAACTCTTGAACAGTAGGAAGATGTCGCTGAGGGTTTTACATTTCAGAGAACTATTCATTGCTATCCAGTAGGCATCCTAAAGAATAAAGCACGTGCTACTTAGTATATATTCCAAGTTAGCTGCTATGAATGAAGTTCATAGCCTATATCCAAAATCAATAATGCATGTAACTTCAAGGGTCTGAAGAAAAAAATCAGATAAGAAATTTTAGCTATACTGTCAAGTGTCAAGTTACACTTCTAAACAAAGAATAAGGTCACTGTTGCATGACAGAAACTCAGTTTTGAACTGAGATGTTCAGGTCCTCATCTTGCAGCTTAGGCTCAAGACACTGCCCTATGTCCTCCTCACTGATAATGAAAGAAGGGGACAAAGAGACATCAGAAATGCTGACACTTCAGCAAGAAGATCCAGGCAGAAAAAAAGCTTGATCAGCCACTAAGAAAACAGAGAGCCTTTCTCTCTTTCTGTTTCTGGGGAGAGACAGCTGGAACACTGAAGTTTGATGACTGCAGTATGTCCATCAAATCTGGGAGAGAGGAGATGACATATTCTGAACCGTTGCCATTTTAAATGGTGCAAGTCTCAAAACGTATGAACCAAAGAAAAAAAAGTAAGAACAGCAGACATAGGAGACACAAACCTCAGTGAAACAAGCCTAAAAATGACAGAATAAGTTATTTTAAAAAACATACTTCTCCCATAGATCAGACACAGGACAGTAATGTAATTTTGAGAAAACTAATGATTGCAAAACAAAAATGTCCAGTTATCTACACTGCATGAAAGGAAGCAGTGGACAGCTGGCACTCAATAAATAAAAAATTAATGAACAAGCCTCCAACTAATTAAAAAAAAATGAAAAGAAAACAAACAAAAAAAAGCCTCCAACTAATAAAAATAAATGAAAAGAAAAAAACAAACAAACAAACAAAAAATTAATGAACAAAGGAATAACTTAAAATCACAAATAATCTACCCATCTTAACTGGAAAGCCTCAAGCCGTCAAAGATAAGCAGTCAAGAATGACCCAATTTACTGCTCATAGATAAACTAAAAAATGAGTTCTATTAATTTTTTATAATAACTTCTTTAAATCTTTCCCCAATTAAAAAAGATGATGAATAAAAAAAAAAAAAGATGATGAACTTTTGGTTAAAGATGATATACTGAACACACAGATTTAACTCCACTGAAACAACAGTATATACACAGAAAACCATGCAACTGAATAAATAAAACAATTATTAACACAGGGAGAAAACAAAATGTTGAATAAGAAAACATAAGCAACACATAGCATACAGATATATATGCAATGTTTGCAAAAATGCAATATGAGAAACGGCTTCCCTGGTGGCTCAGTGGTAAGGAATTCACCTGCCAATGCAGGAGGTGAGGGATCAAGCCCTGGCTTGGGAAGATCCCCTGGAGAAGGAAACGGCAACACACTCCAGTATTCTTGCCTGGAAAGTTCCATGGGTGGAGGAACTTGGTAGGCTACAGTCCATGGGGTCACAAAGAGTCAGACACGACTTAGCAACAAAGCACAGTGAATACTGATGTAATCAAAGTGTGCTATTCCAAAATGATTTGGTGTTAAAAATAAATAAAAATAAAAGTTAAAAAAAAAAAAAAAAAACAAAGTGTGCTATTCCTATATGAGGACAGTGAACTATAATAGATAGTAGTGAGAATAAGAGATGAAAAAGTGCTGAACCTTTTTGTCCTAAAGCATAAAACTGGTAATAAATGCTTCAGATGAAAGAATAGAGATACTGAGGAAAATAACAAAAGGTGGTACTAAAATATATGAATGCAGTTGCCTCTGAGCAGTGGGAAACAGTAAAGAAAAACAGGTGTCAGGACTGGCTGATTTTTATAGCAAGCTTTCAGAAATTTAAACTATGTATATATGTCACTAATTTTAACAAATAAAAATAAAAGATTAAGTACAATTTATCATTCATGTTAGAATAAGAAAAAAGATGATTTTTGAAAATGCAGATAAGTTTTGAATTCTTAAATGAGCTTTGCTGACATTAAATTATTTTCTACTGGAATAGAAAAAATGATGAATTTCCCTAGATCTTAACTTAAATTAAAAAATCTTATCAATGCAATGTTGAAGCAATAAAACAAAATTTAAGAAAACGTCAGTTGATCTGTCAAACCACTCTATTTCTATATCCTGCAACATTCTAATGTTTATTACTTTTCAATAGAGAAAAATTTCTCTGTCAAACTGAAGAGCTGAAGTTTTGAAAAGGGCAGAGAAAGGTTTTCCTGAGATTTCTAGTGTAAATAGCAACACAAGAGGCTGAAACTGTCAGTTGGCAAAATACAAAGTATTTCACAGACCCAGGGAAATAAATGCATTGCCAAATCAGGAAAGTAAATAACAGGAAGAAAACAAAAATAAATTCCATTGTATTTTCCCTAGAATTAAGAATATAGTTAGACCCTCTGTGGGGATATAAAATGAGATGAATCTCAAGACAGGATTCAGACAGTGAGAGATTCACGGACGGACGTGCTCCTACCCTCGGGGCGCTCCAGTTAAGCTTAGGGAATACACTGCCCCCCAGGGAATTGATCGCCTCCTGGACTTTCGTGGTGAACTCGGGGAATTCTGGTGCCTACAGAGAAAAGGAAGAAATCATTTGGGCAAGTCAGTGTCAGCACGATAAATATAGAAAACAAGATTAAAAAACTCACAAAGCTCAACACTTCAGGGTATTAAAAATAATTTAGGACACAAATTACCATCAGAATTTCTGAGCTCAGCCAAATAAAATCAATGATCAGATAACATTCGTCAGGAAGGGAAAAGAATAACAAGTGCTCAGATGACGTTTTCCAAAACAATCAAGCCCCACAAAGCTAACAAGACTGCTGCTATTTCAAGGCACCTGGGGATGTGAGAAAAGAATGAATGGTTCTCTAAACATCGACATAAAACCAGTGCCTATTAAATGAAAAGAGATGATGGACTATCACCTGTGAAAGTGAAAGTGAAGTCACTCAGTCGTGTCTGACTCTTTGCGACCCCACGGACAGTAGTCTGCACTAGGCTCCTCCGTCCATGGGATTTTCACGGCAAGAGTGCTGGAGTGGATTGCCATTTCCTTCTCCAAATATCACCTTTGCACAGACTCTAATTCTGAGAAGTAATACCTCATATTTAAAGGACCAGAAGCCTTTCCATTTGCAGGAAAAGAACTTACCCCCAAAAGGCTTCAAAAACGAGGAATAAATCATGGGGTTAACTGCATTTAAACATGGCTATTTCCAGACAGGTTCTAATATAAACAAAACTCAAAAATAGGACCTTGGTGAAATTAAAATGTTCTTTCTTTTTTGGTTGATTTAAAAATGCTTATTTTATATCAGCAAATAACCAAAACATTGTGCTGTTTCAACCAGGAAATAAGCAGAAATACAGAGGTGATGGGATTTAAACGTCATTACGATTATGCTCTTCCTTGAGTCTTCTGTCACCATGAGGAGCACGGGGACAAAAAGTGGAGAAAAGGGGCGAAAGAGAGATGGAAGTGGGGCCTGCAGGAGAGCAAGAATACAAAAAACACTCATATGCTGCGGTCATTGTAGCCCTTTATATCTGCTGCCCCCTAGTGGGAAACTGCAAATACTGAAAGTCCCATCGTGACAAGCTCTTCCCTAAGCGGGAAAAAAACTAGAGTAGGTCTACTACAAGCTAGTGGGCTTCCCTAGCAGCTCAGTTGGTAAAGAATCTGCCTGCAATACAGGAGACAGGGGTTCAATCCCTGGGTTGGGAAGATCCCCTGGAGAAGGAAATGGCAACCCACTCCAGTACTCTTGCCTGGAGAATTCCATGGACAGAGGAGCCTGGTAAGGTACAGTCCCTGGGATCCCAGTCAGACATGACTGTGCAACTTTCACTTTCACTTCACTTCAGAATAAGCTAAAGGAGTGGGAGGTACAAACTACTGGGTGTGAGACTACAAGGATATATTATTGTTCAACATGAGGAAGAAGGCATATTTTCTAATAACTAAATGGAGAACCTTTAAAAAATTATTTTTAAAAATTTAAAAATGACTATTATTGTTTCAAGTCATGAAGTTTTACTATGACTTGTTCTTCAGTCATCCTAAATAAATAAACACCAAAAAAAAAAAAAAAAAGGCTTATGCTGATTCCCAAAATCTAGCCCAGTTATGACAAAAAACTGCCTCAAGGCTGAGAAACAGACGGAAACATCAAAGTTTAAAAAAAGGGCAGGCTGTACTTCCCTTCTTTCTGCTGCAGATGCATGTGACTGCTGCAGATGTACCTGACCTCCGGAGGTCAGAATGTCTTTTAGTTACTTAATTTGACAGCATGCCACCCTCTCCATCTTCTGCTTGTCTTCTTCAGCTTAGATTCGTGAAATTAATGCCTTTCAGAGAGGCCTTCAAAACAAGTAACAGCCTTGAGTTCCTTTATCTTCCATTCTCCTCTCGCCAGCAAAAGAAATTATGGTTTCTGTTAAGGCAGTAATTTCTTTAGAATCCCCTGAAGTTTCTGGTTTGGCAACCAAACCAGCTTCATCAATAAAGACACTCATCTAAGACCTGCATTAGCTATATTTTCAGTAAATGACAGTTACAAAAATATTAAAACATGAGGGATTTGATCTTCAAAGACAAAACAATTTCATTTTCCTATCCCATTGAAATTCACATGTAAGGACTGCTTTATATTTCTGTATTACATTTTTTCTTCATAAGTTATGTGTACAATATAGTGATTCACAATTTTTTAGAGGTTTCACATCATTGTAGTTATTATAAAATACTGGCTATTCTGTATTACATTTTAAGAGGTGATAAATTCCCCCAAATCCTCAAATTATTCACCTTTAAGAATTTTCTTAAGAACTTTAAGAAATCCTGCAATAAAGATCCTAAAATAAATTTAATGACAAAAAGTTTGTATTGCACAGAAAAATTTGTGCTTCAGTGGAAGACTCTGTATTGTACACATACAGCACTTTTCTGGGTTACCTGATTCTAGCTGGGTCTGCGAGATGATTTATAACTTGGTAAATAATAGTTAAGTGAAAACAGTATTTCTCACAGACACGAAAATTCTACTCTGTCTGGTAGAAACCCAGCTGTCTTCCATCCCGCCTCGAGGCATACATAACCAGCTTTGCCTTATTTACGTATCCATTTTTTTCATGTAAATACAACACATATTTACATATTCCTAATCTATAAATGTGTGTCCTTTGGGTTCTCTTTTGAGCCAGTTATAACATCTGCCTGCTGCCCTCATGAGTTAAAGCCTTCAGCGTGTGTTAAGTCATGATTCCACCTTTTCCTGAAAATGATCTATTAACAGATTTAGCTAGTAATAGGATTGTTTTAAGCTCATAGCCCAATGAGTTGATTTTAAATATACCTAACACCTTAGTTTTCTAAGAAAAGGTTCATGTTTTAAGTGGGATGAAATCTGCATTTTAAATCACATCCGCGGACTTTTATGATCCAAACTCACCCATCTTTCCTACTTTACCCACCACAGCCCTACTGCACCATACTCATTTGTTTCTTTAAACATTTTTAATCATCAAATAAATGTTTTAAACATATAAAAAAAATATACCCTGATCCATACATTCAACAATTTGACATATTTGATCCAGACCTTTAAATTTCTTAAGGAAAGAACATCACAGATCCTCATGAAACTCCTACTCTCCTTGCTCTCCTCCCTAGCCCTTTCTTCTCGCCACAGGCAGCCACTATTACAAGACTGGTCACAATCTTCTACAGTCATGATTCTATACTTACAATGCATGTACCTGCCCATAATACAAAATATTTAAAAATTTTAATGTAGCCGCTATCATTTGATATGTATATTTTTCGCAACCTGCCCTTTGAAATTCACCATCACGTCTTTGAAATTCACCCATCTTGATAATCTGACTGCATCTTAAACTGGGCTTCCCTGTAGCTACACTTCCGGACTATCACCATTGGCAGTGGTCATCTTCCCACTGTGGGTCTCGGCTCACATTCCCCTACTGAGAGGTGTGCTCTTCTGCCTTGAAAGCCCACCTGACCAATAACATCTAGCTCAGCCCAGTGAAACCCAATCACTTTTAAATTAATTTTCCATTTTGAAATAATTTCAGACTTTCAGAAGCATTTATTCTATACACTTTTCATGCAGGCATTTTACCACACTGCTTCGTCATTCTCTCACTGCAACTCCTTTTCTATATACAGCGACGCTGGAGCGTGTATAAAACACATACACCTTACATAGCAAGTGAAGTCATGATGCCCCTTTACACACAGCACCTCAACATGTATTTCCTAAAAAGCAGTTAACATTTTTTTAAAATGTAAGCTAGCCAAATTATCAAAATCAGGGAGCTAACACGGATGTAACACCATTATTTCATCTATGGATCTTATTCAGTTTGTGCTCACTGTCCTGATAATGTCTTTTACAGCAGAAGAAAAATGGGATATTTTCTTCTGGCCTAGGACCCCGTCTAGAATTGTGCGTTGTATTAACTTGTCATATCTCTTTAATCTCCTTTCATCTGTAACATCTCCTCTCCCTGTTGCTCTTACCTTTCATGACCCTGACCATTTGAAAGAGCCTGGGGCAGTCACTCTATGTAATTTCCAAAACGCCGAGTCTGCTGGCTATTTCCTCATGACTGGATTCAGGCTCTGCACTGCTGACAGGTGATGTGTCCCTCTGAGCCTCATACAAGGAGGCAGGCGATGTAGCCCTGTCCCATCACTGACAAGCTTAACGTTGCTCATGCTGCTGCCAGGTCCTTCCACTGGGAAGATGCTGTTTTTCTCTTTGTAACTAGTAAGTAATTTTGGTTTCCCTGGTGGCTCAGATGGTAAAGAATCTGCCTGCCAATGAAGGGGACCAGTGTTCAATCCCTGAGTCGGAAAGATCCCCTGGAGAAGGGAATGGCAACCCACTCCAGTATTTGTGCCTGGAGAATTCCATGGGCAGACAAGCCTGGTGGGCTACAGTCCATGGGGTCACAAAGAGTCAGACACGACTGAGTGACTAATACTTTCACTTTCTTTCAAGTAATTTTGGTGGACATACTTTGAGAAGGCTCAAATACCTTTATTGAATATTCACCCACAAGTTTTAACATCTATTCCATCAATTATTACTATAATGGCTATAAATGCTGATTTCTATCATTCCTTCTCAATTATTAGCTGGTGTCGAATTTTCTACTATAGAGAAAGGCTTTCTCTTCTATTTCATTTGTTGAATTTAATCATTTGTTTATGTCAGTATGGGACCATGGATTCTAATGCTAGTCAATGGTTCTATTCCATTATTATCATTGTTTTGTTATGATGTTCACATATGTGGCCAGTGGGAGCCCATCGAGCTGGCTTCCGGGTCCTCTGCACCATGTCCGCATCACTCTTCCTTCCTGCACAAATTCCTACAGGCCCCTCTTTACCTTTCCACCCCTGTCTTGAACTTCTCCACGGAGCTTCAACTCCTTTTAGTGGAAACTGGTATTTAGACACCACAGTCAGGGCACTAGGTCTGTTCATCCGTTCACTGCTACCATGACGTCACTGTGTTGTTTTTAGAACTAAGCAGAGTTTGATAAATACACACACACGTTATTAATTTCTCTATTGAAGTTTGCCTAAGAACAGTGATTTAAGTTATTTTTCAAAATAATAAACAAAAGCTTGAAATGGTGACTAAAGGGGAATTTAGAGTGATCTGCATTGAAACCCAGAAGCGCCCCATGGGACGGCACCGGGCGGTCCTGGGACCGCGCTGCTCTTACCGTAAGCGTGGCCGTGTTTTCGTCGTCCGACCACTGCAGGGGAAGGAGGACAGAAAGAGAACGTTAACTGTGGATAGTGTTCCTGGCTTCCAAAAAGCAGTGCTCCATCTAAAAACGACACACACAGGAGACAGTTTCCTGAACACAAAGTACATGACCACGTGAGGTTTCCATGGAATTTCTGACTTTATTGAATGTACGCTAAGATCTCTAAGCCAGAACCATTTCGGAGATCACTGCAATTAGGACAGTCTCTGGAACAGGTTATAGTATTTTGAACCAACCTGTATTTCTTCAGCTTCATCATCACTGTCTGGTTGAGAACGTGCAGGCGGATCTTCCCTGGAAGAACGTAAAACAAGAACGGAGCATCAGAAAGCCCTGGGGCCAGGCAGTCATGATTTCAGGTGTGCTGGGCGTTCATACAGATGTAAGAAGAAACTGATAAAAACCAACATGAAATTAACAAGAGGGAACGTTCAATAAGAGATGTTGGAATAAAAACATCCTGCCTTCTCAGAAATCACTAGAAACGGGGGAAAGAAAATCTCAAACTCTGCCCTGGAGGACACTAAGAACCAGCTCTGAACCTCAACAGGACAAAGTGCTGCCCCAGACCAGGGAGACACGGCAGGAACTGCAGGGGCAGTAGTTTCGGGCGGTGATGCACACCCTGCGGGCACAGCCCGGCATCTTCTGCTCACAGTAAAGGCAGTGTGCGCGGGCTGCCGGCAGAACCACCCTGGGTCAGGACTGGCACTGCCAGAGGGCACGGGGGAGAAAGACATGGTCAGACACGCTGTCTCAGACCAGTGAGCGAAGCAGGGGCTGAAAAGGGCGGCTAGCAGCCAATCCTCAGCCCTGGGGGCAAAGCAGAGGCCGAAAGACCTGAGAGAGGACACTGCCCCCGCCCCTTCTCAGCACTCAACCACAGACCACTGGCTACAGAGAACTCGAGCACATCATTGAAAAGCAAGCACTAACCAGAACAGAAGCCAGAAGAGGGTCTATACCAAGAAACTACGAGAGAAAGGAAAGATGAGGCTGCTGGTTAATCACAGACACTTATCCATCCCTAGGTTCCCTCGTGAAATGCCATGAAAGTGATTTAAAAGATCACAAGGGCACAAAGGACCAAAGAGGGGACAGCTGGAGAGACAACAGAAGTCTGGAAAACAGAAAGCCAGTGAGGGGGTAACCCGGTGAGCAACAGGCTGCCCCTGGAGCCGTCATACATGATGGGACCACGGCTCGGCTCTGAAAGGGGTGATGCGTGCATGGTCCATACAGGGGCAGGAAGACACATCCAGTCTTCCTCACCTGGCACACTCCAGCCACTCACCCTCCATGGACCAGAGGGTAAGGTGCACAATGTCCCAGATGAACATGGAGGTGAAATGCCACAAAACAACGAAGTCACAAGCGGAAGTCACACTCACAGTGAGACCTCCAGTCCCCTTCTTCCCTCCCTGCTCCCTGATACAGACAGATTAGAGGACTTGTCTCTGTAGATGCTGGGCAATCCCAGAGGAAAGACTTACAGATAACTGCCATCTGGGAATCTGCCATCAATTCCTGTTGATTGCTGGAACTCTTAGTCAACAAGCCCCGAGCTGGTACACAAAGTTTCTGTGTGAGTCCCTCACTCTTAAACATGAATAAAGGCCTACAATCATTACAAGATCTATAAAAGGCTCCAAGATGAGAAAAGAGTTTTTCAAAAGGAGGAAAAGTACATGGACAGAATAAAGACAGTAAAGGAAACAGATGAAAAATATTTTTTGAAATCACAAATATCTTCAAAGATAAAAGAAGACATTGCATTCATGAGAAAGGACAAGACTGAACTCATATAAAAGGAAAAACATGGTAGCTGAAATTTAAAAACTCACTAGAATGAGTGGCAAGATTAGGGAAATTTTCCATGAAATAGAACTAAGACGACAAAGGGACAATAGAGAGGAAGTGACATAATTCAGAGAATTAGCCCGGCAGATCTAACGTCTAAAAAGAAAGAAAGAGAAGCAAAAAAATAAGAGGAAATCATCCAAGATACAATATTTTTAAAAGTTCCAAAACCCAAAAACGGAAGTCTCGAGAGTGAAGAGCCTACACCAAGGACACGTGACAACGAATGGCAAAGACACGAGCAAGCCCTGGACGACACACCCAGGCGGCCGCGGTCCTCCCACCTTGACACGGCGCTTGCAGCGTGACTCCGCCACCCTGCCCATCAAAAACAGCATTTATCTCCCCACCCTGAGTTCAAGCCGGCTTCAGGACTCACTGGGACCACAACGCAGCACAAGGGACACCATGTGATCTGAGCCTCGGTGTCAAAGTCTTTGCAGCTTCCTCGCCCACGTTTCTGGAATGCTGCTACCACCACACAAAGGAGTGGGGTCTGAGGATGAGAAATCACACGGAAAGAGAAGCCCAGCTGCCAGGCAGCATTCACTGCCAGACAGGACGGAGGACATCCTAAAACCATCCAGTCAGGTCGAGCCACCAGACAACTCCAGCCACAGGAGTGCTCAGAAAGACCGCAGAAGATGCCCAGTGCTGAGCATTAGCGAGGCTCTGAGATTTCACCCCGCGTGCAAGCTAACAAGTTAGCCTGCCACGGTGCCATGGAATCTGGCAGAAGCCAGGAGATGCCTGGGTCAGAAACCAAGGACTCTCCAGAGAGAGAGAAGACACATCTGGCCAATGAAACATACTGCAGGAGTTCTCCCACAAGCTCAGAGTACTGACATCTGCTCTGGACTTTCTGATGTCAGGAGGCATTTTCCTTACACTCCCATTTTGTAGGCTTATTACGTGCTCTATATTGGAAAATAATAAAGCTGTGTCTGTAAATATCCCAAAGTTGAGACTCGCCTAACTATTCTGTTGCTTTATCCTGCAATTATTCCACATCAATGAGGCTCTAAACTAATAATTTTCAGGTTATTACCAGGTTAAGAATACCAGAAACAGAATTATAATCCAGGAAGCTACACAGAAGATCCATCAGACCAAAAAATATATATATGTATAATATATATGGTAAAATTGGGCTTCCCTGGTGGCTCAGAGGTTGAAAATCCACCTGCAAATGCAGGAGATGTGGGTTCAATCCCTGGTCAGGAAGATCCCCTGGAGAAGGAAAAGGCAACCCACTCCAGTATTCTTGCATGGGAAATCCCATGGACAGAGGAGCCTGGCGGGCTACAGTCCATGGAGTCACAAAAGAGTCGGACATGACTCAGTGACTAAACAACAAAATGGTAAAATTAGTGTTACTGTAAAACATACACAATTCTAATTATACTTCTAAGTTTATTTACCTAAGAAATGTTCAACAAGCACCTATTATAGATCAGGTATTCTTCCAAGGGCTGGGAACACAACTGTCCAAGTCTCTGTTCTCATGAAGACTGCATTATAATAGAATGACTAACAGAATGATGGATGGAAATAAGGATTATGCAGAAAAATTAAGTGAGGTCAGGAGATAAAAACAGATGCACCAAAATGCAGTAAACCATACAATGGAGTGGTATTTAGCCTTAACAAGGAAGGTAATTCTCACATGTGCTATAACATGGATGAACCTTGGGGACATCATGCTAAGTGCAATAAAGCTAGATACTGCACGATTCCCCTTAAATGAGGTATGTACAGTAGTTAAAATCATAGGCACCGAAAGCAGAATGTTGGTTGTCAGGAGCTGGTGGAAGGGGGGCTGGGGAGTTAGTGTTTAGAGGGTACAGAGTTTCAGTTTTACAAGATGACAAGAGTTCTGTAGATGGATCATGCTGATGGCTGCAACATTATAACTGTACTTAATACCACTGAACTGTACACTTAAAAATAGTTAATGTGGTAAATTTTATGTGTATTTTAGCTTGATAAAAAATTTTTAAAATAATTCTAAGAGAAAATTATATCCAACCTAGAATTCCATAAAAGAGAGTGACATATCAGCAAGGGTTACCATTAAGCTACTTTACAAAGGAAAGTGAAGGATGAACACTTAGATAATGAACACTTAAGATAACATGACTTCTGAGCAGAGACCTGAATGAAAAAATAGGAATGTCACTAAAGTACATGATTCTTAAACTTTTTCAAGCTGTACTAAAAAGATTGAGGCATGGTACTTTCCTTTATATAGAGAAGAACTACTTGAACAAGAGGAGTAGTTACCATACCCATTTTCTACAAGAAGAGAAGAAAGGAATTACTCAATTTTACAGCTTGCAATTATCAGCAGAGGATGTGCTCAATTTTGAAAAGCTTATCAACTGAGCATTGATAAGGAATATAGGGCAAAGATCAGCACATAATAACTAGAAAGAAAAAAAGGAGAGAATGGGGCCAAAGCTAATGTACTTACTTTACATGTTAATTGTTGCAGTTGAATCATTACATTTCCTTATGCTAAAATTTAAAGAAGGTTTTTCTGACATGCCTTACCTTCCTGAAACCACCAGAGTTCCATCATCGAGTAAATAATCCTTCACATTCTGAGGAAGTGGAAGAATGACACTAAAAAAAAAAAATGCACATACCAAAATAAGACATCATTTTAACAGACCAACCACAAGCAGAGAGAAAAATTTCCAAATTCAATTTCTGAATTACTTGCTCCTTTCATTTTAATATGAAGTGGGACATGTTAATAATGGACATTTGGCAGCAGCAGACTAGAAATTAGAATAATATGAATAAATGTTGCAATAAACTAAATTAGGTGCATATAATTACCCCTACTGACTCTAAGGTTAAAAAAAAAACAAACAACAACAGCAACAACAACAAAAACAAAACCAAAAAAAATCCCTAAAACAGCCAAATCCAAAGAACTGGACTGAAATCACAATATGAAGGCAACAAGCGCAAAAGAATTCTGAGTACAAGGGTTACATGCCTTTAGGAAATTGGAGGCCCCGCAGGTATTTGCAGCAACACAGGAAATGACCAAAAGAATCAGAAAGAATCAAAAGAATCAGAAAATCAACAGCACCTGATCACCTTCTAAGATACAGGGTGGAAGCAGGCTTAAGATCTGGGCACCTCTGGTTGGCAATGGGAGTGTAAGGTCAAAAATTCACAGTACACTGGAATGTACTGTGACGGCATTCTGTTTACCTCACCACTAGAGTACACGGCTGCTCACCCCGGCACCCTTCAGGTGAACTGTTTTCAGACGATCATAATTAAGGGATGGTAAAACCATACTTGATATCACTTGAAAAACAGATGGGATAATTTGTTTTTTTACTCTATAATGATAAATCATCAAAAAATTCTGGCACAGATACCCAAAAACAATGTTCTTACTTTGCTTGTGAGGCATGTATTTTTTAAAAACTGAAAACGATGGTGGCCTGCGTTCAGAGAGACCATCACTGACTCATACTAGTGTGCTTCATTTATTTATTAAGTTTTCTGTAATATCACAGATGGTTTTAGCACACAGGAAAGATTACTAACGGGCTACTTCAGTTTTAGAAATTAATATCTGATTTCTCAAAGTTACAATTTCACATTCAAAAGCCTACTTCTTCAGGCTTTTAAGTTCAACTAACAAATCTTATTATTCTGTTTGTAAAGCTGCTAAATTTTAACCAATTTCAAGTGAGCCTTTGAAACTTAAAAGTTGCTTTAAATTTTTTTAGCTCTAGGGAATTCCCTGGTGGTCCAATAGTGAAGACTTGGGCTTTCACCATCATGGACTTGGGTTCAATCCCTGGTCGGGGAACTAAGATACCACAAGCCATGTAGTATGGCCAAAAAAAAATTTTTTTTAACTCTATTATAAAATAATCTATTCAACTTTCTTTTAAAATATGTCAATTGTCTAATGACAGATAAAGCTTTCCAAGTATTTAACTCTTATAAAACCAGTGAATTAAACTGTAAGTATAGTGAATCTAAGGTTCTTGCAAACGTTCCAACACTGTTTAAACACTTAAAAATTTTTTCTCATATGTTTTAATGTATCACAATTCTAAACCAATTACACAAATTAAATTAGAAACACAAGGCTAATCTGTTACATATATACTAACTGTCCTCAAAATGGCAAATTCTTAAGGATGTTAAAGTTAACAGGGAAAAAATTCCAAGTCTGCATGATTTCCTCACCTCTATATTTAATTCTAGCTCTTCCTGGGGTTACAGATACTCACCCAATAGTGTCATCCCAACAGAATCAGACATGATCTTTACAAGAGAATCTGAAGTTTACCTCCTCAGAGGCCTGAGACTGAGAAGTATCGACAGAAATGACCATTCCCAGACATCTAGGGTGATTTTCCCAACCACGATGAGAGCAGAGAGAGCCCTCTTCTATGTCAGTGACATCTCTGAGTCCACAGGTGATTTCAGAGTCCACGTCCCTTGTTTCTGAGTTACGCTAATTCTCGGGTCTCATTCCCTCCAGGCTGCATCGCCCCTTGACTGCATTCAAAATATCTATTTACTGTTTGATTCCATTGTGAATTCTCTGCATATTTTTCCTTTTTGGAGGGTCTACAGCTCTTACAGGAATGAGCCGACACTGACAGTTCTCATGAGTCCCTGTGTCCCACTGTCACAGTTCTAAAGTCACCCTAATGATGTGACCCTGTATTATGTCACGTTAGCCATGGAGGAATCTTAGATGACTTAGTTAAGAACTCAATGCCTAGGAGTGGGAAAAGCTACAAAAGGAGAAAAAAAAACCTCAAGTACAATGTAAGCGCTGTACCAAGTACAGATGTACCAAACGCCACCAAAACTCTCAAGAAAAAGGACCCGTGCCTCAGCAACTGAGGTCATAAACAAGCCATGGCCTGGCATACTTAACCCAACTGTTGGAAAAGAACTTAAATTTTTTTGTCACTGAAATTGACTACGCAGCCAAGAATCCACGAGGGCTGGGGCTTCCCTGGTGGCTCAGTGATAAAGAATCCACCTGCCAACCGGGAGACAGGGATTCGATCCTTGGACTAGGAAGATCCCACATGCCGTGGAGCAACTAAGCCCCAGCGCCACAACTACTGAGCCCACGCTCTCGGGCCTGGGCGGCGCGGCTACTGACGTCCCGGCGCTCCAGAGTCTGTGCGCCGCAACACCAGAAGCCACGGCAACGAGAAGCCCGCACACTGCGACTAGAGAAAAGCTGGTGCAGAACAAAGACCCAACACAGCCAAAAATAAATACATGAAATTTTAAAAGAAAAAGAATCCATGAGGCCCAACTGGAAGATGTAAAAAATGTAATGACCTATTCCATCAAGTTGATATAATTCTATACACACAGACAAGTTACTCTAATGGAATGGAGGTTAAAAGAGCCTTTAGGAGATTATTCATAACTTTCATGTTTGAGGAAAGAAACATTTAGAAAGGTAGAGTGGATGACCCAAAGTCACCTAGCTACTTATTTGTAAGCCTGAGTCAAAGTTCTAGGATGTGTCAAAACAAAAAAAGATTCTGTATCCTTACTTGCATAATCATTTCTGAACCATGATTAATAAATGCCAAATATAAGGCTGAGTCAATAACCAGAACATGGTCTCTTGGCATTAAAGTAGACAATGACAACAACAAACTTAACACAACTCCACCAGAGTGACCTGGGCCGTGGAGGGACATCGTGCCATGTCGCGTTTGAGTGATGTTCCACAGAACTAGAGTTACAGTGCAAAGACACGGAAAACTCTCAGGCAACACAGCTCAGCTGTGAACCGGTAAGAAAATCCCCCTCCTTGGTTTACTTTTCACTCCCAGCTTCAAATGAATGGCACACATTTTAAGTGAACTATAAACTATTTTAAGCTTTGGTTAAATCAAAAACATTAAAATCCAGCAGCTTTTTGTGTGTTTATGTCAAAAAGGGTGCCAAGCATTTTTAATGCTTTATCTCATTTAATTCTCATGACAATCCTATTATTTTCTCAATTTTCTAGATGGGGCTTACAGAGATTAAGCCATTTTCACAAGACGCTGGTGGAACCAAAATTCCCAAGGAAGACAGATGGTCTTGACTCCAGAGTCCAATTCTTAACCATTATACTTCATTGCTGAAGCAAAGAAAAGTTTCTCTGAGTTGACAAAAGGTGTCTGCACACAAAATACAAGGCACTTCTGAGTGAACTCTGTGTGAAAATGCCTGACTGGTTCACAAAAATACCTTCTGTCACACCGACATGACATAAATAACTCTAGCATCATCTCAGACCCTAAGCCTATATCAATTATGCAAGATAATGGAGGATTGGTACATCCTGTAGGAAGATAACATCCACTGCTGCTGTTGAAGCTCTTCCTTGTTTTAGAGCTACTCCAACCATGTTCAAATGCAAAGCTTATCTTCCTTCGAGCTGCTCTAACCTCCATCACACCCTGGATAACTTGGGAGCCCATTCCATGTATGAATAACAGGATAGGAAAAAACTGTCTTATGAATAACCTCCTTATACTCTTTCAAACACTCAGGATCTGAAGTTTCCCTCTCTGTATTCACACTCTGCACCCAAAATGAAAAGGAAGGAACAGTTGCTATCTAATTAGTAGCAATCTAGGGCCAAAGGGGGACAGGACAAAAGACAGAAAGTCCTCCCCACAGAGGACTTTCTTTGAGGTACTCACCTTAGCACGGGAAAGTCTACCCTTGCATCACATTCCAGGTGTCACAACTGCTTTTGAACATTTGGGGATGTCCTCCTAGCTGCCTTGCCTACATTACCTTGAATGACCGGGTGAAGGATGAAAACAGTTAATCCTCTGCTTGCCCTGCAAACAGGGCACGCATTCCTTGCTGTGGGCCAGAGAACTAGAAAACAAATACTGTTCCACTCCTCTTCCAGATGGCTTCCTTCCCTAACAATACATTTGCTGCTGCTGTTCAGTCGCTAAGTCGTATCTGACTGTGCGACCCTATGGCCTGCAGCACGCCAGGCCTCCCTGTCCTTCACTGTCTCCTGGACTTTGCTCAAACTCACGCCACTGAGTCAGTGATGCCATCCAACCATCTCATCTTCTGCAGCCCTCTTCTCCTTTTGCCTTCACTCTTTCCCAGCATCAGGGTCTTTTTCCAGGGAGTCGGCTCTTCGCATCAGCATACTCTACTGAGGCTTTCACTAACACTATCATACTGGAGCTTCACAATAGAATTTGAGGCTGGGTCTCACTGTTCTCATTTGACAGGGACCAAAAGCTATTAAGCCCCCACCCCTAGGCGGGTTAGTCAGTAGCAAAGTCCAGACTACCCAGTTCGCTGATCACTTTCCCCCACTGGCAATTCTAAAGGCAGGAATGGTGAACTCCCAAGCCTGAACTAGCTTCACCTGCTCCTCAGCCCGCCTCTGACCTTCACTGAGCCACGACGTCGCTCTTCTACCTGCCCAGCACCCTCCCTGACGCACAACACGACGCGCGGCAAGCATGGATCGACTTCGTTCCTCTCCCGACTCTAAAAGACCACTGGGAAGTCGAAATCTGGCGCTGGCGCTCCCATCCGGGCCTGTAGTTTTTTGTTTTGTTTTGTTTCTGATGGAGCTGGGATTCGCCCCAAATGTTGCAGTCCCCTTTTGCCCACTGCTCCAGCGTAACCCCCAGTCTCACCTCTTGATAGTGAGGCTTCTGAACAGCGGGTACCACGCGGAGAACTGACAGTGCAACACATGCTCCTTCTTCATTCTCCAGCCGCCGCCGCCGCCGCCGCCGCTGCCTTTCCCTCTCCTCCCGGCACCTTCCCGGAACCCTGCTCTCCCGTCCCGGAAGTGCCCGCCGAGCTGGTTTGGTAGAGGACACTTCCGGTCTGTGAGGCAAGGAAGAAGGAGCAGAGAAAAAGAAACTTGGGGCGTGGTTTTAGTGTATATACACACACACACACGACAGAGAAAAAGAACCTTGGGCGTGCTTTTAGTGTACACACACAAAGTTCTGGCCGCAGGAGAGGAATTCTGGAAGAGTTCCGAAGAGGGTTGTAAATAGCGAAACGCAGCCCTTACCACCTAGAGGCGGACTCTGCCCCGGAAGGTAATTTTCTGCGGCGAGGTCACTGGCAAGGGCTGCTACGGGTGCCGCGAGGGGCCGAGCGCGCATCCTCCGTCTCATTTGGCCGCGAGGTGCGGCTGCGACTCCTGCCGTAGAGCTGCACCTCCTGAGCCTCGTTTCCTCGGACCCGTGCGTTCTCCTTTCCTCCCCCTTCCTAAAGGAGTCCGCATCCCTTCGCCGCACGCCTGGGAGTAGGTAACTGGGCGCGGGCCAATCACATGCAGGGGTTCCTGGCGGGGAGACGGAGGGAGCACACCTGGAGCGTGCGGACAGCCGCGCGCTCGTCCCGGGCTGCGGACCCGGTTTGCGTCCGCGAGGCGCGGAAAGGGGGAGAGGGGGCAGGTTCAGAGGCAAACCAGGGACCGGGGTGGAAGAACTGGGCTCCTCGGGGTCCGGGAAACTGCAAACATCACAGTGAGCTGTTAGTGTGAGTGCCGCCGTGGAGGCATCTGCAGAGGGAGTCACGGCCCCCGCTTGCCTCGTCGGGAAAGGCTATGAACGAGAGGGAAGGAGACCCGTCTCTGCGATCCCGGGAGTCAGGCTTCGGAAGTGGTAAGAGGAGGTAAATTTGGAGGACAGAAGAAAGAAGGGGTGAGGTGAGGTGAAGTGAGATGTCGCTTTTGAGCGTCAAGTTCATTTATTCCATCCTCTTAAACGTAGTAGCTTGCAAAAACACAGCCCGATTGTATCCGTACCCATACCGTGCTGGATTCATAAGACCCTAAGGAATACTAGTCGAATTTATAATAACTTTCTTTTTTCCTCCTCTTCCTCCCCTATTACCTTATCGTCTGTTCTTTTCCTTACGCAAGGAAGTGTCAGAAGGCGACCAAAATGTAGAGTACTTAAAATTACGTTCACTTTCTATTTCTAAAGTGAATGAAAAATGACGAGGTGCTGAGAAACACCTTTTAAACCTAGCCCTACTTCTTAACGGGCTTCCCTGGTGACCCCGACGGTAAAGAATCTGCCTGCCAATGCAGGAGACTCGGGTTTGATCCTTGGATGGGGAAGATCACCTGGAGAAGGTAATGGCTAGCCACTCCAGTATTCTTGCCTGAAGAATTCTGTGGACAGAGGAGCCTGGCAGGCTACAGTGCATGGGATCACGAAGAGTCCAGCGCGACTGGGCAGCTTTGACCTTCACCTTGCTTCTTAGAGTTACCTACCTTGGGCTTGTCCCCAGGCACCTTTCCCTAAGGGCACACATTTTGGATATCTGCTTAAAATTGCACTTTCTTACTGACCCATCTTTGTTCTTCAGTTGCAAAGTAGGCAAAGTGATGGGGGGAGGGTTATTGACTAATTCCAAATGAAATAATGATAAAACATTTCCTTCTCTGAATCCATAACATGACTAGTATTGTAGGTTAGTGTTTCCAACTGCCTGATGGTTTTCTCCACTTGAATATCTTACCAGCATCTCAGACTCTGTGTCCAAATTTGCACTTGCGCCACCCCTTTCTCCCTGTTTCCTCTAAGATCCTCTCCGTCTTAGAATTCGCTTTGGCATCCCCAGAAACTGTTTTAAGAAAAGCAAAAAGTCTCATCTGCAAGGAATTAATCTGTTTGCTCACTGCTGCTCCACTGTAGTCCAAACCTATGTTCTCTCTTCTCTGGGCTATTACAAGAGGTCCTTCACTGGTATTATTGCCATGTGACTATAACCAATTAACTTTTCCCAAGAGTAAGTACAGTCAGTTCTCTCTTGCTTAACCAGAACTAAATGTAATGATTGTAAATCACCTGATAAATGATAGTAAATGTTAGTTCCCTTCCTGCCCATTCCAACCCCTACACCTACTGAAAAACAAAAGAAAGAAGAATACTTTCAGTGGCTTTCCTTTACGATCAAAATAACTACAGGAAGTTTTCATCATGTAAGGGTAATCATTGTCAGCAAAGAACTCACTTGAAGCAAATCCATTTGAGGTGGATACCAAAATCTTACCAGAGGCGGTACAAAAGAAGTACTGATCAAAATCTTATCTTCAGGGACTTCCCTGGTGGTTCAGTGGTTAAGACTCCACAGCAGGGGGCCCAAGTTGGAATCCCTGATTGCCCTGCAGTGCAGCGCCACCCCCCTCAATATATATATACACATATAAAAGTACTGATGGTCCCTTGGATGGCAAGGAGATCCACCCTGAATATTCATTGGAAGGACTGATGCTGAAGTTTCAATACTTTGGCCACCTGATGCGAAGAGCTGACTCTTTTAGAAGAGACCCTGATGCTAGGAAAGATTGAGGGCCAAAGAAGAGGGTGGTAGAGGATAAGATGGTTAGATAGCATCACTGACTCAATGGTTATGAATCTGAGCGAACTCTAGAAGATGGTGAAGGACGGGGAAGCCGTCCTGCTGCTGCAGTCCATGAGGTCGCAGAGAGTCAGGTACGACTTAGTGACCTACAACAACATGTATATAATCCTTTAAAAAGCTAAGAATTTTGAAGTTTTATGATTACAACCAAGAATATTAAATGTAACTACATTAATGATACTTTGTTCATTATACATCAAGTAGTTTTTCTGTGTAATTATTCTGAAAGAACTTAGAATGGAATCTTAGATGTACCTATTAACACAAAGTAATTTTTTGCAAAAATTGATCTCCCTCTTAATTTCTTTCAAGTTGCCTTACTGATTTCTCTATCTATAAAACTGCCTGCTTGAGTCTAGATGGTATTTACAATACTCAGCTATTAGCTAAGGGAGATTAACCAGTGTGTGATTTCTTGCTCTGAGTTTTGCTTCACTTTGCAAGCCCAGCAAACTGCAGGGACTCAGGTATGGTAATAATTGAATGATGAGGAGCCTGGGCGCATACTCTACAGTCTGGCTTCTGAGAATCTCAGTTTAACTTCTTGAATCTTACTCTTGCTTAACTTGGCAATCCAGCTGTTGTAAAAAGGCGATCATTTATCTCTCTCCCAACCCCAAGAGGAACATGCCCAACAACGGGAGTTTGTGACTTGCCAGTTAGGGTTTTTGAGTGCTTTGTTTGTCTGCAAATGTGGGGGAAAGGGGTGGGCATCCAGCCAAATCTATGTAAGCCCTTGGAAATGTGTTTATAAATGTTACCATCGTCCCTTACACAAGGGATTGTTTTTGGCTTTTTCTTGGGAGGGAGTGGGGAGGGAAAGGTTGAGAGCCACAGAGCTTGCTGAACTCCTGTAAATTTTCAACCCTTCCCCCAGTCAGTATCTCTGCTTTTTGTTCACGTGGATCCTTCCTCTCAGAGTGCTTTCCCTGGCTTCTTAGTCTCTAAATCATAGCTTAGTATCAAACTGCCTTTTAACAGTCACCTTTTTAAAAAGACTTTACTATTTTCCCTGCCTCCCGAGTGGATGTGACTTGTGCCTCATTTCAAATACCCTGGCGTCACATAGTCTTTCTGGCAGGCATTTGCCTTTATGGCTATTTGTGTCCTCCAGTGTAAGGTCCCCTGGGGCAGGAATCGTGGTCACTTCGTGCTTGCAATACACTTGAACTTGTGAACTGCCCATGTTCACAGAGCTAGTTTGCCACTGCTGCCCACCACTGTGCAGGAGTTCTAAGAATCCTGTGACATTTTCCCTCATTTTTTGTGCCCTGGAAAAATCATACATCTGGCTCATCATAGACCTTCACCTCTTTAACCAAAGTAGGTGAAAACATACTCTGTGAATTAGAGCACTCAACATTAGGTGTACCGTGTGCCTCATCGCCCAGCTGTATACCCCGCTCCTTGGGACCCCGTGGACTCCTAGGAGTCTGTAGCTGGCCAGGCTCGTCTGTCCGTGGTGCAAGGGAGTTTTTTGTGGGGTTTTTTGTATAACATACACCTACTGGCAAAAGGTAGATGATCTTCAGTTCTAGCTAATGAAATGGATACAATTTGAATTAAACTTTCAAATCTCGAAATAGCACGAGTCCCTCAGGAAAGCTCTCTGGCTGTGTGATGGAGCCTGAGGTGCAGCCAAGCATAGAACGCTGACTGGTTTCTGCAAATCTGTGTTTGTGGTGACCAGCCCCACGCTGCACCATTCAGCTTCTGTCCCTGACTGAAATGGTGCTGAGAGTAATACTCTTTTTGTTTTAGTAGTATTTTTGAGGTGGTTTCATAATCATGGACATTTTGGGAGTCGAGCAGTATAGAGTATTTTTCTGAAACCACTCTTAAATCCCGTTTTTGTTTTTAACACAGTCAATAGATTGCCACAGATAGCTGTTTCCCCTTGGGGCTGATTGCATTCCAGGCAATTACCCAGCCCTGTTAGCCACTTTTTTCTTTCTTTTTTTGTAATTTATGTCAGGAGCTTGTTTTTTGTTTTTCTAGACCTCTTACATTCTAGCTTAAACATTTAAAAATATAGTCTATTTGAAACAACTGCTTCTGGCTTAGCATTTGCCAACCAAAGGTCGATTTTTGATTTCTACTGGGACTGTTTTGTGCTTGAATCTAGCTAACTTGGTTAAATGAGTAGTGGACGAGAATGGGGCTTTTTTAGTTTTTCAGCTCATCAGCAATCTGAAGATCTGAGGGCAGCTATAAAGAGAGACATAAGGAGCCTCAGCAGATAATGCAAATACCTTAAAGTTCCGTGTAAATCTGAAGGAACTAGATGCCCTTTTGCCCCTAAAGATGCTCACATGGGGGTCAGGGGAGGACCTCTGTGCTCTTCTAAATTATGTGTTACTGACCATTTTGTTCCCTGGGCATCCAGATTAAGAATCTTTTCATAGAGAAAATTAGTTTGCCTGGCTCTTCCTGTCTGCCCTTCTGGTGGTGCTTGTACCTCTGAGGACTACAGTTCTCTGCTTTTAAGAAGCTTGGGTCAGAGTCACTTTCATAGGAGGTAAACGTTTTGACTTAATCCAAACGTTTTGTACCATCCGAGACAGACTGTTGTGCACTGAAGGGAGTTGCTTGGTTGCCTGAGAGTCACTTTCTCTTAAGTGTCAGAACTAAAAGGGGGGGAAGTTTTCCTTCTCTGATACATATGTTATCAATAGAAGGAAATGGAAATCTAGAAGATAAAAATCTCCGTGGATAAAGTTCTTTCCTCGGGGTGTGGAGCACTCAGGTGCAGACAGGTAGTAACTAACTTGTGATAACGTTTTCATCCAAGGCAGCCTGCCACTTTAATTGTCTATAATGATGTAAACTGTTTGTCTGATCTAAATCAATGCCAGTTAAAAGTTCACCTAATAATTACCATCTGGATTACTTTCAAAGGAACAGCTGCCTGTTTTCTTTTGCTGTATTCATAGAATATGCTAACTGATGGTCTCTAAGTATCTCAGCATCCATGTAGCTTACTAGTTTGTTACTGAGACAGAGGATCAGTTCAGGAAGTCCGACAGCTAAGTATTATTTCCTGAAAGAGAGAACAGAGGGGAGGAGATTATCAGTGAAGTGCTCAGTGAAGTGCTCAGTTAAGGAAGCACAGAATGGGGGAGTTCCTGGTGGTCCAGTGGTTAAGGCTCCATGTTCCCAATGCAGGCGGCCCCGATTCCATCCCTGGTTAGGGAACTAGATCCCACATGCCACAACTGAGGCCCAGCAAAGTCAAATAAATGAGTATTTAAAAATAAAAGGAAGCACAGAATGAAGTTTCCAGGTTGAAAGGACCCACTGGAATCCCCTACAAGTCACATCAGCATCATTGGACGTCAACAACTGTGGGTTCCAGAGGAGGAACACGGGGTCACATCGAAGAGGATCCAGGATCAGTGACTCCAGATTTCTCAGCAGCCAGCTTGCTTCTCAGAAGCAAAACACTGAGCAAGGGTCTCCAAATATGATTTTCAGCCCTTAATTGTATCTGCAGCCAAGTTATCAATCAACTTTGGGGGTAGAAAAAAGACTTTCAGGCATTCAGGATACAGGAATTGAGGGAATGCATGAGAGAGACAACAGAAGTCGTGGCCCACAGCCACTTGGACGGGGCTCTCTGCTGACAGATTGTGTTTCTGGTTAACTCTTTATGTGCAGCTGTGTCTTTGATCCACGTGGAGACTTTGGATGGGCCACTGAACTGTGCAGTTTTCAGTTATTAAAATGGCATATACATTAACACAGAGATAAATGGGAAAGAGAAGCAGCCAGCCCGTATAATACAAAGTTTCACTGTAAAGAGTTGATAAGGGATGGCAGTTGAGGGGCGGGCATGGGGCACGATGTACAACCTTTGTTCTGTTTCTCCTTGGAAAGTGTTTTCTGAAGACCTCGGGCACGGCAGGCTGTGGACTGGTCTCACTGGGCCGCTCTCTGTTCTTTCCCGGCTGTTCTAGAGGCCTTGCGTTTCCTATTCCGTCTCCACCTCGGGGCAGCTGGCAGCTCTCCCCCACCTTCAGCAGAGGAATGCAGCTTTGATGACCCGGGGTTTTCCCCCATTTAAGTAAATACTTTGCCCAGTGACCTGTGGACAACGTGTAATTCAGAAAAATTAATGTAGCCTAAGCCAATCTCTTTTCTCTTGCAGCGTGAGGTTCTTGCCTGTGGACTGTAAAGATCAACCAGTGTGAAAATGGAACAAGAATCAACAGGTTCTTCCCGAAATACCGAACAGTCTATTATCTCAGAGGAGGTATACATTGTCTTTTTACTTCCCTTCCCCTCTGCCACGTAAAGCTGAGGTTAAAAGAAATTTACAGTTTCAAATGATTGTTTTTAATTCTTCAAGGTAGTTTTTAAACATATCTCCTGCTCCTTTTAAGGACTCAGGGCCACTTGGCTCTTGTGTGATAGCAGTGGTGTCTCTTCATTATATGTATTAGTGAAATTGAGGCTGTTTTTAAAATGGGTTTCGACTGTTGATTTTTAAAACTCTCAATTTTTACTTATCTTTTTAAATTTAGTTTTTATTGAAGTATAGTTGATTTATAGGGTTGGGTTAATTTCTGCTGTATGGCAGAGTGATTCAGTTAAATATATATATGTACACACACATCTTTTTCATATTCTCATGTGGTTTATCCCAGGATGTTGAATATAGTTCCCTGTGCTGTACAGTAGGACCTGTTGTTTCAGTTTTCATTGGAAGTTTCCCTGGATAGAAGAATAAATCATATGTGAATTTTAAGGCTTAGACATTTTGTCCTAAATATCACATATTGGTAAACTATTTGTGGCCTCAATATGCATGCTTAAGGACAAGAAAAACCTAAGTTTTGAATATGTCTTGCATGTTATCCAGTTTACCTTTTAAAAAGTCTCTTCCTGTGGGAACCATTGCAGAGGACAAACTTTAAATCCTTCATCTTTGAAACTCTGAGCTTGACATCTTTCTGGAATTCTTTTTTATTTAAAAATATTTCTGTGTTGTCTGTGAACAGATCTGCTGAATAATTATTAGGTTGCTGCTGGCGACAAGTAAAAGATAGAATACTTAGAAAAAGGCCACTTGCTGCTTTATGCACACAGGGAACCTTTGCACTCACTCAGTGTAGTCTGTAGGTAAGCTAGTCCTGGCAACCTAACCTCCTCAGCATCGAAGTGGAATGATGCTGGGTGCCCTTCAGGCTGGGTGGTAAACCCATGTCACTACGGGGGATGTGCTCGTCGGCCACTGTGTCCCTGGAATCGGCTTTGCTGTGTAAGCGTTGGCAATCAGATGCCACTGGGGTTCACACCCTGAAACACACCTGTGTGGCTGGCACCAGGTCGGAGGAGAGGTTAGGAGCATCCCAGAAAGCCCCTTCCTCCTCAGACCTCCCCACGACCCAGAATTCGTGAGTTCTCATCTCTCTTCAGTTCTCAATCCTACCTCCAGAATTCTACACAACAGCAGCTCCACCATCAGAAAAACCGCTTTTACTACTTTGAACTGAAAACTTGGACAGGTTTTGAGGGGGAAAGATCATTGAGAGCCACAAAAAATTTGAAAGAATAAAAAAACAAAAAACAGCTCAGTTTGAAAGTTTCCCAACTTACTGTCTGATTTCCTTTTAGTTAATTTCAGAAGGAAAATGGGTCAAACTTGAAAAAACAACTTACAGAGATCCTACTGGTAAAACAAGGTAAACTGTTTTTTTCTTTTTGAAAAATGCTCAGGATTTGGATTCTTGGGGTCTCTATTTAGTGTTTGGCATAAACATTGATCTTTTCCTCACTGTAAGCTCTGTCTTAAAGAATCTAGTTGAGCTGTTTTAATACCGTTCTCAAGTAGATTACGGTGAACCTAAAACTTTTGGGCCAAGCCTAATTTCAGCTGATAAAGCAGCAGAATAACAGTACAGGTTATTTCCTCCTCTTAAACCAGTTTTTTCATCTCTGAATTAGAATGTAAGAGAAAACACTGTTGGGTTTGGGATAAAATGTGCAGGTTTATACTTGTTCATGGAAAGGTAAGTTGAGGGGGGAAAGTTTTGTAAAGCAAATACCAATTGCCATAAAGAAATATGGGAGTAGGGAGGGAGTTCCTGGAGTCTGGCCCCTGCAGTGTCTTGATACTGTGCTGAGGAAATTATTTGCAGTCAGATCTGTGCATGAAAAAATTTCCATCATAATTATTTTAAAGGACAAATTGAACATCTTAAAAATAGCATCTAAACATCTTCAAAAGAGAAAAATTATTATTACAGTGTATATACTTGGTAAGAAACTGTACAACCACCTCCAAAGCAGATCATGATGATAACCTGGTGGTATGAGAAAAGTTCATAAGCTGATAAGAAAATAGGAAATTGGATATATGCTTTTTTCTAATGCTTTTTAAACTCTGCCAAATAATGTGTAAGAAAAGGCTAGAAGGAAAACTGTAGCAAAATAATAATGGCAGCTATGTGACTAGTCTTTTTTCCAACTTTCCTATTCAGCATTTTTTAATATCTATCGATTTTTCCTATTCAGCATTTTTTTAATATCTATCGATTTTTTAATAACTATCAGGAAAAATGTGTTAAAATAAACATTTACTTAGTGAAATAGAAAAAGGAGAATGAGAAAGTAGGAAAACTTTGCTAAGTTTAGTATCCAGGTTATATGATTTAAATTCATTAATATAAAAACTTGTAAGTGATCAAATAAAAGTATAGAGTTTCTTCGTAAGGTAATAAATACACCTCTCATCAGTGTTGAAGTACATGGACTTGCCAGTGATTTTAACAACTTTTGACTATATGTACTAAAGTAGCAAAAAATAGTAACAAGGTCCAGTGTTGGAGAGCTGTGGGAAACATTAAGATGTCCATAGCACGGTCCAACCCAAAGTGAGAAAGCTGACGGCAGCTTGCCCCATCCACAGAGCAGTGAGCCGGCTGGGTAGGACTAGGCCACAGAGACGCCAGGAGGTCCAAGCCTCGGTGACATGGCCAGTGCGCTTACACTTGTGAAAACGTAGCCAGAGCTTAGAGCCCAGCCTGCCCGGATCAGTTGGGTTCTCTTTCCTGTTGTTAAGCTTATGACACAAAATAGAGCCCTTGACACTGGCCAGTGTGAAGGGTACGTGTCGACTGTCACCCTCCCCATCCTCATTTCATCAGGGATGTGCCTTGGAATCACGTGGGACCTATTTCCAAATACTGTCAATTCGGTTTCAACCTCTGGAGAGTCTCCTCCAGCAGCGGGGAGTGGGCTCTGGGGTCTCCAGACTCTACACTATGAGCCTATTGACAGCACATTCCTCCCCATCCGTCCATACACAGGGCTCCCTGTGGCCTCCAGAAGCTCCCATGTGAGACATTAACATCTCATACCTGACTGTCAGGCTTCAGAGCACTTAGAACAGGCTATGATTTATACATTTATAAAACACTGCATGTACAAAACAAAACTGCAGCTAGAGAATTCTTTGTCCCACTCTCATTCATGGATGAGGGTACAGAATTGATCTGGGGAGAAACATTAATTTTGTGTCCCTTTATCAGCATTCAGGACAGAGCTGAGCTCATTCTCTGGTGCCCTGCCTACCTCTTGGAGTTGGTTGCCTAGGGGGAAGAAAGTGAAACAGGCTTTCCTATAACAAACATTAAAAACAGTAACTCAACTGGAGGGCTTCCCAGGGCTCTGGTAAAGAATCTCCCTGCCAATGCAGGAGACGTGGGTTCGATTCCAGGGTCAGGAAGAACCCCTCGAGAAGGAAACGGCAGCCGACTCCAGTGTTCTTGCCTGGAGAATCCCATGGACAGAGGAGCCTGGTGGGCTACAGTCCAGAGGGTCACAAAAGAGTCAGATACAACCTAGCGACCAGAATCAGAATTCTAAAGCTACCAGAGACTTAAAGACAACGTACCCTGAGTTCCCTGGTTTTACAGGTGAGAAAACAGTCACCAGGAGGTCGTGACTGTGGGGTCACCTAGTGACCAAGTGGAGACACGGAGTTTCTGACTCAATTAGGTGGACAGCTCTCCTCTCTGAGTCTCTTGGAGATGACTGGAGCTCTCAGGGACGTTCTTGTTCTAGGATTTCTTACAAATAACATATCTATTTTGTGGCTCCATACTGCTCATTTACTTCATCTTAACCACTATAATGATGCTCCTCTCTCTGCTTCCCTTGTTCCTAGTGTATTTGGGATGGGACCTTCAGTGCTTCTCCCAGCTATCTTCTTCGGTCTTTAGGACCAACCCTAAGAGGCCGCAAGGACTGGGCCAACAGGTGTTGTCACTTGCGATCTGTGTCACTGACTGATCAGAGTGGCTTGTTGGTTGGCTTCTTGCTACTAACAGGAATGTTGGCAGCTGTGAGTTGTCATGGTGGTCCTGTTGATTGTCACACATCATTTCGACATATTTGCCCTTTAGAACTCGGGTATAATACTGAAAGACCTAGTTTACAGAAAGTTTTTTTTAAACTGGATTAAATATCTGACATTTTTTCATAGAAACGTGGCAAGGTCCAAGCCTTAAGGACAACCGGATAAAAGGCATGAGGGTTACTCTGAGGAGCAGCTCTTATACTCACTCGCAAACCGACACCAGATGTGGACACCTTTCTCCCCCTGGGTCCACTCAGATGTCTTCCTCCTTTTAAATCCAGAATTGTTTGCTTCCTTACCCTCATCTCTAACCACTGCTTTTCTCTATCAGAGGGTTGAGAGTGAGGAAGAAATTCCCTAACCTTTAAACAGTAGGATTGTGCCAGTAACTGGGTTGTCAGTACCAGATTCCCTGAGACAAATAGCTAGTCAGGAATAAGGCCGCAAGAGGGGACCAGGAACCTCTCACCCCACTTATTCTTCTGGGGAACGTTTTCCTCTTAGATGGTATCTCACAAATGCAAAGCAGAGCACTCACCAAAGAGGATTAATCCCTCAATTAGTAAATAGTAAATTTCTTAAATTTGAGTGTTCAGGGTCACTGGTGTTAAAACCCCCCCCTGTACAGAACTGTCTCAGTGGTCCGCGTGACGCAGAGTGTCCTTTGGAATTTGCACGGGGGCGGGGTTTGCACGGACTGCTTCGTGGCCTTCAAAGCTAGATCACCAGCTGTGCTACTCACCGCAGATCCGTGATCCAAACTGAAGTGTTTCAAGTAAATGACTTGCGAGCTGATCGGAAAGGCAGCTCAGGTGAAGAGCAGGCCCTCCACTCAGAGGCAGAGGGTTAGATGTAGTCAGCAGTGGATTTCCTAGGTAATTTTAGAAGCTATGGGAAAGCACAGTTGGCTCTTTTTTTGATACAGCTCTTTACTGTGTGGTGTTCTTGGCCGTTATCCTCAGCACATGTGCATGCTTCGAACTTGTAAGGTGCTGGTTACACACGCAAAACTGACGAACAGTCTCCTCTTCAGCACTAATGCTTTCAACTTTTCTTGTCTGCCCGAACAGAACATGGGAGACCGTGAAGCGGACAACCAGGAAAGGCCAGTCGGCTGACGGTATGAGTGCAGACCTGTTAGAACTCTCCCAAAAGCAAGTCCCCACACATGACTGTGGAGCCTGGGGGTAGGACGGTTTCTTACTCTAACCACGACTTCAGAGCAGGGTTGTCTTCACATATGATCTTTCATCCTTAACTCTGGTGTTCTGTTTGCAACACTATATAACTAAATCGAGCTTTCTTTATAAGTAACTTCTGGTTCCTGTTACATAGGCTCAGAACAGTGTTTCTGAAGGGAAAATGTAATCCTACTCAGAGCCAAACATAAGTCAGTGTAATTTGAAGCCACACGCTGTATCTAGATGTGTTACGACTTCTAGAAATCCCCTTGTGTTCTGGACAGAGCATCTAGGTGAGAGCCTTTAGTTTGGAAATCTTACTTGGCACTACTATGTGCTTTATAGTAGTGACCACTTGCTTTGAGGAAATGAGGCAATGAATTAGGAAAAGACTATTCATTCAGTCCACCTTCCCTTCCAGGCATGAATGCTTTGGCTACAAATATCCCAGAAACAGTTCTGAAAACCACCTCTGGTCTAGGGGAAGCTGGGCAATAGGTCTTTCTCATTTTTCCCTTTTATTTTTGCACTTTGTTCTGTGTTCTGGTTTTCCTAGAAGCAGACAGGGTAGCTGCTGCAGCTGCTGTTTTCATGCTAGGAAAGTGAGAGGACCTGAGTGGTCCCCCTGAGCAGTTGTGTTTTCCAGAATCCAGTGGCCTTTGGGTTGGGTTTGGTGTGAAGGCCAAATAACTTGGGAGAAAAGGCCTTTCTTTTATCCTAAGACAATAAAGCTCAGTGTAGCTGACATAGACTATGAACAATGGAACTTACTCTCTTTATTGCTTAAAGGAAATCTAAGAGCACAGATCTGTGTAACTTATGTGGCCACCTGTCTGCAGCTGGGTGAGAAATGGTCTCCACAGAGGCTCATGGAGACGGAAATTTTGTCCTGGACCCTGGGCTAAATGTTTACTTCTAGTTGTGATTTCCTTTTAAAGAAATCGTGACGATAAAAATCTTTTATTTTATAAAATAAAGTTTTATTTTATAAAAAAGAAAATTAAACAACATGGAAGTGTCATTATTTTTTCCTTGTTTTTCTTAATAACTTCCAAAGTTAACTGCCAGTATTATAGCTTAAATTAACTTCCTATTACTAATGGCAAATACAAGAAAGACTTTAGCTGCAGTGTTTCTTAAAAGGTGGGCTTTCAGTTAGACTGCTCTAAACAAAAATCACTGGCGTTGCTGACCTTCCACTGGGGTTTCCCTGGTTTTATTTCCTGCTGGCAGGTGTGGCAATCATCCCTGTGTTGCAGAGAACCCTTCACTACGAATGCATCATTCTGGTGAAGCAGTTCCGACCCCCGATGGGAGGCTACTGCCTAGAATTTCCCGCGGGTGAGTAACAACACTGGGGGGAGAATCACCCCTGGGGGACAGTGGGACTAAGCCCAGGCAGAGCCTGAGGACAGTGGTGTTTAAATATTTAACAGCTTTTCATCTGTCCATGTGGTTTCAAGTAAAACAAAACCACTCGTGCACTGAAGTACCTCCAGGCCACACCCCAGTGATCCGCAAATCCATGGAGGTGTCACAGCTCACTTTTCCGGGCCGCCTGCCCTCTTCCTAGCAACATTCTTTCTAGCCTCTTTTGAGTCATTGCTTTTCCTTAATTTGTCAAAAGTATTTCATTTTCCATCACTCGCAATCTGCCTCTGGCAAATTTACGCAATAACTACGCCCAGCTCTTTAAAAACTGAATGTAAAAGATACTGTGATACTCCCATACCTAAGCAGGCCAAGGAAATTGTCTTAATTTCAACTCGAATATTTTTTCAGTCGTTACAGAAGGTATCTAGAATTGAATGCGGTACATATTCTAGGACTTCATTGGGTTTTTCCATGTGAAGAGATGAGGTCTCATTTCTTGTTAGTGGTTTAAGTTCTATATTTTCAGTCCACCTCATAATAACAGATTAAGTAACAGGTTTATTTTCTTGCTCATTTCCTTGCCATTTCACTGAAGAAATAACTTTAAAAGTAATTGAGGGACTTTCCATGGTGGCCCACTGGTTAAGGATCCGCCTGCCCGTACAGGGACAGGGCTTTAAGCCCTTCCTGGTCCAGGAAGATCCCACGTGCGGTGGAGCAGCTAATCCCATGCACCACCTCTTCTGAAGCCTGTGCTCTAGAGCCCGGGAGCTGGCAACAGGAGAAGCCACTGCAATGGGAAGCCCTCGCACCGCAACTAGAGTCACCCCCAGTTGCTGCAAGTAGAGAAAGCTCAGCGCTGCAGTGAAGACCCGGTGTAGCCAAAAATAGGACAAATATGCCATTTTAGTTTAAAAAAGAAAAAAAGTAATTAACCCATGTTCACTTTTTCTTAGCGTTTTAAAAATTCCTTTCAGAAAAAAGGACTTGCTACGCTGCTGCCCTCCTCACAGTGAACTAGTGGTACCTGCATCTTCCCCCACCCCCACCCCACGCCAACCCCTGGCCTTTGCTTCCATCCTTTCCCATCGTCTCCTGCCCAGGAGTCATTTACACTGGCGATTCCCTACAGGGCCTCCATGTGGCTCTGAGGGAGGAAAGCAAGATGGGTAACACTGTCCCTATGCCTGCACCGAGGTGACGTGACTCGACCAGACCTCCGCCGGCCCGCACCTAGCTGAATCCACCGGTGCCGGAGGTCACGCTGTATGGTAGTGTTGACGCTGAAGTGCTCACAGGAGCATCTAGGGCCAGACATGAGAAGCAGAGCCTACTAAATCTGCCCGGAGTGTTCTGCCTTTAGTTTTTCTATAATGGATCAGAACCTGAGTCAGTTTTATCTGCACACCCACTTTTCCCAGACCTCTTGGTTCTTGGCACCTAGCTCAGCAGCAGGGGGTGCCCTGTCCCGCTCTCACGTGCCTGGGGCTTGCAGGTCTCATCGACGACAACGAAAGCCCAGAAGCGGCTGCTCTTCGGGAACTCGAGGAGGAAACCGGCTACAAGGGCGACGTTGCTGACTGCTCTCCAGGTACGCGCTGCTCCCACAAAACCAGCCAGGTGGTCGGATCGTTCTGGGGGTTAAAGAGTTTATTCTTTGACTGTTCTCCATGTTGGGAATTCAGGTGGCTTCTATTTGGCTAATTCACTGAAAACAAAGCCTAGATGAAGGCTGGTCATCTGTAAGTGAACCCCGTCCCGCCTCCCCACCATGAGAGCACCGCTGAACAAAAATGACTTGAAATTGGAGAATTACTATGAAATTAGGGTCCCTTTCAGGGTTTCCACATTCTAAACTTTTTCTCATCCATATGCCACGCTTGTTACTAGGGGACTTTCTTGATGTGGTGGAAGGATTTTACGTCTAACCCCTAGGACTTACCAGACTTCCCTCAGGAACTCGGGAAAATCAGTACTGATTATACATGTGCTTTGCAGCCTGACAGCGTGTGTACTAAGCGAATAGGAGAAACTAGTTCTCTTACGTGACTTCCATGTTAACGATGAGTCACAAGTTGACTCTTCCTCCAGAGACAGTTCAGTGATAAATGACATCTCACTAGTATCTGGAAAAGTGACCTGCTGCCTCTCTCCCCAGCTGTGTGCATGGATCCAGGCTTGTCAAACTGTACCACACACATCGTGACTGTAACTATCAATGGAGATGACGCTGAAAATGTAAGGCCTAAGCCAAAGCCAGGTACGTGGGCACTGGCTGCATTGACAGTGGTTGCGCTGCACTGAATATCTTTTAACATACTACTAGTTTGATTTTTGTTAATAGAATAAATGGTCTTTCACAGATGCTTCATCGGTACACTTGGCTATTTTTTAATCTTGTGTATTTAGCCCTTTTCTCACAGCACTTCCTTGATTTTTATGCTTTACATAAAATGTTAAATTATGTATTTCCATGTTTTCTGTATGGTGTTTATTCCCACTTAAGAGCTACGGACCTTAAATAGTGATCAGTGAAAATTTTCAGAATCACTCCCGATTTCTATCTCTGTATTGTAAGAATGGCAGGAATGCTATGGCACGGCACCATATTAACTATTCCTTATTGAGTTCCATGTTTAGTGAAGCTTTGGGGAAGTTCTTTGCCCCCTGTTTCTTAGCAGGCTTGGATTCAGAGGCCATAATGCCTGTCAGTTCCATGTGCTCTCCCACCCCTTAAACGGTAGTGGTGACACAGAATCACCTCATCATGTGTCAGAGTGGAGGTCTTCCATTTCCCAGTCCTTTTAGTTGTTCCTCAATGTTTCCAGTTTCCCATCGCAGCTAATTTTAAGTGCTCAATTTTCAAACTAGTGGATGTAACATGATGAGGAAGAGTTTGGCAGTTCCTCAGAGAGTTACACATGGAATTAGCCTGTGATCCAGCAATTCCATCCGTAGGTGAATCCCCAGGAGAATCAAAAGCAGGGGCTCCAATAGACAGGTGGACATTGAACATCACTCACAATACCCAAAAGGTGGAAACAACCCAAGTTTCCATTAACAGAAGGGTAAACAAAACGTGGCCCATTCTTACAGTGGAATATCATTCAGCCATAAAGCAGTGAAGCAGGCAGATATGTGAAGCTTGAAAGCATTGTGCTCAGTGAGATTAAGCTGGACACAGGAGGGCAAATATTGTGTGATTCCACTGATAGGAGATAGCTGTATATTATGATACCTATTTCATAGAGACAGAAGGTGGAATCGAGGTCACCAAGGAGTGGGGGATGGGGAATTCTTGTTCAGTGGGCACCACCTTTCTGTCTGGATGATGCAGATGTTCTCATGATTGCACAACAATGTGAATGTGTTCAGTGCCACTGAATTGGTACCTTCAAAAATGGTCAAATTGATAAGTTTTATATTATATATATCTTAACAGTTTAAAAATATACACGTGTGTGTGTGTGTATATATATATATCACAAAATATGCTTTAAACTTGGCTATTAAAACATTTGATTTGGAAAAGAATAACATTGTACTGTTGGGATTTTTTTTTTTTAACCATGTATATAAGTGAAATCAGAGGCCCAGGTTTCTGTTAAACTCTTGTAGGCTTTTTGTCATGGCTTGCACAAAAGCCATGCAGTGTGTGACCACGCTGGGCCTTGCTGAAATGTCCTCTTCTGTGTGTTTTCAGGAGATGGAGGTACGTCGTCACACCCCGGGGGCTGGCCTTGTGCGCCGGTGTTGCGGCGGGAGTGGCTGAGGCATCGTGAGTTGCTCGGGTGGGCTCACCTGGCGTCTGGCTCAGTTTTCACTTGTACCTTGTTTGTTTAGAATTTGTGGAAGTAATTTCCTTACCAAAGAATGACCTGCTGAATAGACTTGAGGGTAAGCACTCTTGATTATCACCTTTCTCTGTTTTTCCCACCCCTAACCCCAACAAATGGGGAACTAAACGTAATTGTTTCTTTGTTCTTCCTCATTAAAGTAAATACCTAGAAACTGTTAAGAAAACTGCAGGTGACCTATGATGTCTCCTTTCCGGGTGGCAGAGCTTGAAAATAGCAAAACATTCCATGTCAAGTCCAAGTCATGGCCGCAGTCACCAGGAGCACAGCTCTGGGGCCCACAGGTCGGACCGGTTTGAGGCTCAGCTGACTGTGTATTAGTTAGAACTCAGAACAGGTCCCTTAGCGTTTCTCATTAAATGGGAACAGTAAGACAGCCCCTGCCTCTGAGAAGGCAGGAGTAAAACTAAACAGGATAATGTTGCCACACAGATGCTTGAAGGTTATGTTCTATTTTCTTTTTTTATATCAGAATAATATCCCTTTAAAAAAATTCCTTCCTTCTTGTTTCCGGCTAACTTCCCTTCCAGCCTTGTGGGGGCGGAATATTGAGGATGGTGGAGAGAAATCTGTAGATATAGAAGTGGAGGGGCAAAGAAAGCCCCTTTACTAGCTGGCTTTACTAGCATCAGAATATAATAATCGTTATTTATTCAGCAAGTTACTTTTGGGAAGTGGGCCAGAAGGACTTTGGAGCTCAGTTTGCTATGAGGATAGCTTTCAGTGTTCCCTACCCCCACCCCACCCCCAGCCAGGACAGATGAGCAAGACAGAACCCTGTCTTTGAGGGTCAGACCGTCTCTTGAGCTTGTTCCTGAGCAAGTGGCTGGGAAACAAGGGGCAGATTGCCATCTGAGTAAAACAGAAGTCCTCACGAAAACCCCTTGAGGTCTGATTCTGAGACCTCACTCCAGTCCCTCTGGATACACAGCTTCACCTCCACGTGAAACGTGTGTCCCTGACCGTGGAGAGGATGCATGAGTCATCACCACTGGGTGGTTTAGAGCAGCAGAACCCTGTAGTGAGCCATCCACGAGGTGCTGGATGGATCTGTAAACTTAAAAGGCTTAACTGTTTTAACATTAAAATCATCACCCGGCATATGTGCTCTTGTCTTTTCTTGTTCCTACTGTTCCTTGTTCTTGTCTCATGCTGGAGACATAATTCTGCTCTTACATCCTGTATTCTTCCGCTAGAGTAAGATCCCTGAAGGCAGAAAGTGTCTTGTTCATCACCGCTATCACAAGCACATAGCACAGGAACGGCACGCAGTGGCTGCTCAGTGACCACTGGCTACTGGTAAGGGGCATTACCATCCGTTTTCGACTTGGTTGTCTGACTTATCCTCTTCACCTCCTTTAGCTCTGATAGCTGAAGAACATCTGACGGTGGACGCCAGAGTCTATTCCTACGCTCTGGCATTGAAACACGCAAACACGAAGCCGTTTGAGGTGCCCTTCCTGAAGTTTTAAGGCCGAAGGACAGTAGCCGTCCTTTTGTAAACAGGACACCAGGCCTCCTTCACTGTGAGACTTCATAATCAGCTTAGTTGTAATGGAGATTTGAAATTAGCTTTTTCTTAAAATAAAACAACACAGAATGCATGTGGTGGTATGGAATTGTAATTACAGGTAAGCTGTAGCCATCATTTAAATGCCAGACTCTAGCTCATATTAACAGAGAAGAACACAAAATGCTGGTATGTTAAATCCAGCTGTTAAAAAAAAAAGCTATTATTTTTCTAATCTAATCCAGGAGATAATGAGAATAGTCCTGAATTCCAAATTAGGTCAGTTCTTCCCAGTCCCCACTAAAAACTATGTATGTAAATAACCATTTACGGTGTCAGGGTTTTTTTTAAAGCTATATCTGTATAGGGACTTTTTTGGCCTCTCCTGACTGAATTATCTACTATATGGAATTAATCTGCATAGCAGAGATTAAGATAAGACTAACATTTGTGGTAAGCAGATGTTTCCACTTAGATGTCCCTAACAGCCACCTACCTGCAAGAGGTTGACCAGCTCTTATATAATGAAAAATGGTAGATTGATTAATAAAAATATAGGGCCCTGCTCTCAAGCATGTGTCTATACTTTAGAATCTCATTTCCTATCCTCACCTCAAAAAGTACTTAAGTTTTAAAAACCAAATCCCTGGCATCAAGATTTACATGATTTGGGGCACTGTCGGTGGCTCAGATGGTAAAGAATCTGCCTGCAGTGCAGGAGACCTGGATTCGATCCCTGGGTTGGGAAAATCCCCTGGAGAAGGAAATGGCAACCCACCCCAGTAGTCTTGCCTGGAGAATTCCATGGACAGAGGAGCCTGGTGGGCCACAGTCCATGGGGTCGCAAAGACTCGGACTTGACTAAGCGACTTTCTTTCACTTGGTGTTGAACCATGAGTGTAGCCAACATGGTGAGCAAGTATGTATGTTCTTTAAAGGAACATACGGGGGTTGTTTCTGGCTCACATCCCACCCCCCATCCTCAAGGTACACCAGTGTCACTGGCCATCTTCTTACCTCTCAAGCTTGGCTCCTGTGTGGCCTCCAGCGGCTCCAGCATTACTGCCTCTTAGGTGCATAATTCTCTGGGTGGTTCTCATTGGCTTCCCCTGAATCTTGTTTCCAGCCCTGGACCCAGGGGTCAGCCAGGCCCTTGAGAACCACATAAAATCAGGGGACTGATGACAAAAATGCCAGAATATAGTTTGTCTACAGGTTCACTGTCTTACCTAGAGGTATTTTTTGAGCAAAAATAGATGTTTATATTGTATTTCCTAAACAAGGATGGGAAGAATTGTGGAACCAGTGAACTGTATGTATCGTCTCCTCTCTGTATGAATACTGTGAAGATTTCAGCCCCAACTAGTTGCTCTAATGGTAGCTTTCCCCCGGTGCCTTTAAAAAAAGTCCTTATTTTTAATCATTGGCATCATGATTCTCCAGAGACTGTAGTCCTTTCCCGTGAGGACTCAAGGCTCTTGTCGTTACTCCTTCAAAATCAGGAGGCGCTGAGGGACACAGAAAATACGCAGGCCCAAGCACAGACACATCTCCAAACAGGCCAACTCTTGCAAGACCACTCCCATGGCAACTGATAAAGCTACTCTAAAATGCTGATGGAGGGGAGAGACTTGTAACCCCACCTGTCCTTTATGCCTTTTCCTTAGGTCACAGTTTAGAACTGACAGCTAAATCCTAGAATATCCCCCTAACGCAGTGTATGTTCTCCGTATCAAAGGCTATGCTTTGGAAATTTGGTCAGTTTGAGAAGTGGCAATCTGTTTTCACTGGCTGGCCCTCTTGTTTCAGTGTTTACAAGTTGAAAGTTTAGATTAAAAGCAGTATTTCCACTTTCTCTGGGGATAAACAACTGTAACACTGGGTCATATTTCCATGGTAACGGTGGTCCAAGGCCCCCAGGAGATGCTTTCCAATAGATATGGCTCCTGTTCCTATCTACCTGTATTTTCTCTGCCTCCTTGCTCTTAAAATTAGTTGGGTCTATGATCCTCAGCTAAAGGAAATAAACTTCCTGTACTTACTAAGAAAGTCAGCCATGACAGAAAACCATACTAATGAGAAAGACATCTTTGAAAAATCACGTTTGATCTTTTTGGACAACAAAGCACAATAAATAAAAATGAATTACTTACTGTGCTGCTTCAAATACAGGCTGGGACACTGAGAACATTTTTTTCCCTGTTCTTTCCAAATGTCAGTCACAAAACTAAGCGCTTTTTTGGTCACTGTCCCTCCATATTTTTAGGATTAAACTAATACATTTGCAACAGATATCTCAGGATGAATTCTGTATGAATACAATGGATCTATACAAGTAATCTTAGAAATCTTTTAATATCAGACTTTATTTTTCCAACACAACTGAAAGTTTTATTAAATAAAATTTTATTGTCTACTGTTTACACTCATGTTGCTGCTGTAAAGTACAACAACATAACACAAATTCCTAGCATGAATTACTCGTTCACCCCCCACTGAACTACAGACACTGCTTGAGAATTTGGTGTTTGCTTTAGGAATTTAAGGAAAAAAAAAAAAATTGGGGCATATTATCTTGAAGAGTATTCTCAAGTGACCTGTTGGAATTCAAAGGCATAGCCAATACTGCAAAACAGCACTGGCTGTGCCGTCCCTAGGAGCAAAGGGGAGTGGAAAACAGGAAGAGGAACTGAGCAGCTGTTCCTGGTGACAGATGTGACTGAAAGCCTGCCTCTGCCCACCTGGACGGGGTGGCTGCTTTGCAGAGGAACAAATAAAACGGGGGAGGGGTGGGAACGTGGATACCATGAGTTAAAAAAGTATAAAAAGTAATTATATCTAAAATATAGATTAGATATAAATGCTCCAGAACTCGTTAAATAAGCTCAAAAATACTGGAAACTGGCAATTTGAACTACATTTATTTTTAAACGAGTGGGGGGAAACTTGAGTGTTTTGAATGTCGTGTGCAAAACTGATCCACGTCACCATCTCACCATCACGACTGAACATGGCAAGGCGGGTACACTGGTTTCCAGCATCACAGGCAACACTGCATGTATGTGTTTTAATGAGTAATGTAAACTTCAGTGTTAAGGCAGCTGGTACTAACGCTGCACACAGGCTCAGCGCTGCGCCCATTTCAGGAATGGGACAGTCAGCACTTGAAAACAAACTGTGAGAGGAGAAAAGGGGAGCCACCATTATCCGACAAAAACAATGCGTCCGAACATTGTTCCTTTCACACACACAAAAAGAAACTGGAACACTTAGAAAAACAAAGCACCCATCCCGCCAACTTCAGCCTGTTCCTTAACAAATATTTCAAAATACTGATAAATAATAGTGACTGCAAGCAGAATTCCAGTGCCAGAGCCAATGGCCCCAAGGAAGTCGGCCAACACCGACAGGGCGCCGATGCATAAGCCCCCAAACGCAGCTGCTGTGGGGATGTACCTGGAAGACAAAAACCCTGAGTCAGACTGAGCAGGGGAAGGGTGAGCAACTAAAGGGAACTGTCCACAGTACTGACGGCTCGTCTGGGGCCCCCCAGTTAACAGGCTGATGAAAACTGATGAAGGGCACGATCTGACTCCCTTATTTCAAGAAACCAGTTAACAGCCAAGAAAGGCAATGCATGATTTTCATGCCTGAAGAGGAGAATCCACAACTGTCACTTCAGTATTGGAATATTTAGTATTGTTTCTAAGTATTGTGTAACCTTTTAGCTCCCTCTTTTAGATAAACAGTGAATTTCAAAATGTTTTCCTAAGTAGCAAATTTATGTGATAAGATCTGGATGATCCTCCTGAACAGTAACTGAACCTCAGCAACATGTTGGAGTCACCTGGAGAACTGTTAAAAATAATGGGACTGTGGGACCTCCCCAGTGGTCCAACAATTCAGACTTTTGTCTTCCAATGCAGGGGCATGGGTTCGATCCTGGTGGGGGAAACTAAGGTCCCACAAGCCTTGGGGTGCAGCCAGAAATTTAAAAAGCAAACAAAATATAATGAGAGTGTAATTAAAATACTCCAGACCAAAAAAAAAAAAGACGGGGGACAGGGAAGATGGTAGAGGAAACAAGAATGGGAGAATGGTAACAAATAAAGCTGGATGCAGCTGGGACCCAGAGGTTCACTTTACCATTCTCTATAATCCAGTCTATGTTCTAAGTAAATAAAAAGTTTAAAATACGGATGCTTTGTCAACAAACGCTTCTGGAATATGTGGCTATCTACATGGAAAAGAAGGAATCTGGACCCCGTTCTCACACCAAACACAAAAATTGGCTCAGAGTGGTCACAGATATTAACACAAGAGGATAAACTTTTGTGACCCTGGTTTCTTAGCTACAACACCAATAGCAGCACAAAGCAGAAAGAGAAAAACAACCTGATCAAAATTTAAAACTTGTGCATCAGAGGATGCCATCAAGAAAGTGGGAAGACAAACCACAGATTAGGACAAAATATTTGCAGATCACATACCTGACAAGACACATCCAAAATAATTTTTTTTACTCTTACAAACCCAGAAACAAAAAGATAACCCAATTAAAAATTTTAAATATGCAAAAAGATGGAAGAGACATTTCTCCAAAGAACATAATCAAATGGCTAATTAACACACGAAAAGATGCTGAACGTCATTACTCATCAGGGAGAAGCAAATCAAAACCACAATGAAAAGGAACACCCCAATGAGGTAACACTCATACCCACTAGGTGGCTAACATCAAAACAAGAATTAGTGCTGGTGAGGACATGTCTGGAGGTGGGGGTGGGATGGAGAATGGGGCAGCCGCTGTGAAAAGAGTCTGGCAGTATCTCAACATATTCAACACACAGTTGCGACATGACCCAACGATTCCATTCAGCAAAATGAAAACATACATCCACACAAAACCTGTACAAGTATGTTCCCAACAGCATTATTCATGACAGCCAAAAAAGTGGAAACAATCAAAATTTCTATCAACTGGATAAGCTGAACACAGTTATATCTATACAAGGCAATATTACTCACAAACAAAGGATGAACCCTGAAAACCTCACACTAAGTGAAAGAAGATATTCACAAAGGATCACACATAACTTCATTAATATGAAATGTCCAGAACAGGCAAATCTATAGAGACTAAAGAAGAGCTGGGAGGGCTGGGCAGAAATGGGGAATAACTAAATGGGTACAAGGTTTCTTTCTGGGTGATGGAAATGTTTCTAAAATTATATTGTAATCATCACACACTCAAAAGTACACTAAAAATAAACAATCCACTAAACCATATACTTCAAACATGACTACATTACAGGATATGTGAATTATATCTCAAAAAAGTTGTTAAAAAATAAAAAAACTGATGTTGGGACCCAGTGTAGACCAAGTAAATCACAACTTGTACAGGTAGGATAGCAGTAATTTAAGAGCTCCCAGGTGATTTTTAGTGCAGCCAGTCAACAATGGGAACCTCTGACCTATAGCATTTAACAATGGGGTGAGCAGTGAAGGGAACACAACTTCAATTAAAACAATAATTTAGGTATCAATTTTGATGTGGAGAATAATTCAATTTTGTATTAAATTTTGATTCTTTTGTGATAAGCAAATATGAACTTAAAAATTATAATATCTGACAACAAATGAAAGCCAGATCAAAAACCAAGTACATGTGCACTGTACATTAATACCTTCTCTCCCCCTCCTATCAAACACTGAGTCTAATGCTCCTTACCTATTAAGCTCATGAACCATGGAGGTATCTCTGTGGCCCCTCATTACCATTTGTTGTTCTTTAAGCTGTTTAGCTACCTGCAAAGAGAAAAGCAATATTTAAAATCAAACTCTATTTTACTACCAGGTTGTATGAGATGTGATTTCCATATACTAACAAGTAAAGTATAAGAAGGGTGAAGTAGGCACTGTCATAACATCATTCCCTGGCAACAGTGCTGCATAAGCATGTTATGTGTATCTGAAGCTGAGGTTTCCCAATCTCTTTTTTTGTCACCTCCATAAAGGGAACTAAGGAATAAGACTATTGGGCAGGGCTGAGCTTTGGAAAGTCACAAACCATTGTAAAATCTAAGAATTTTTCACTTTCCAGGAACTAGTTTTTAACTCCTTGGGGATGACATTACCTCATGAAGAAAATATGAATTAAGAGTTTAAATTACAAAAGTAAGTGTATCAATTATCACTGACACCTAAAAATTACAAATTTTTTTCATTTTCAAATAAACCAAATACTTACATCTTTGGCTGAGGAACCAGATACCTCTATCCATGTCTTAGAAAAGAATGCACATGATCCCAACATGAAGATGATATAAACAACCACATGGACAGGATCCTCAAATATGGCGCCCATGGACTCAGGAGGAGAAAGGTAGTAACAAAGGCCACCCACTGGGTAAGAACGAGCAGGTCCGCCCCCACTGACATCCTACAGAACAAGAATAAAAAGCATAAATGGTCACATTTCCATGACTTTTCAAAAGTATGACAATCTTAAGCTCAAAGCACCTACAACTTATGATTCTATGTAACTTAAGGATTTACTTTTGTATCTAAAGTATTTTCAGTCTTACAAAATTACATAGTGTCTATTACATAAAAAGCATTGAATATACTAACAGAAGAGCAATTTTTAAAAAAACATTGTAATACAACTATAAGAAGACATCCCACTTATTTACATCAATCTCTGATAACATTTAGAATATGAAGTTTTCTGAATTATGTAAGAGTACACACACATTTCTTCACTACAAAGAATGGAATCAACTGAAATATTAACACAAGACTAACACATCCCTGCCTAAACTCTATGATATTTATTATAAAGAAGTCTTAATAAATATCTGTAATGAAATTTTGTTATCCACACAAACATTTATGAATTCTTACAGTTAAAGAAATGGGAATAACATATTTGTTTATATTAAATGAACGTTCTGGGCATACAGGGTGGGAAAGCAATTTTGGGATGCAATGATTAAAATGTCTTGTTCCGGAAATTACAATTTCCAAATGTTTCCTTTAATTGTGCCCCTAGAATCACTAATTCCAAATCAAATGCCCTGTTTATAGACAAATTAAACTTCCCAATAATTCTCTTTAGAGAAAATCTCATTTAAGATCACAATACAATCTATACAACTACTCAGTTATATAGATTTATTACTGTGAAATTATCATAGTAGTAATTACTGCCAAAGTTTATCCTGGGTGGCACTAGTGGTAAGGACCCTCCTGCAATGCAGGAGACATGATACATACATTCAATCCCTGGTCAGGAAGATCCCCTGGAGAAGGGCCTGGCAACCCACTCCAGGATTCTTGCCTGGAGAATTCCATGGACAGAGGAGCCTGGCAGGCTACAGTCCATGGGGTCGCAGAGTGAGACATGACTGAAGTGACTTAGCACACACATCAACTCTTGAGGGGAGGGCCAGCCCTTTCCCCCACCACAGATAATCCATTTTCTGTTAAATGAGTGAAAAAGGAGTCCAGCTGACCCTTGAATAATTGCAGGGGTTGTGGCACTGACCCTCCACACAGGCAAAAATCCACATGTAAATTATGGTTACTCTTCTGTGTACACAGCTCCTCTGCATCGCAGGATTCAGCCTGCTGCAGATGGTGTGGAACTGAAGTGTGTACTACTGAAAAAAATCTGAGTCTAAGTGGACACTCAAGCCCAAACCCATGCTGTTTAAGGGTCAAGTGTATTATCGGTAAAGGCAATCCTATTTCTTTCAACTGACATTCAAGTTAGTCTCATTGTATTCAATTTTTGTATTTTAAAAAATGGCTTTCAGCAAAAGCAGAAAGTTATGTCACTACAACGTATAATGCAGAATTAGCACATTAAGACAAATGCAGAGTAAGCACCATACTTCAGGAATGACTAAAAAATAATAATTCTTTGGGGGAATACAAATTCTAGAATTACATACTCTGAAAACAATAAAGGATCTTACTCTTCTCTAATTCTATAGTTTTAAGGGGGAAAAATACTCCTTGGTCAGTTACAAATTTTAACTGGTCAAAACTCAATCTGCAATAACACATCTTGATCACAATGTGGCTGGAGTGCTTCAGTAGGAGCTATGATGAAGAGGAAGGCAGAACTTAACTGGATTCCATCTCTAGCAACTCTTCTTCTTTCTTCACTAGTAATTACATACCTTTCTCCAGCTAATCACAAACTAGTTTACTGCCATTTGGACTATGAAAAACCACAGGGGAGGCAGGAGAGGATGATTTCAGACTCCCATATAATCAGCAAATTGGCTCTTTGACAAAAACATTATTCAAGACAAGAGTGGAGTAAGATTACAAAACAGGGAGTCATAAGAGCAACTGTAATCTTAACCTAAAAGGTCACTTAAATGAGATGTGAAAATGCTTCTTAGATGTAAAATTATACAAAGTACTTGGCCATTTTTAATTTCCCAATGCTTACAGGTTTACAACTCCCAAATGATAAACTGTGCTATAGATAAGTGAATCTGAAAATGTTACAGCAGTGCTTCAATTATGGCTCACCTCTTTCAGGTGAAAATATAAGCACGAAATGCAAATTACGATAAATCTGAATACTTAGAATAAATAACGAAGTACTCACGGCCCACTGTCCTAGTAAATTCACTAGGAAGTTGCCGCTGAACCGAACGGACAGCATCTGGGAGATCACATACAGGTTGGACACCAGGGCAGACTGCAGGATGATGGGGATGTTGGACGTGTAGAAGAGCTTGATGGGGTAGCTGCTGTACTGCCCACGGTAGCGGGCTGACTTGATGGGCAGGTCCACACGGAATCCCTGCAAAAGGAAGCTCCGGAGTGAGTCGGAGGGGCTGGACACGGCACGAATCTGGACAGTCACAGAAGGAAATCTGCAAAGACAATGCTAGTCAACTCTCCCTTCCACACAGACACAGAAATCCTTCTCTACTTCATAACCACAGATGCTTTGTGGTTCAGCGTCTGTTAAACAATGGAACTGTTTGCCTAACTAGATTCTGAAATGCTGGCTTGTTAGCGACTAATATTCAAATGGCATGCTCCTCTTTAGAGAGCAAGAATAAAAATCCACACCCCACTTACTTCAACAAAGATGGTATACTTACCTGAAAATATATAACAACAGCGAACACGAAAACTGTGGCAATGAGATTCATGAGATTGGGCAAATTCTGACGGTAGAAAGCCTCCCTCAGAGCTCGGACTTTGTCTGTCCTGGTGGCCAGTAAATGAAAGAGAGCTATGACTGCGCCCTCAAACTCCGTACCTGATGAATCAAGATATGAATCAGCTGCAGCCTCATCACCCAAAGTTGTCCCAAAGTCAAAACAAGCAGCCCTGAAGCTCCAGTACAGGGCCGAAAATAGCAGTCAAAATAATTTAACGCAGTTTACTTTATGATACAGCCATGTGTGGAGCTTCTAAAAAATACATCACTGAGGCAAATGTACCTTTTGTTAGTGTAAATCTGAAGTTTTCTCAAGAGACTATTCTTGATGAAAACAGTCAAAGAAGAATAAACCAAAGCAAATATTTAGTTCATAATGGTTGGCCTCGCCTTTACTTTGGGGGAGGGGGATGGAGATGGGGAAAAGCAGCAGCGAAGCAGCATACAGATGTCAGAATGAAAAGATCAACATTCCCCCACCAGGCTGGCCTTCAAGCTCACTTTACCAAGTACATTAATCAGCCATCACTGCTACTGATTGTTTTAAGGCTGGTCAGGTCAGATGTCAACCATTACAAATCTTGGATGGCATTTGAGAGAAGTGGAGGTGGGTAAGGAGAAAGTCAATTAAGTATTTCAAAATGTAGGTGCTACTACAAAGCCAAGGAAACAGATGCAAAAGTTCTCTGATGACACAATAAATAATGTTTCTTTATCCTTCTGAAAAATCTTAATCCACTCCTTTTTATCTGCTGCAAGTGCAGAAATCAGTCAAAATCAATGACTTCTGCAGCAATGGCTTAGACAATTAGATTTTTTAAGTGTCTGCAATCACTCAATTTTTAAATGAGCAGAGGCTAAAATTTCCATATTCTTTCTGGAGTAATACTTCCTACTCCACCAATCTCCGCTTCTTCGCTTTGGAACAACTGCCATCCACTGTTGCCCTGGACAGCAAAGCAGGGCGTCTGAGGTCCGTCCTGCTCCCCCACCTCATGTCCTCTCAACACACATCCAGCCAGACCCATGCAGTCGTGTCCCTGTGCGCTGTACCTCGGCCAGTGTTAATGGTAGTGGGGCTAAAGGCCTTCCAGACAATGGTTTCACAGATGTTGGTGGCAATAAAGAGGGAAATCCCAGACCCCAAGCCGTAACCCTTCTGTAGCAGCTCATCTAACAGCAGCACAATCAAACCAGCAACAAACAACTGTGGGGAAAGAAATGCGAGTAAGCAGGAGCAAGAATAAACCCAGAAAGGAGCAGTGAATGCCACGACTACTTGCAAAGTACAAGCATTTTCAACGTTAAAACCTAGCTACTTCAGTATCACTGTTATGACTCTCTGCATCTTTCAACCCTCACAGGAAGCCAGTTCTGCAAATCAGAGGATTGGAAATGTTGTCACATTATAAAGCTGACATTTTGACTTTTAAAGTATATTTATATTTCTCCACAATGTTTAAATAAGACCTATTGAGAAGTACCCTAAAACAAAAATGTTCACAGTTGTAGTATTTATGACAGCAAGGAACTGAAAGCATTCCAAATAGCTTCAAGGAAGAGAAAAACCAGATGAAATATGTTACGAATACAAGATGCAATATTACAGGCCATTAAAGGAAGAGCATGTGAACTATGCTGATACATTTTTTAAGTATTATATATATATGTGTATTATACATAATATAAAATATTCCCAGAAGGAGTTGAAAAGTAGACCACAAATATGTCTATAGATTATAACAATGTAAAAATGCATACATACAATGACAAAATGTAAATCTGAGACAATTAAGGGTTCACCAGGTTCTTAAGCTTCTAATTTTTTTTTTTTTTTTTATCATAAGTTGCCAACAGCACTTTATTTTTTCTTTTCAACATCCTGTTCTGCGGCTTCCTTGGCCCTTTTTGCCCGGATGCCAAAGAGCCGGGCGTTGGCGTGGGCCATGCGGAGACTAGCAAATGCCTTAAAGTTCTTCTCCTCCTCTGTGATGACTCTGGCTTTCTCCTTCTTATAGACGTTCCGTATTGGCATAACAGGTCCAGTCAGCTGAGTGGCCAGTTTGAGCTCTTCAGCAGAGCTGTCTCCCTTCTTGGGGGCCGAGGGCTTCCTGGGGAACAGGATAAGTTTGGAGCAGTACTCCTTGAGCCGCTGCACGTTGGCCTGCAAGGACTCCGTGCACTTGTTCCGCCGCCTCGGGTCCACCGAGATCCCAATGGTCCGGGCCACCTTCTTGTGGATGCCGGCCACCCTAAGCTCCTCCAGGCTGAAGCCCCTGCCGGCACGAACCTTCGTGTGGTACCTGACCGTCGGGCATCTCACCACCGGCCGGAGAGGACCCGACGCGGGGCGCGGGGCGATGCGGCGCGCCTTGGCCTGCCGGGCCTTGCGTCTACGGATCTTGCGAGCCGGCTGGTTGAACCACGTGGCCACGCGCCGCTGCCAGTCCTTGTGGAAGTGGGGCTTCAGGATCATGCCATTCCGGCTGGGCGCCATGGCTGCGGCCGAAAGGCCTCCTCTGAGGGCTCACGGCCGGGAAAGTTAAGCTTCTAATTTTTTAAAAAAATGAAGGCACACTAACTTTATGTGAAATTGAAAATTCTTAATTTTCCTCTTGGAGAAGACATTTCAGTAAAAGTATGAACCAATCAGAAATAATCCATAGCTTTGCAAGTGACCTGTGTGGTCAAACGACTCCCTCCCAGTACACCGCTGGAAGTATGCTTACCTTACATTTTGTTTTCTCTTTTTCTGAGTTGTCATTTCAACGGCTGTACAGAGCCTAATTTGTCTACTTATAGTCTCTTAGTTTGAATTTCAATGGACTGTAAAAAAGGTAAAATTCTCAAAACTTCTAAGAGAGCTCACTTATTCTTTACTGTCTGAAAACCAAGTTTACCAATCTGACCAGATTAAAGACAAGCTAGCACTTAACTACTGAGATTTTATTTTGACTATGATTATGTAACAGGTACATACTCCTCATCAGAAATACAGAAGCCCACCCCGCATGGAGCATGATAGTGGTCCACAAACCACTGGCCAACCAGCAAGTGCTATTGTGGGTTTCTGATTAAATGACCTGCCTAAGGACACACAGGCAGCTCTGAAACAGCAGTAATTCTTCAAAACTCTGTTCACACCCATGCCCATCAGACGGGAGGGTGATCTGTGTACATCCAGTAAAGATCAAACTCATGCTTCTCTAACTAGACAAAGCAATTATAGGGAAATGAACGAGCAATGGTTTATATAACTGAAAGAGTAAGATAAATGATGGTAAAAAAAAAAAAAAGCATGTATGCCTATGAGAAGGGAATGAGAAATTAGGAATTGAAAGCATCTATAGATTAGAATAGTGATAAAACCTGAATACTAACTGCATGCTTTTCTAGAGTGGTCAGTATATATGAACCTCTGAAGTGTGTATAAAAATAACACTAACATCTCAGCCTTGCTCATGCGTGTGTGTGCACACACACACACAACTCAATTTGGACAAAATAATATTTACCTCTACTATGTCCCATGCACACTGATACTGTCTATTATTTTTGAAAACTGTAATCAAGACCCCTACTTAGATCCCAAACTCAATAGTGGAAAAACACTGACCATATGAACGAAACAAGAATAATTAAGGTGAGAAATACCTTACATAACAGCATGCAAACAGTTTTCAAAATCTCTAGGTGAAAACACACTGATCCAATCATATCTCTTCAGTGAATCCACACATTTTCAATGTTAGCAATGCCTTAAAAAGAGGCAATGGGTCACTACCCATATCTATCATCAAACATGAAAATTTTCTCTATACATTAACACTAGAAGAATTAACTACAAGACAAATATTTGTGCACCTGAATTTATGTAAACAACTTAGTATATACCCACTTTACTTGCTTCGTTCCAGAAATTTAACTACTCCTTGATTTCTGGTACTGAAAAATTAAAATAGCTTAACTCCATTTTCTCTATCAATTCAAATTCATAACTGACTATTCAAGAAGTCAATACTTTAACCTAGAAGTGGTCAGCTGAAGTTCCTTAAGAATATAAATATGCCCTGACTAAAACACTAGAAAAGTTTTACTGATGTATAATGTTCTAAGAGCTAGACAGATGCCAATTCTGAGTGTCTTTTTAAAAGCAGGGTTATTCTAACTATGGTCATAAAGCAAATGCTATCAAGAAACAAAATAAGGCAAGATCTGGTGTATCAGCATCCTTACACTGAAGTACTGAAAGATATTAAAACCAGTTTCCAGAGGATCTTCTCTCCCCATCTATTGTAACACTTCTTCCTCTAATTCCCAGGGGTTTTAAATTTACCACTCAAGGTGTTTTTGAACTGAAGAAATAATGACAAAGCTATCCTTTAAAGAAATGTCCCTTCTTCCAATGAGAACTCACGAGGGGCTCAGAAAACTACCGCACAGTCTGTTAAAAATGCCTCCCCTGAAAAAGAAACTATTTCCATTTCATTTAGAAAAGCCCTGTGATATGTGTTCATGAATAACATATAAATACCTCAACAATCCCTTTCTCCTTGATCTAAGTCATACTCACTATACAATCTTCTTACTATGATTTGCTTCCCATGTAAGATTTCCTATTGAAAAAGATGGTTAACCACGCCAATTGGAAATGGTGACATTTCTCAATACATATATGTATACACACACTAGTAAAACAGTGTTTTAGTTTTATTTTAAACTCTTTTTCTGATCTTGATCTTTTTGACCATTAAAAAATTTTTTTCCTAAATTAATCCTAATTTCATAGAGTGAACAAGAGGCATTTCTGAGATAACTAGGACCCTAGATGTTCAGTGTTTAACTTACACAAGCTTCTTTTCAAAATACAGTAAATACTATTAGATAACTTAAGTACAATGTATTCCTGGGTAACTTCTCCAAAGGATTTTTAAGGACTGCATTAGAGAAATGGAGTCCTCAAATATCTTTCAAACTTGACACATTTTAAGATTCTTAGTGGAGGAAAAATGATGCTGGCCTTTAAAAATTCTATTCCAACATATCCATTTAAAAAACCCACAGGATATATACACGTGTGCTTATATGGTATTTCACTGACTACAAGATACTATTATTTGTAACATTCTTATGTGCGCCACTAAGAAAAGAAAAAATACTACAGTTAAACTATGACAATAACCTGTTACAAAGAATTTTTATTGTCTGCTTATAAAAAAGTTTAGACTTAGATGTTTATCATCTAGCTTGCTCTTTCTGTGCCTATTTATATACAGTAACTGTTCAATAACAAATAACAGCAGATTGTTGTGAGACACTTTAAAGAGCAATTAAACTCAACAGCATGTTGTATCAACAATGCACGTAACCCAGTGATGTGAGGACGATACAAACAGCTGTGACCAAGCTGACATACACAGGCAGGCAGTGACCACCATCACAATGACTGCCCGGCTGACAGCACGGTGAAGAGATCATCAGGTCTAAGAAAAAATCCTGATTTCAGAGACATCAAAATGTGCATCTTAGAATCAGTGAAATACAGCTGATAGATCCACAATCTTTTTATTACACGTCTACACCTTATTACAATAAATTTTAATTTTTTACATCAATACAACTTATATGTCACTTCAATAATCAAAATATAATTAAGTAAAATAATTCAAAAGTAAGAAAATGACTATATTAATCATCTAAAGACCTGTTACAAAAGAAAACTGTTTTGTTACCTCTGTATGGAAACTGCATTTCTCACCTGGATGATGATGAGGAGACAGATGCCAGCGCCCATCTCAGCAGGGTCCCCGTACATGCCCGTCATGACGTACACGATGGCTTGCCCAATGGTAATGATCATGCCAAACACTGACGAAAACGGGGGAAAGAGGACATGCTTACAACCAAAGACAAAGAAGGACTAGGAAAACACCTCTACCACAGAATTCTCACATTTGGGAAAGACTCTTAGTTGTAGTGATGCTCACATTTCTGGGCTCCATTGAACAAGGCTCTATCTTTGGGTGTATCTCCAACTTCAATGATTTTGGCTCCAGCTAACAACTGCATGATCAAACCAGATGTTACAATTGGGGAGATACCCAATTCCATTAAAGTTCCTGTAAAGGAAGGGGGAAGAAGTAAATGATCTTTACTGTACTCAACGGACACAATCAAGAGACTCAGCACGCATAGCACATACCCAATAGAGATTAGCTTAGAAGTGGCCCAGCCCTTAAAATTATGTCTATTGAAATACATGCTTAAAAGTTAACAAGAAAATTTTCATTCCTTAAACATTAATTGCTAAAAAAAACTCATTTATTAACACAATCTCACAAAACACTGACTCAAAATTACTATAAATACCACAAAAATGTAATTTTCTGTAAATTCTAAACTTTTTTAACTGCTAAAGAAACCATTTTAAACAAATAGTCCAAGATTTCTGTCCAAATCACTGTTCTTAAATTTTACACTAAACATTTTAATGCAGAATTTTAAAATTATATACTAAGTCCAAAAATTAAATACCAAGTTAGTAAGAAATGATACTTAAGAATAGCTGTGTTTCTCTAAACTCAAAATCTAAAATTATATAAAAGTCATCAAAATCAATGTTGTAGAATATTTATGGCATAAAAATGTTAATGACATACTAGATAGGAAAAAGTACTCAACAGTATGTATGGCTGGATTGACTATTTAAGTGGAAAATCATCTCCTGTTATTTTAATTCAGCTATCAAGATGTTTGTACTGTTAATGAACTTATCTACAAAACAGAGTCACAGACACAGAGAACAGACCTGTGATTGCCAAGGGGGAAAGGGGTGGGAGGGATCAATTGGGAGGCTGGATTAGCAGGTAAAACTACTACGCAGAAAAGATAAAACACCAAGGCCCTCCTGTGCTAAGTCCTCCTGTGTAGCACAAGGGACTACACTCAGTATCCTATTATAAACCATCATGGGAAGAAATATATAAAAAAAGTATGTAAGTGTATAAGTGAATCACTTTGTTGTATAGCAGAAATTAACACATTATAAATCAACTATTTTTGAATAAAATAAATTTTTTAAAAAGATGTTTTTATCGTTATTTTTACTCAGTAGGTTATGGGTAATTTTAATTTATTTTTTGCCTCTATTTTCTAAAATTTTTCTATATAGAAAATAAGCATTATAGTTCTAATAAAAAGAAAGAAAGAAAACCAAATACACCAAGCGTGTAAGATAATATGCAAAACTAATAATTCCACATAGCCAAGATCATGTTTCCATTGCCCATTCTGTCACATCACAACCTTAATTCCTGACTTTTATAAATGCTGAAAAGGTGCCTTTAATATGAGAAAGATTTCACCTTAAATGGACCTCATGTGTGTTTCAAATACTTCTTTAATGGTAAAGAGATAAAAACATGTCATTGTTAAAGCTAGTAGGCAGGTGGGTAGATAGATGTCTTTTTACATCAAAAATCACCAAAATTTAAACTGCAAATAGATCTGGTCCAAAAATTAATCCAATCAAGCTTAATGAACATTTCATTTAGGAAATATGGCACTTCAACTCAGTAGGGAAAAGAAGGAAAATGGACCTTGGCAAATGACTAGACATTTATAGCAAATTAAGCCTAGATTCCCTATCTCATGACTTCCAACAAAATAAAGCCCAGATATTTAGAAAATTTAACCATAAAAGATAAAAAGCAAAAGTACTTGAAGTGAATATGTTTATAATCTTGGAAAAGAAAAAGCCTTTCAAAGCATGACAAAATATCTAAAAACCACAAGGAAAAAGATGGACAATATGATTAGATACAACTGTGAAACCTCCATATGGCAAAAGACAGGATAATAGTTAAAAGAAAAATATTCAAACACAAGGAACAAAGAGCTCAAATCTTCAAGAGGCAAAGAATTCTCCCAAATGGATTTTAAAATGAAGAAACAACAACAGTGAAAAAAGTCAGCCAGAGAAACAAATACCATATGGTATCACTTACATGTGCAATTAAAAAAAACACAACAAACTAGTGAATATAATAGCAAAATAAACAGTCTCACTGCAAAATCACTGCAGATGGTGACTGCAGTCATGAAATTAAAAGACACTTGCTCCTTGGAAGAAAAGTTATGACCAACCTATGACCAACATATGACCAACCTAATATGACAGCATATTAAAAAGCAGAGACATTACTTTGCCAACAAAGGTCCATCTAGTCAAAGCTATGGTTTTTCCAGTAGTCATGTATGGATGTGAGAGTTGGACTATAAAGAAAGCTGAACACAGAAGAATTGATGCTTTTGAACTGTGGTGTTGGAGAAGACTCTTGAGAGTCCCTTGGACTGCAGGGAGATCCACCCAGTCCATCCTAAAGGAAATCAGTCCTGAGTGTTCATTGGAAGGACTGATACTGAAGCTGAAACTCCAATACTTTGGCCACCTCATGCGAAGAACTGAGTCACTGGAAAAGACCCTGATGCTGGGAAAGACTGAAGGCGGGAGGAGAAGGGGACAACAGAGGATGAGACGGCTGGATGGCATCACAGACTCAATGGACATGAGTTTGAGTAAACTCCGGGAGTTGGCGATGGACAGGGAGGCCTGGCGTTCTGCAGTCCACAGGGTCACAAAGAGTTGAGCACGAATGAGCAACTGAAATGAAGTGAAGCAGTCTCACAGATATGTAGAACAAACTAGAGGGTAGGGGTGGGGGAGGGAGCACAATATAGGGGTTGAGGAGTGGGAAGTTAAAAACTACAGGGTGTAAGACAGGCTCAAGGATGTATTGTCCAGCACAGAGAATACAGCCATCCGTTCCAAAAAAAATAGAAAAATAAAAAAGACGTAAATGGCACAGCCACTCCCAGTAATGTTCTTTTCTCAGGAAAATACCAACACAGGAGGAAATCCCAGCACCCAAATCTGTACTAAGTAACCCTGAAACTCTTAAACAAGGCTGGCTGGGTCAGGTATAAACATGGTAACCTGGAATTATGAACTGAGAACTGAACCAGGAGTTGTTGAAGCTAAATCACAAAGACAAGGTTCCCAGCTAGCCCCTGCTGCTGAGGTCTGAAGACTTGTCTGGTTCTCCCTCCCCAAAGGCTAAACTATTCTACCTCCTCTTTGGATTCCAAAAATAACCAGTATCCTTCCAATAAATTCCAGTTTTATGTTTAAACCACTCAGTCATTTCCTATGATTTATAACAAGTCCACTCATAGAAGAAATACAAATATTCAATAAAAACATAAGATGATGCACTAGTATGGAGGCAAAAGAAAAGCAGCACATACCTCTGTTGGATGCAAGGATAACTCTCATCCAGTAGAAAGGATCTGCAGAATCTGATGACATGATTCCAAACAGTGGTATCTATAAGATTACATAAACTAGTTCATGAAAATGTATTATACAAATTAAGTTTGAACTTAATAATGCATTCACTTAATATTTGCCATACTTAAAAAAAAAACAACACTACTTCTCAAGTTCTGTAACAAAACAAAAATACCTGAAATGTATAGTTTTTTAGGGAAAATATAAACAACGGATATCAGTACTTTTCACCAGTAAATACTCCTATCAGTACAGAGATGTACTGCACACAATCTGAACATATGCAAAAATACTGAACTACACACTTAAAATGGTTAAGATGACAAATTTCATGTTTTTACAATTAAAGAAAATGTTCTTTATCATTAAAGTATAGGATATATCTATGAAGTCACAGAATAATTTTGCAAAGCTATGGGTACAAATGACAGCCAAGGCCATGCTCCAAATGTAAGACTGAAGACAATATATACAGTAGAACGCAGCCATTAAAAATTATACTATGAAAAAAAAATTTTTGAATTACACTATGAAGCTTATATTAGTATCAGGATATGTTTAATTTGTGGTAGTAAGTAAAAAAGAGTGGTTCTCAACCTGGGGCAACTTAGTCCCCCAGGGGATATCTGGGAATTGTCTAGGAAGACAATTTTGGTTGTCGCAACTTGAAGGGGGTGCTAATGGCATCCGCTGGGTAGCGGACCCTCACAGGAAGACACTAACAAAAGTCTAATGAGAGACAGAGCCCCGGTGGCATTTACAGCAATTCTCTCAGCTGATCTCATCGCCCTCCATCCTTTCAAGCTAAAAAACACCATGGAAAACAACAGACCCCAAACCCTTAAACTACATCTGGGAAGGGAAAATAAACCTGTTGGAGATTCAGTGGAAAGAGAATCAAGAAATCACCAGTCCTGGGCAGAAATCCCTAAGCATGAGAAAGACAAAAAGGTACAGCCTGGCAACTCTGTAAATCCATTACAGAAAAAAAACAATAATAACATAAAATACGTCAATGAAGTAAGGGCACGAAAAGTCGTGAGAAATGTCACACTTCAAGAAATACAGCTCAAGTGATACTTCTTGGGTTTTCTTGGGTTCTAGCTATAAAGCTGAAAATATTTACTATCTGGCCTTTTACAGAAAAAATGTTTGCAGACCCTTGGGTTAGAAGATTCAGTAAGTTCAAAGCAATAAAAATCATAATCCCAGTAGGCTTTCTTTAAGAAACGGACAAGCTGATTCTAAAATTCAAATGAGTGACTGAGAACTGACAAAATCATTCTGAGAAGAGCAAAACTGGATGGCCTTACAACCTAATTATAGGATTCAGTCTAAAGCTACAGTAATCAAAACAGTTTGGTTTACCGTAATGATGGGATATGATCAATGGAATAGAGCTGAGAGTACAAAAACAGATCCATGCTTAAGTGGCTAACTGATTTTCAACAACGATGCCAAGGTTAATTCAATGGAGAAAGGGCAGCCTTTCCAACTGGCCTGTCCATACAGAAAGAAACGAGCCCTAACCTTACCTCATGCCATACACGAAAATTAACTTGGAACAGACCACAGACCAAAACATAAAAGCTAAAACTATTTAGAAGAATACGGGAGGAAATCTTCACAACACATTCATCTGATGCAGGACTTGTATGCAGAAAATATTTTAAAAGGCATGTAATTCACTAATAGGACAATAATGCAATTTTTTTAACAGGAAAAAGATCCGGGGAGAAAACACTTTACAAAAGATGAACAAATATTCAGTAAGTATATGATAAAGCTGCTCAATATAATTTGCAAGGGAAATAAAAGTTAAAATCTTAAAGTGGAAAAAAGGGAACCTCCCTATACTTTGATGTAAAATGAAAACAGTAGCTTCCTCAAAAAACTGAAAATAGAGCTAACATATAATCCAGCAATCTTACTCCTGGGTATAGATCCAGAAAAGGTAAAAGTTCTAATTCAAAAAGACACATTCACCCCAATGTTAATAGTGGCACAGTTTACAATCGTCAAGACATGGGAGCAACCCAAAATGTTTAAGGGCTGGTCAGTAGAAGCAAAGTAATACAATGATTTGGCTTTGGAGGATTTATAATTAAAACATGCTGTTTACAACATGATTAAAAGCAAACAAAAAGGAAAAATGTTTGCACAACACCTGTCAAAGGTTTCACACTTTTATATATAAAACCTTGTCATAAACCAATTTTTAAAATCTTAAGAAGAAAATGGGTAAAGATCATTAACTGAAAACTAAGGGAAAAAGAGAAAATATGTTCAATCCCACTAGAAAACCAAAAGAAATACACAGTAGAAGAATCATTTCACTATCAGCTCAGATTGAAATGATGATTCTCCTATGTACAACAGTTAAGACAAAGAAGCAATCTAAATGTCCATCAACAGAGGAATGAATAAAGATGTGAGTTGTATGTATAATGATGATGCTCCTATGTACAGAAGCAATCTAAACGTCCAACAACAGAGGAATGAATAAAAGAAGATATGGGTTGTGTACACACACACGCGCGCGCACACACACACACACACAATGGAATACTTCTCAGCTGTTAAAAAGAATGCAGCGACATGGATGGACCTAGAGATTAGCACACTAAGTGAAGTCACTCAGAAAGAGGAAGATAAATACCACACGATACCACTTATATGTGGAATCTAAAATACAACACAAATGAATGTATTTATAAAACAGAAACAGACCCACAGACATAGAGAACAGACTTGTGGTTATCAAGGGCTGGGGGAGAGGGATGAAATGTAAGTTTGGGATTAGTAGATGCAAACTAGTATACACAGGATGGATAAACAAATACTGTATAGCACAGGGAATTATATTCCATTCAATATCCTATATTCAGTATCTGCTGTACATCAGAAACTAACACTGTAAATCAACTATACTTCAATAAAAAGTAATTTTCTAAAAAGATATGCTCAAAATAATTCAGTATATTTACTATTTGAACTAAAATTAGCTTCTCAAATTATAACCAACCAAGACCTGAGAATAACAGTACAGACATCTGTTCAGTGTTTGGTTACATACCTGACAACATACTAAGAAAATGAAGAGAGTTATAGCAGTCCATAGTACCTTCTCTCTAAACTGGATCTGTGCAACAAAATAACAAAACAACCAATCAAAACCAAGAAACAGCAAATGTAAAAAAAGCAGAAATGCATATTAAAGCTTAACCAGCATTCTCCATCATGACATGCTCTTATTATTTACTCTTAAAATACTCTCACCCTAGTGAGTAGCAGCTAAAGCAAACAGCTAAACTTCTCAAGCATCTTTCTTTACTTATCTGAGAATTAAGGACTATGGTTTAAATACAGGCAGGCCTTAATACACTGTACCACGTTAGCTGAAACTGAAAAGGATAAAAAGACACACACCCAATATTCACACAATTCAGCTAACATCATAATGTACAAAGCCATCACTTATTGTGGTAAGTGATATCATATGGTATTTGTCTTCCTGCCTATATTATTTAGTGAGTATTTCATAGACTAGAAAAGCTATAGTTTGTTAGTATATATTACATGTAATGGGAACAACTATTTTTATAACCTCAAAGAAATTTAAAAAAAGAAATATATTTCTGAATATTATAAAACAGTAAGTTTAACAAAAGTCTTACTTATCTCTTTCTAGTCCCTATTCTGGTTAGTTCCATGAGAAATTGAAAGTACAGTAAAAGAGGAACATCTGGGAACGTTTGGGATTAACAATATTTCTAGAATTGAAATGCCTTACTTCCAAGTTCACAATGATGGAAGAACAATTTGATGCAGTCCCTATCTTTTGAATGCATTTCTGTGATTTTTCTCTGCAATGAATGAATCAAGAAATGAGAGGTATACGCCTGCCCAGTTGCAATCCATTTATGTGAAACAGTTGGTATGCATGAAAACTGACCCAAGAGACTGAGTCATTTCTAGTGTGGTGGATCATAATAGACAGGAGAATACTGTATCTTATCTAACACCCAGGCCAAAGAAACATAAGGTTTGGAAATGCTACAACTTAGAGAACAGTTGTTTTTGAAACCAGGAGATAAACTATCTAGATTTAAAAGGTCTGCTGCTGCTGCTGCTGCTAAGTCGCTTAAGTCATGTCTGACTCTGTGCAACCCCATACGGGGCAGACCACCAGGCTCCGCCATCCCTGGGATTCTCCAGGCAAGAGTACTGGAGTGGGTTGCCATTTCCTTAAAAGGTCTATACTACTAGTTTATTCACTTTTATGCCTCTTGTGAAGAGAAGGAATAGGTATTTCTCCAGTTACAACCAGAAAAAGGTTGAGGAAAATAAATCAATGTAGCTAGTTTAACAGAGTAAGTCACTTAGTTACCTTCTATATTACGAAAATATTATACTTACTTTCCTTTCAGGTTTCTGAATTTCTGGTAGAACTGCACAGAAAGGCTTGATAACTTCTAAAAATTTGACTGTTTAAAAAAAAAAAAAGAATAAATGTCCCTATTACAAAGTTTTAAAAATGATTTTTATTTTTGCAGAATCAAATACAAATGTCCTTTTAATGGCAATCCATCCCATTCCCACCCCCAAAATGAATTAATCATAATGCTCTTCATTTCAAAGTAATTTGCTTCCTCATGCTTGAATCCCACCCCTTTACATATAGAGAAAAGGAGTAATTCAGTCAGCACCTCTGCATCAAAAGGAGCAAAACCAGTCGACCAACAAGAACATGCATTATGGAAGGAAACAGGACATAAAAGGAGGCAAGTACAAGAAATGAGCTGACACTGCAGGACTGACAATTTGGGATTGAAAGATGCTGAAATGCGTTAAGTGAGAAATATCACACCCCAGCAGTGAAAGTGCCAAGTCCTAACCAGACCACCAGGGAACTGCCTAAATAGGTTTTTAAAAGTACTGAATACAATCTCTGCTTCATTTCATTAAGTCACTATTCATTGCTTGGACGCTCTCCCATGTAAGAAAATCTCAAAGTACTTGTGTATGTTCAATCCTCAGCCCAGAGAATGATGACTACATTTCATTAGAAAGTACTGTTTTCCCAGACAACTCATAATGTATAAGACAGACCAAACTTCAGGATAGGCACTCTCTTCTGGCATGGCTTAAGTCAAGTCCTGCCAAAGAACTGGAGGATGAAGGTGATAATCATTCAGTCTCTGCCAGTGTCTGCAATGTGCAGAAACACAAAAATCCGTAACTAGGTTATTAGTTAAGATCATTCTTCCCTTACACACACAGGATTCTATGTACTAACATCATGAAATTGTTTTAAAACTGACGTGAGCTATTACACTTCAGCCAGTTAGCCAAAAGTTGACTACAACATCTTTCTTGTTGTTGAATTTATATTACTGAAGTATGCTTGATTTGACTACACCGTCTTTTTATAAAATCTCTCAAAGTGATGGCAGCCACTGATGTTTGACAGAAGAACTCATAAATTCTCATAAGCAGATATTTGTTACCCAAGTACCATTTAAGACGACTTGGAAAGCAAATCTGAATTATGAAAGTGTTCATCTCTACTACAAAACAAATGTCAATCATATCAGGAAACTTGCTAGAATCCCCCTACCCCTTTTCCTTCCCACTTCAACCTAAGCTACCCTCCCAGATTTCTTGGTTTATGGTCATCTGTGTTGGAATATTCATGTTCAAGCAATGCTTTTTTTGTCTGCCACCCCACTCTTCCTGTGTTGTAGAATTTAACGCTTTATACTGCAAACTCAAGATCAAGGGTCTCCTATTCCTTTCTAAGCTTTCCGCAAATGTCCACTAGTTAGCAGGCCAACGGGTGCACGGCTTGGGTTTGCGGTAATCCGTTCATCTAACAATCACACCAACAGCTATGTAAGTATATCTGTGAAGATACGTGGTGTTGAGGGTTTGGCAGAGGGCCCTCGAAAGATTCCCATTATTTAAGTTCTTGTCCCTAAGGCTTATACGACCTGACACACGTTAAGCTTTCAGTAAACGCTACAGAATGACTGGAATGAAAATTTTAACGAAAACGCTAGGCCACCAATCGCCTCCTTTCCTCCCCTAAAATAGACGCCGTGCATCACTTTTTAAAAAATGAAACAAGGCAGGGAGCTTCATTCATCACAACTAATATTCCAAGGGTGACTGGGAATAAAAATGTGAGTTTCCTAAGCTCTTGAAAAATTAAAAGTGGTCCAGGTGTCTGCTGGTTCCTTAACTCCCCGCCCCGCAAACCAATGGCCTCCCCGCGCCGTCCTCCGCTCCACGCCGCCCACTGAGATGCGCAGACCCAGGCCTCCCGATCCTAGCCCCGCAGCCGGGCTAGGCTAGGCCTCGCACGGCTGGAGGAGCCTAGGCTGAGGCCCCCCGCCCGCGCTCTCCGCAGCGGCCCGCGCCTCCCCGGTCCACGGGCTAGGCGACACTGGACCGGCGCCCACCCCCCGCTTGCGGACCGTCGGGGCCCGCGCCCTCGGCAAGGGCCTACCACCGCTACTCACTGCCCATGGCGGCGGCTGGGGCGGCCCGGCGGGGCCCAGCGGCCTCGGCGCGGCCTTCGCTCGGGTCCCGCGGCTCGAGCCTCGGCGCCCGCTCGCGACACGCTCCGGCCGGCCCCGCGTAGGCTCCGCCCCTGCCCACGTGACCCGCGTTGTCGCCCCGCCAGGCCCCACCCCCTGACGACAGCCTGGCTTTAGGCCGCCTGCGCAGATGACGTCCGCGTCGTTGCCATGGCCACCGCCAGCGTGGGCGTCCTCCTGCGGAGCCCAGGAGGTGGGACCCTCTGTGGGGCCAGGGCTGCCGGGTCTTTGCGCTGTGAGCACCTCTCCGAACCCAGTGTCCAGCAAGGGCTGTCTCCTTGACCTCGACACCCAGAAGGCCCGGGGTTTGGAGTCAGGACGCTACCCGAGCGACCGCCCCAGGAGCGCAGGACGGGTTCGATCCCCACGACTGGAGCCGAGATGCCTCCAGAGCCCGCATGACCCAAACAAACTTTTTGTTTCCATCTTACTGGAACTGCTGGGACGTTTTCAGAAATTTGTTTGTATTTATAGCTTGTGAACTTTTCACTCTCTACTATGGCCTTCCTGAGCAGCCTTCCTGAGGGATCTGTTCCCCAACCATAGATGGAACATCGCCCCCTGCCTTGGAATGCCGAGTTTTAACCACTGGATAGCGCCTCCCCCCGCGCCCCCTCCACCCCCGCCCCAAATCCCTGTCTGCCTTGTCTAGTCTCTTCTGTCCCCTACGTGGACAGCATAGTGTAAGGAAAAGCATATAATCTTAGCAATCTGGTAGCCCAGATTTTAGTTCCTCCTACTTCTTAACGAGGATAATGAATGAGCAACACGGTCTATCTTTAATTTGCACGTATTTCTAATGTCAAGAAAACCGCCTTATTGCAACAGGTGTTCAGTAAACTATTTATTGAGGAAACGCCATTCTACTCTTACAGGGTCATTTCTTATTTTTGTTCCATTATAGCTGGTTCTTCATATGAGTCAGAGAAGATACAGGAGAACAACACTAAAGTAATATACTTTAATAAAAAGTCTTCCAAAATTAACTGGTTTGGCAACTTGCTGTGGAGAACTAACAGTCCCTTCCTGCAAGATAATTCAAAATAATGATGCATGTTGCAGTGGTGATTGAGAGTAAGAAGGTTAAGATATAGAAGATATATCTCATAGCTCAACTTGGAGATTAACAAGAAACAGACTTGGAAGGTATAAAGTTAGACATTTGGAGAGATCTAAACTAAAAAATCTCTAGTCTTCCATCTACTTTTGTGCTTAGACTTTTGAAATATTTTAACTCAAGAAATCAAGAAATCTGCAAAAAAGATGACCCTGTGCTTTTATTTTTATTCTAGTTTAATATACAACATTGATAACCATTCTCATTAAATAGATCTTTGTAATTTTATTGGTTGACAAGCATGGTACTAAGTTACATGATTTATGATTTAAGATGTGAATCACTAATCTACTGCTGTGGCCAGAACAACCTATACATTGGTTCTAAAAGACACTGACAGTTGCCAGTAAAAGTGGAGAGGGTATTCCAGGGCCTCAGGTACTCTCCCATTTCTGAGAAAACAGTATTATGGCACAAGAATGGTATATGGTAGTTTCTGCAGCACCAAGCCATTAAAGCTAGGAAGTTTGCTGATGTTTAGTTATACTCTCCAGTACTAAGCCTAATTTCCAAATAAGGGAATAGATTGGTGATCTCTAGAAGTCCCCAAAGCACCTAGCACTGGAAAGTTCCCACTATCAAAGTGATCCTTAAGTGCCACAAATAAACATCATATGACAGCAGGGACTTTCAGAGGCAAGGCTGATCAACCAGTGGCTGAAATCCCCATATCAGACACCGCCCAGAGTTCATTAAAAATAGTAAGGTATTGTGGCAAGAATAATTAAGGGTGACAAAAAGATAATATGGCAAAGTAGATCACCAATCAATTTCACTGTAGCTACAACTCAATAATAATGTGGTGAACACCCATAAGTTTATATTTAATAGGACCGATACTTAAGGACAATGGGTAAAATAGTGATCCTGAAGAACACAAATCAGGAATAATACAGTTTTGCTATAGTGTTTGATAAAACATTTTTCACAGTGGCTGGAAAGCAGCACCAGGGATGACATAAAATTAAAATAAAGGTACTCAAGGACTTTGAATAAAGAAGGGAAGATTCATGAAAGTGACACGCATTAAGAAAATCTGGGGGAAACACAGCAGTGGGACCCTGGCTCACACTATATGCCTGGGTGTATGTATATAGGGAACTGTTGGGGTCTTCCTCTGTTCCAGACATGTCCTTGGACTTCCCTGGCATGTGTGCTGTGTTTCAATAAAGAGTGACCTGATCAACCTCAAGAAAGAAAATTGTAAATCGCTTCAGTCATGTCAGACTCTTTGTGACCCTATGGACTGTAGCCCCCCAGACTCCTCTGTCCATGGGATTCTTGAAGCAATAAATTCATGCTCAAGAACTTTTCCTGAGTACATACAGTTAATTAGAAAGAGGAGAGTCTAAAGACATCTGGATCAGGACCCAGTTCTACAACTCACTCTGACCTAAAACAGTATAACATTATGGTACATTGAAGGAGGAAAGTGACTTGTGGGATTCACGTCTCAAAGAACAATTCCTTTGGCTGTTCCATGTATTCTAGATTTACCTCTCCTCCACCCTCATCAATCTCAATGTCTTCCAGGAATACAATCTTTTCATGGTACCTAGCGAGTGGAGGAGACAAGCCTTTCTTTTTATGGCAGTTTTCTTACAAGGAAGTAGTATTTCTTCAAAGGACGTCATGGGGTGAAGGTCTTAGTGAGGACTTCTTCATGCTGCTGTAGGTGAATGGTGCCGATTCCCACAGCCGGTACTGGCAACGCGGGTCGGCTTACAAGACGGAGCTATTGTGGAAACAGAAAAGAAATAAAATGACATTTGAACTCAGTCAGAGCTCTGCTTAGCTTGCCCAGGGACACGAATGTATTTCTCTTAAGTTGTTTAACCATAAATCACCATTTTCGAAAGTAATGAGTGACATAAACTAGATTACAGGGAGCTCTATGTCACAACTGAAAACTAAATTCCAAGCATGATAAGGTGAGACACATTCAGGAATTTGTCTTGTTCTTAGGTAACTGTTACTTGGTTTTAGCTGTAGGGTTTTCTAATTTAGAACTATTCACAGGTGAAAATGATTGGAGCCTGGTAAGCTGATATCTGATGTTGAAGCTGAAACTCCAGTACTTTGGCCACTTGATGCCAAAAGCGGACTCATTTGGAAATATCCTGATGCTGGGAAAGATTGAGGGCAGGAGGAGAAGGGGACGACAGAGGAGATGGTTGGATGGCATCACCGACTCAATGGACATGAGTTTGGGTAAACTCCGGGAGTTGGTGATGGACAGGGAGGCCTTGCGTGCTGTGGTTCATGGGGTTGCAAAGAGTTGGACACGACTGAGTGACTGAACTGAACTGAAGCTGATATCAAGTGACTTGAGTTCTAAACAAAGCAGAATAGAAAGACAAACAGAAGCAAACGTGATTGTTCTTCTCTTGTATTTATCTTCCTAAAACATAACTAACAACTTGGCCTTTGATGTTTACCAGCCTTGCAGGTGGGCCTAGAATAAGAGGTACTGTAAAACAAGCTAGCTCATGGCTCTCCTCCCCTGGGGCTTGGTTACTAATCTTTGGGGCAAGAATGCTGAGTAGGCTAATGGGAAAGGTAGCCAACAGGTAGGTCTTCTACCTTTTTGAGTATAATCAATTTTTTTTTTTTTTTAACATAATACTAGTAGGTACACATACACAACTTGCTGAACACTCAGAAGTTTAGTCTGAAAGAAGAGCCTAAAACTAGATTTTATATTTTAGTTTATCTTTATAGAACTTTGGACTGATAATAGGGGATAAACCTATTTGTTGGCACTCCAGAGGAAATGGGACACACACAAAACACTGCAAGGAAGAGCTGTTACCTTGCAGGCCAGTTGCTTCTCAAACCTTGGAGAAACAAAAAACCAAGGACCCATGTTCTGAGGCTCCTCCTGACTCCAGATAAAATCTATAAAAGAAGAAATTTCATCTCAGTACAGCAAGTAATGTATATACAACATACTACACACACAAAAAGACACAATATGTATGTGTGTGTGCATACATACACATACCATACAGGCTATCTATGTATGTATATATACATACATATATATATACACATACCTACAAACACACACATATATCCTCAATACATACCTTTCTAATATGGCACAGTGGTTTTTTTTTTTTTTTTGAGAAATGCACAGTCATATATCACCATCACCACATCACAATGATACAGAACAATCCTCTCAATCCCAAATATCCCCTCATTCTATTGTTTTTACTCAACTCTTCCTCCCACCTTCAGCCTCCAGCAATCACTGATCTTTTCTCTATCCACAAAGTTCTGCCTTTTCCAGATCAAGCAGATAAGTGGAATCACACAGCCAGCCTTTTGGGTCTGGCTTCCGTGAATTAGCAAAATCCATCCGTGATTTTGCCAAATGCAATAGTTCACTCTCTTTCATTGCTGAGGATTAAGATATTGTAGGGATGCACAAAGAGATTCTTCATTCACCGGTTGAAGGATGTTCAAGTCATTTCCAGTTTGGGGCAATTATGAATAGAGCTGCTGTTGACATTCACACATGGATCTTTCCTTTCTCTTGGGTAAATACCTAGGAGTGGGGCTGCTGGGTGGTACAGTAACTCTGTGCAACTGCATGAGAAACTGACAAACTGTTTTCCAGGGTGACTGGACCAGTCTGTATCCCCACCAGCAGTGACTGAGGGTACCAGTTGCCCTGCATCCTTATCAGTCCTTTGTATTATTTTGTTTCCATGTTAGTCATTTGAATTGGTATGTAGTCATATCTCACTTTAGCTTAATTTGCATTTCTCTATCACTGATTACATTGGGGATCCTTTCATATGGTCGCTTGCCATGTGGTTCTTTGAAAATGCCAGTTCAATTCTTTTGCACCTTTTGAAAAACTGGATTATATGTTTTCTCACTGTTGAGTTTTCAGAGCTCTTCAAATATTCTGGAGATTCCTTTGTCAGATATGTATAATATTTAAAAATATTTTCTCCTAGCTTTCAGCTTGTCTTTTTTATATTCTTTGCAGTGCCTTTCACAGTGCAGAAGTTTTTCATTTTGGTAAAATCCAGTTTTTCTTTTCTGGAACATGATTTTGGTATTATGTCTAAGAACTTTTTGCCTAATCCAAGGTCACAAAAATTTTCATTCATTTTCTTCTAGAAATTTTATAGCTTTACATTTAGGTCTGTGATCTACTTTGAGTTAACTTCTATGTTAGATACATATAGATATCCAATTATTCCAGCCCCACTTGCTGAAAAGGCTTATCTTTTACAATCATACTGGATTTATCATAAATGATAGTATAGCACTGATAGTATAGCATTCCCCCAAACTCAAGAAATTAGATGTTATATATGAGAGGGAGGGAGAGAGAAAGGGACACCAGAAAAGACATAGAGACATTGGCTTTAGCTGAACTATTTTCACATCTCCAGATTCCATGAGAGTCAACTTTCTAGTAACTCTTACTTCCCCTGTACCAGCTTTTCTTTTGAGATATTCCAAATACATTTCAGGTATCTTAAAAACAAAGAGCTGAACAAGAAGGACTCTTTACCTCTAATGTGTTTATATTTGTTCATCTCTTGCTGCAGTGAATCCAGTGGGAAAGGACAGAGTTCTTCTATTCGGATGATGGCAAAGTCATGCTTCCTGGCCTCCAAAGATTCTCTTTGCTTCATCAGGGCATAGAAATGTTTGCCACAGCAGAACACCAGACTCTTAACTCTGTTGGGAAGAAAAGGGACAATTGGGTGGGGGGAAAATATCTTAAAATAAGAATTGTAGGGATTGCCCTGGTGGTCCAGTGCTGAGACTCCATGCTCCCAATGCAAGGGACACGGGTTCCACCCCTGGCCAGGGAACTAAGTCCCACATGTTGCAACTAAGAGTTTGCCTGCCGCAATTAAAGATCCTGTGTGCTGCAACTAAGACCCGGGAAGCCAAAATAAAAAATTTTAATAATTAATTAATTATTTATAAAAGGTAAGAATTGTAGCAGAAGAAAGGAGGGAACACAGAGATTGAAATGCTTTGCCTCTGAAGCAGTGGGGGCGCTGTAGTGGGGTTCAGTCACGCTATGCAGTGGGAAACCTTCTTTAGTAACATATACTCCAAAATTCACTCTTCTGTGCATAATCTAACTCCTACACCATAGATTTAAAGGATTTATATGTTTCAGAATAGAGATTAGGGTCACTTGGTTCACTTAACATGAACGAGTTCTCCCACTCGTCATAAATCTACTGCAGAGTATGAAAACAGAGCTCCGCTTCAGATTACTTTTTTGGATCCACAGATGAATCTCCAATGACCGGTTTGAATGTTGTTCCTGGTGCCATTTCCTGAAGAGCTGATACAGCTGCCTAAGGAGGGGGAGAAAAAGCCACAAATCTATCAACCAATGGACAGGAGCTGAAGATGGTTTTACTTACAAGGGATCTTTCCAAGGACTAGTGTCAAAATTCTCTCCTGGGACTATAGGTAAACATATGTACTAATAAACATAGTATCTTTCTTGAAAGTATCTGTTCTGCATACTTCAGGGTAAAATTATTTCTCTGAGGTTATAGACTATTGCCTTTTGTCTGGTGCCATGATAAAATGTTAACAATTAGAATTTTTGTTGAATGACTCAACTGGATTATCAATTAAAAATCTCCCTTAATCTGTGGGAATCAGAAACAACATTATATAGAATTTGTATTGTAAGCCAGCATAGCTAAGGTGGTGCAATTATTTCTGTCTTTAGGATTTTGATAATTTATAAACATAACCATCAATCAGAATAATAAATGAATATTGTGAAAAGAAATTTTATTATTGAGCTCAATTTAAATCTATACTTGTTGGGAATTGCCTGACAGTCCTGTGCTCAGGACTTATCACTTTCAGTGCCAAGGGCCTGGGTTTCAATCCCTCGTCAGGGAACCAAGATCCCAAAATAAATATTTTGTGGTACAGCCCCAAAATAAATAAATACTTGTAAAGAACCGTAAAGTAGAAAACTGATGAAGCCCAAGGTGAAGGATTTGATCTTTTCTGCTGTCATCTAAGTTAGTTTCCTTATAGTCTAGTCCCAGATGAGTATACGACATTTAGACGAGGTCATTGACGGCAGCCATATAAATGCTGGAATATTGTGATATAATTTTAAAAAATAATATTAGCTATTCAGCTATGCAAGCATGCTAAATTGACTCAGTCATGTCCAACTCTGTGACCCTATGGATTGTAGCCCACTAGGCTCTTCTGTCCATGGGATTCTCCAGGCAAGAACAGTGAAGTGGGTTGCCATGTCCTCCTCTAGGGGATCTTCCTGACCCAGAGATTGAACCCAAGTCTCTTAAGTCTCTGTCCTTGGCAAGTGGGCTCTTTGCCACTAGCATCACCTGGGAAACCCTAAAGGGGACACTCTGGCTACATAACAGGAGGCAATCTTTCTCCTTTCTGAACCAGAGTCCTTCATCAGTCCCCACTTCCTATAGCAGGAATCAAAAGGAGCTGGAGTTCAGAGTCATGTACAAAACTGGGGTGGGATTTTGGTGCCACTTGACAGGTGTACCTGAGTCGTGTCTGCCACATGCTAAGTCACCTCTGAGTAGGCCATGTATGGAGAAGGTTGGCTGTGTATATTCTGCAAGATCACTGTACCAATTTTCAGGAAGAAGTCAGAATTCAATACTGGTACTGCTGACTTTCCACTAACAAAAGGGCTTATGTGTCTCATGAACATATTTGATGACTTAATAAGCATAGTTTTTCATTTGAAAATCTAGAGCTGTTGGTATTTTTTAAGTTCCCCAAGGAAGACTTCACTTATTTGTTTAATAAATTGTATATTAGACTTGGGGAGAGGGGTGGAGCATTAGGGCCAGAAAATGAACTCTTATTCTCAATTTCAAACAGCAAAAGAAATTCTCAGTCTTTTAATAGTTCACTCAATACCTAGAAACATATATACATACATACATATATATATATATAATTAATATCATTAGTCTCCTTTTAGGTATGATGGAGGGACCAGATGACAACCTTAGGGATACAATGAAAGTTGGCTTCAAGAATCCCAGATGTATATAATTCTTAGAAATAAACTATACTAACTTTACATTTTGACTTGGCCCCTTTCACATTGCTATTTCAAAGTATCAGTGTCAAGAGAGTCCCATCAGAAAGACAGCATAAAGGGACTTTCCTGGTGGTCCGGTGGTTACCACCACATGACCCCAAAGCAGGGGGCTCAGTTTCAATCCCTGGTTAGGGAACTAAGATCCTGCATGCCACATGTAACAGCCAAAAAACAAGCAAGCAAAAAATGGAAGAAAGAATGGGATTGCATTCACTTGTCTCAAATGTCCCGTGATGTTCCTGAAGCCACCTCAAAATACACAGGGTTGTTCGCAGAGAGAACAAACAAATGAACTGCTGCCATTGGTGAAAGAAGCTGAGCTGACCTCTGAGGTCATTACTGACCCTCATTACTGACCCCTGAGGCCGAGCTGGGACAGGTGAGGTGTCTGGAGTGCCAAACGTAAGCGGGTGCTCACTCTGGGAGAGCGCCAGTGCCCACAACCAACAGTGAGAGCGAGGGTCACCTCACTCCCCTCCAAATGCTGAAAACCGCCAAAAAGACAACTGTGAAGCCAAATCCCTGGCAGCTTCTCCCAACACCCGTCACTTCCAAACACACGCTCTCTGACCTTGGTGAGACGCACACAACAGTCTTGGACAGCCAAGTCCTGAACGACATAGTCCACCTCACCAGTTGCATCCCAATAAACACATTTAATTCTAAGTCAGACTCTCATACAAAACTGAAAAAAATGATAGCAGATGGGATAAATACATGCTTAAAAGTACTTATTATCTTGAATTCTGCCTCTTGAAAACTAGCATATTTGTGTGATTTAAAAAACATTTGTGCACTTAACACTTAGGGTAAATCAAGAGAAAATGTATCCTTGTGAAGCCAGGAAGTAGATAAGCTATATTGTTACAATGTTTGAAAGGGAGTCTACTTGTGATAGATCATTTCACCAAAAAAGTCTAAATAAAAGTCAGTAAGGGGGCACTCTCCATCCCACTTCTGATGTCTATGTCAGAACCCTTCTCTGTCCCTTTTTACTTTAACAAAACTCTGCCACAAACACACACACACACACAGTCAAGGAATAAAACTTGTTTTCATCAAAGTACTTTAAATTCCCAACTTGCGACTATAAACATAGCAGTGCTAACACCATTTGGACTTTGAAATGTTTTATTCTAAAAGATTATTTCTGCTCAGGCGGGATACCAGGGTAATAATATCTGCTATGCCTGTCCTTCACAACAATGAAACTGCAAGTGACCTGGATTTCTAGTTATTCTTGAAACGTTAAAAAAAAAAGAGAGGCACAGCAGCATGGCCAACTAAAACTAAAGAGACACTTCTATTATTTAGAACTGTAACCAGATATACAAAAGAGAGGGAAATGCAGGGGAAAATACGGTCAGAGAAGAAAGACTGACAAACCTTTTTTCTACTTACAGGGAGCCTGAGCAGTGTCTTCGGAGAAGCAAGGATGAGGGGCTTCCTGAAGTTCCGAATCATCTGTCTCCGGAGCAGGTGGAAGTACTGGGCGGGCGTGGTGGGGTGAGCCACGCACATGTTCACAGTGTCCCCATCCACACCCTCCTCTGCGCTGTCACACATCTGGGAGGGAAGTGAGAGGAAGGAGCCAACAGTCGAGTCAGCTCACCCCATCCTAAGGGCACAGGCTATGCTAAGGGGAACCAGGCATCTCCAGGAGACGGAGAGGAGATGTGTCTCTTCCTCACAGAAGAAGACCAGAAGGTAAATGTATGACCCATGAAGAATTCACCAGGAGAGGCCTGGTGGCTCCCATCTGCTGAGTCTGTGTGTTCTAACGTGGTTCTTCCCAAACACGGTGGGCTGCAAGAAGCATCTGAAGAGGGGGAATTCCCTGATGATCCAGTGGTCAGGACTCGGTGCTTTCACTGTTCCAGGCACAGGTTCAGTCCCTGGTCGGGGAACTAAGATCCCACAAGCTGTGTGGCATGGCCAAAAATAATTAAAATTTTAAAAAGAAGCATCTGGAAGGGACTTTTTGAAAAATACAGACTTTGATGCCTGTGGGGTGAACAATGTTGAAAGGATGCAGTGTCTGAATCTCACTTTCCTGATGAAATAAATGCAAGGATAGTTTGTTTTACAGACAAGAATCAAAACAGCTAACGAGGTTGAAAAGCTGAGGATGAGGAATGAACTCTCAGAAGACTCTGCTGGGACAGAGAGTGGAGGCATGTCTTCTAACCCCAGTCAAGAAGCAGTGGAGAGGAATTCCCTGGCAGTTTATCAGTTAGTACTCGGAGCCTTCACTGCTAGGGCCTGGGTTTGAGCCCTGGTCAGGGAACTAAGATCCTACAAGTCAGGCTGAATGGCCAAAAACAACAACAAAGCTGATGACTCCCAAATTGTATCTTTTGCATACTCATTTCCTAAACATTTTTGAAAAATTACAGTTTTGTATTTCACACTCAATTCTTTTAATTCACTTGCAATTTATTTCTGTGATTAATTTTTATGAAATTATTTATCTGTCTTTAGCAACCAAACACAGTTATATGCATTTATCTATCTACTGTTCTATCTACCTGTCTACTAATCTATCACCTTTATATATATTTTATTTGCATGCATGCTAAGATAATTACTGATATGCACACACATAGGGCGATGTGTACTGACGTCTTCGTTTACTTTCAAATACATGCAAAAATTACGTGGATTTACAGATAGAGGAATGATGGATGAATAGATACATGATAAAACATTAAAATAAGATATTAATGGCAGAATGTAGCAAGTGGGCATATGAATATTCTCTGTAAAATTTTTCCACCTTTTCTTTATGCTTGAAGTTTTTTATAATAAAATATTAGGAAGTAATACGCATTAAGTGGCATTGGTAATGATTCTTACCAAAAGATAATGGTAGTTTCTGGGTTGTTACTCAGATTTTTGGTGGTCATGATCATTTGATAGAAACACTGTCACTACTTGGATCTCGGCCTGGTCCCAGTGCCTGTGAGTGTGCTTAGTCACTCAGTCACGTCCGACTCTTTGCCACCCCATGGACTGTAGCCCACCAGGCTCCTCTGTCCATGGGATTTTCCAGGCAAGAATACTGGAGCGGGTTGCCATTTCCTCCTCCAGGGGATCTTCCCAGCTTAGGGACAGAACCTTCATCTCTTGTGACTCCTGCATTGGCAGGTAGATTCCTTACCACTGAGCCACCCGGGAAGCCCTTGGTCCCTGTATCTCTGTTTATAAAAGGCTCCCTAGATGATTCCAATGATCACCTTGACTCAGAAACTACTGATACTCGCCACATAAGAAGAACTTTCACTGCCATGAAACCATGATACTAACATGCTTGAAGCACTGTATTTCTAAGAACTATTGACTAACATTGCATTAGATCTGTTTCATTCAAATACTACAATGTCTTACAGTCCAAGGTTCATATTCAGGAGTGTCTGCAGGAGGCAGTTCTATTTCAGAGCACCTAGGAAGCAGGGAAGACATTCCTTGGAATCTAGAAGGCAGTGGACATACCTGCAAGAAACGCTCTATCCGACAAGACGAGTGCTCCGGCCCAGCCCCGTCGTACCCGTGGGGAAGGAGGACCACGATGCCGCTCTGGAGGAGCCACTTGGCCTCGCCTGCAAAGTAGCGGCGGGAGTGAGATCCTACAGCGCAGGCGCCAGGCCCCCTAGCTGAGGGCGCAGTAAGACACTTGTTAGTTTGCCGCCGCACCCCCTCAAGGCCTTTTCATGGCACGTGCCTTCTCCTTAGGAGGGAAATACAGACAAACCTCCCAGAAACTGCAGGTTCCAGTCCGGGACTCTACAGTAAAGCGAATCACATGAATTGTTTGCTTTCCCGCTGTGTGTAAAATTTACTCTATACCACAGTCTAGCAAATGTGCAAGAGCACTCTGAAAAAACCATGCACATACCTTAATTAAAAGAAACTTTCTTGCTAAAAACTGCTAACCATCATCTGAGATTTCAGCAGTCTTTTCACAATAGTGATGTCAAAAATCACTGATCACAGATCACCATCCCAAATATACTAATAATGCAAAAGCTTAAAATATTGCAAGAAGTACCGAAATGTGACACAGAGACAAGAAGTGAGAAGTGCCATTGGAAAAATGACACGGATAGACTTGCTTGATGCAGGTTGCCAGGTAAAAAAAAAAGTAGTGACTTCCTCTGTAGTCCAGTGGTTAATAATCCCCCTTCCAATGCAGAGGACAAGGGTTCAATCCCTGGTCTAGGAAGATTCCACATGCCTCAGGGCAACTAGGCCCATGCGCTACAACTGCTCAGCCCTAAAACCTGAGATCCAAAACAAGAGAAGCAGACTCTTTAGAAGAGTCTCTGGACATGGCAAAGACCAGTCTCCTCAAGCCTCTTTTCTTCCTCAGGACCACAAAGTTACAGAGAAGCAACCACGAGAAGGGTCTGAGGTGTGCACACAAAACCCATAAGTGGGTCCCCCCAGAAAATGGGGGGACGGTCTGGGGGGAGACTCAAACTTGTATTTTATACACTCGGAATTTCTACAGTGAGTGGGCACTGCTTTTGTAAGTCATGATTAAACCCAGTAAGATGCACAACCTCCAACTCTGAGATACTTGTGTGACCCTGGGCTATAGGAAGCAGCTTTTCAAGACTGTCATTCATTCTAATCAGGCTTCCTTGGTGGCTCAGAGAGTAAAGAGTCCACCTGCAATGCAGGAGACCCAGGTTCAATCCCTGGATCGGGAAGATCCCTGGAGAAGGGAATGGCAACCCACTCCAGTTTGCTTGCCTGGAGAATCCCATGGACAGAGGAGCCTGGTGGGGTGTCCATGGGGTCACAAGAGTTGGACGTGAAAAAGGGACTGACACACACATTCATTCTAATCACAAGTCCTCACTGTGTCACTGCTGCCTGATTGTTGTTCATGCTGTAGTTACTCAACACACACCAAGAGCAGACCTGGAAATCAGACCTCTTAGGAGTGGGGCAAGTATAGGCATCATTCCCTAGAGCCAAGCACGCTCCCCAGGAGACGCAGCCTTTCTGCTCGCAGAGGCTTACGTGCTCTTCCCAACAGCATATTGAACTGTCTGACAGCTGCTCTGCCCCAGTGGATGACAGGTTGGGCCCCCAGCTCGTGGGGCAGGGGATGCTGTGGCCACAGCTATGGCCCCTTTCCATACGCTTGTCCTCATGCAGCTGGTGTGATGTGTCCACCAGACACCAACCTCCAGAGATGAACGTGTCAAAGATGATCTGGGCACCATTGAAGAAATCGCCAAACTGAGCCTCCCAGAGGGGCAGCAGGTTAGGGCTTTCAATGCTCATCCCATACTCGAATCCCAGGACAGCCTCTTCTGACAGTGGGCTGTTGCTGACCTAGTGCAATATTCAAAGTTAACTGATACCATATATCAAATCACAAATCAATAAAAGACATTGATTGGGTAGGGGAAATACTAGATGTTTCAGTATCTAGATCACCAATCTAGATAACTGATCAAGGTGGGGATTTTAGACTAATTTAAAGAAAATATGAGCTGCATGTCCTTTAAGCAATTTCCTGGAATCTTGCTTTTGACAAGTCTATTTTTAAAAAATATTGATTATCAGTAAACCCCATGCTCTCAGATAAGTCGCTAGAGTAGGGAAAAAAGATGCTATGCCACTAATTGTACCTTAAAGGATAATTCAATAAACTTCATGTTCCAGGCACCACACTAGTTGTTAGAGAAACAAAAATGAAAAGACCCAGGCTCTGCTCTTGACTCTAATGAATCTAACTCAATGACTGGAAATACATGATAATAGATAAATTCATCAAGCCTGCTAAGTCCTAGGGAATAAAATAAGCTTATGGAAGTGGGTTGTTTTTTTTTTTAAGTTGTCAAGAAATGTTGGCCTATTATTCACATTTTTTATTTATTTTAATGAATTCAGCAACAAGCAGGTTATAATGTCAATTCTGGATTAACAAAATGAACATCCATTTGACATTTACCTGAATACAGATAAGTAGCCAGAATGACACAGCTCTAGCCTACTTGCTAGTCTGTTACTTCCACTCCAAGTGGTCCAATCTTCACTGTCTATCCATTCAGCATCCCCTTATTTCAAAAAGTACTGAACCCAAAGTTCAGATGTTACCGACATCTATTGCTAAGAAGTCTGTAGCTACGATCATTGCCACCTGGGTGTTACACTAGATAATGAAATGTCCTACCTCTAGAAACCCCTTTTGATTAGGGTCCATATGGTTCAGGGGGATATAAGTGTCATCTGTCTTCTGGCAAACAACCATTGCATGCCTCTGGCTAAAAGTTCCACGGCCCACATCTTGGCCACTCAGACGGACATTAAAACCTTAAGCAAGCAAGAAGGGGAAAAGAAAAATCCAGATTCCCATGAATAACCTCAGTGATAATAAGGCCTGGTGACCCTGAATTCTTATACACCAGCTCATCCTGAGAATCACCCTTAAGATAATAGATTATCCTTCTTAAAATGCACCTGTCCTGTATTCAAAACTCTGTAGTCAAAGTGAACTGTTAAAGAGTGAAGAGTCATCATTTGGCCTACAATTACTAGGGAAAATATCTTTCCAATACAGTCAGCCCTGAATCCTATGTTTCCATAGACTATTTGATGATGAAGGTTATCAACATGACTTATACTAAGATTAAATAGTGTTTTCAGGTAAGAAGAGTCACCACATGTGAGAACCTCTCTAGTCAATAAAAACGATACAAGGTGGCTGTAACTCAAAACTGCAGGCATCACGAATAAGAGATGTCATATAATGCATCCCCTATCCATTGTGCAGCTGTACAGAAAAGTCGTACCTTCAGCAAGCAACGAGCCTAACGCAAGAGCTTCTGCCGTGGCCCAGTCTAACTTTGTTCCATCCATCACTTTTTCCACTCGAGACTAAAAGTGAAGGGGAGGGGAAAAGAAAGTTTTAAGAGCTCACATCCTTCTTCACACTGAGTTCAAAACATGTAATGCAACAATGGTTAAGTCTCCAAAACATAGTATTAAATACAACAGGAAGCGCAGAAGGTAACATGAGAGTAATGACAGCAAGTATATGACGTTTGAAAGCAGGCAAAACAAACAGGCACTCAGGTGAGTGGTTAACCTGGTGGATGGATGAGAGGAGGTGGCAGGGAGTTGGCAGAGTGGGGAGAGTGGGCTGTATGGTGTAAGTAATATTCTATTCTTTGAGTCGGATGGTGAGTACACAGATTGTTTTCATGGTCTCTATACCTATAATAGAAACTTACAAAGCAAGCTAGTGTTTTAAAAATAATCCAGAGTTCATCATGCCTTCATCCAAGTTCAAGAAAGATGAAGGCCTGTATCTCCTTGCTTTCCCAGTTTTAGAGCTGGAAGTTCCATGTTCCAGGAAACCACTAAGTTTCAGGCAAACCAGAGCAGTGTATGTCAATTTATACTTAACACGAGACAATAGGTAAAACCTCAATATGTTTAAGGATCCAAATGTTGCTTTTGGGGACTATGTATATTGATTTTTATTCATTTCATTTAAGCCATCCCCGTGCCTGCCCAAAATGAAAGTGTCTTCTGTTCACAACTCAGAAAAACCAAAACGGGCATTCCTGTGTGGCCATGTTTTTAATAATGGGCATGTAGTAACTGTACATATGATATATAAGACATGTTTGGGGTTTTAAAAATTTTTTTTAATGTGGACAATTTTTTAAGTCTTTATTGAATTTGTTACAATATTGCTTCTATTGTTTATATTCTGGTTTTTTGGCAGTGAGACCTGTGGGACCTTAGCTCTCTGACCAGAGAGGGAAGCCCCACCCCCCTGCATTGGAAGGCAAATTGGACCTTGGCGCTTTGGACCATCAGGGAAGTCCCTAGACATTATGAATGAATGAATGAACAAATAAGTGGAGGAAAAATAGAAGTTAGAGGCAGACAAAATCTGAGTTGACAGTCCATACCAAATCTCTGCTAGGATCAGTTTGTAGAAACTAATGACTCACATTAAATATCTGTCAAATGCATTAGCCAACCAACAAGACCAGACCAACTCCAATTCCTTGGCTGTGAGAGATGGACAAACAATGCCTGGGGATGCCTGGGCTCCCTACCTGCACATGCATCTTCAGAAGGTGACCATGCATCTGGAGCTCCTCAGGAACCTCCACAGACTTCTTGCCAATAAACCGCAGGAGGTCAAGGGGCACACCTGTGTTCCAGGAGGTAATACAAGCTTCTGGCTGAACCAAGCCTTGCCAGTGGGCCTGCAGGCTCGCGGCAGGGGGCCTGTAGTGGGCCACATTAGTCAAATGGCCATTTAACTTCACATAGTAGGAGGCTTTGATTTCCGACACTTCCTCCTGGGTTGTGAGTCCGTTGGCCATAAGGTACTCTGCATACGTATCGGGGATGCTCTTCCGGGCTCTATCCAAGGAGAAGGGAAACAAAAATCAATCATGTTTGAAAAAATCAAAGAGACAGACAGTTATTATCAAACGTATTCTGAAGTGTCATTGCTATAAAAACATATGCGGGGAAAAAAAATATGCGGGAAATGTTTTGGGACTAGACAGAGGGGGTGCTTATATTAATACAATTCACACTGAATCATTCACTTTAAAATGGTCCATTTTAACCTACTGTACAGCACATGGACTTCTGCTCAGTGTTATGGGCAGCCTGGATGGGATGGGAGTTTGGGGAAGAATGGGTATCTATATGTATGGCTGAGTCCTTGTGCTGTGCACACGAAACTAACATTGTTAATTGGCTATACGCCAATATAAAACAAAAAATTTTTTTTAAAATGGTCCATTTAAGGAATTCCGTGTCGGTCCAGCAGCTAAGACTCCACATTTCCACTGCAGGGGGTGTAGGGGAACTAAGATCCCATATGTCATGCCAAGCAGCCAAAAAAAAAAAAAAGATCTATTTTATGTCATGTGACTTTCACACCAATAACTTTGTTTTTTAAAGGTAATGGTGTGTAACCACTTGTTCCAGGCAAGCTAGAGAAAACAAGTTTATCTTTATAAGCTTCTGTCTACAGTCAGGCAGAAATAATGAGTAGAAGAGTTGTTTTTGTTTGTTTTTTTACCAACTGTTAATTCTGGACAGTTATTTATGAGGCTGACCTACATTATCTACTTATTCTGCATTCTTTTACTTAAAAAAGTTTGAACCAAATTTGCCAATTTATTCCACATCTGGATTTTATAGAAATAGAAATAACCATGCTGCTGCTCTGCATTCCCATAATATTTTACATGACAAAGTCTGGTCACATTGACCACTATAATCATTAAAAAAGTGAAAGGTAGACAGGATATATTCTTTAAAATGGGGTTCCAAGTCACATCAGGTCATTTGGGTGCTAAATTCAAAGCTAAATGGAGGAATTTCTCAGTGGTTCAGTGGTTAAGAATCCACCTTCCAATGCAGAGGACACGGGTTCAATCCCTGGTCAGGAACTAAGATTCAACATGCCACAGGGAAACTAGAGAGTCCTTGTGCTGCAACAAGAAAAGCCTGTGGGTTGCAACAAAGACCAGTGCAGCCAAAGGAAAAGAACAAAAGGGAAAAAGAAAACTGGGTGGCTTAAAAAAAAAAAAAGCTCAATGGAAAACCCAGATTTGTTCCTCCAAGGGCAGTCTGCTACCTGTGACCAGAAAGGCCCATAAAAAGTCACCAAGTTTACTCCTCTGCTTTAATTTATGTCTATGAGGAAATCAAGCAGAGGGAGATAGGAGCATCTAAAGCATTTACTTTCTAGCATCTAAAAAGGAAATCTCAAGACCTGGCTGTTCAGTCCTCCCACCTGCTAAGTGAGTCTGTTAAGCTTCCCTTTGTCTCTTCACTAAGGAGACATGTAGAGTTGGAAGAACATGGGGAGCTTTCCTGTGACCCTTGGGGTGATCATCCCAGTGTGCCCAGGGCTGTCCCAGTTTGAGCATTGAGAGGGTCACGTCCCAGGCACACTGGGAAAGTTGGTCACCCTCCTGGAGTGAGTCTAATACAAACACTAATGCGAGCATTGTAGGGCAGAGGGCATATGATGGTTCAGCCTTGTACCTGATGATCTGGTACATGCCCGGGTTGGTGAAGAAGGGCTCGTCCAACTCATTGTGGCCCCACTGCCTGTAGCACAACAAGTCAACAATCACGTCTTTCCGGAACTGGCGCTGGTATTCGAATGCCAGTTGTGCGGCCCGCACCACTTCCTCTGGGCTGTCTCCATTGACGTGGATGATGGCGCAGCCCACCAGCTTCCCTGAGGCAGAGAAGACAGAAATGAAGCCCGCCAGTCACCCCATGAACCTACCCCCAAATCCTGTTGCCCGCCTGGGGAGACAGTCCACATCATAGGGGTAGTTTGGCTTGGGTATTAAGAACACACACTTTGGGATTTCCTTGGAAGCCTAGTGGTTAGGATTCCAGGCTTTCATTGCCAACACCGGGTTCAGTCCCTGGTCAGGGAACTGAGATCCTGCAAGTCACACAGTGCAATACCTCCCCACCCACCACCAAAAAAAAAAGAACCTGCACTTTGGAGGCCAGCTGACAAGACAGAGTTTCAGACCCAGTATTTGTGTCTGTGTGATCCTGGTGAAGTCATGAATTCCAGTCTCCTAATCTGGGACACTGGAATAATGCTCCTATCTCCCAGTGATGTCCTAAAGCATCAGTGAGTTAATGCATATAAAGTGCTTAACAGCCTGGTACCTAATAACAGATGTGTGTGTGTTATTATCATTATGACTATTATCTTTCCTCCTGAGATAAAAGGGTCTTTAAAAGACGTAGCCTAAGGGGGGGGGGGGGATTTCTTCAAAGAGTTGGTTGAAAATGAATTTTCAAAATCTCTAATCACAAAAAATTCACAGATAGTCCCAAATGGCAACCAGGCCGGGCTCTGGATGTAAAAACAGTACAGTTCTCACCATCTGACAGTTCTGTCAATTCTGTGAAATAGGGAATGAATAAGAAGAAGCCCTGTGTTTCTTTTAATATTGTCAGTTTCCACAGGTTAAAACAGGATGCCTTTGCTTCTTCACATCTGATTTCCCACCAGACCCCTTGGCCAGATTTACTGGTTGAACACATCCTTTTTGACTGCGGTCTTGGGTACTCTGAATATTCTAAAGACAATTACTCCAGTTGTACTGTGTTGATCTCTGGATTATACCAGATCATTCAACTGGATACATCAGCAATTTGAGGTGGGACCCTCTAAATTCTACTCTTATCTTATTTCCTGGGATTGAAAGATCACACTCGGACTTTGAAAGGAATATTAACAACACCGTTGGTGACCACTGACCATATCTGATCCAAAAATGAAAATGGGACCAGCAGTGAGGTTCCCTGTTCTGAGTGAACTATAATAGAAGTTTCTCTAGAAATTCCTTATTTGACTCAACAACATCAGCTCTTCTCTGGGTTACATACCGATGTCACTACAGTATAAGGAAGACCTTCCTCTTTCTGCAGGAGTGGTGTAACCCAGCTGGTTATTGACAATCAAATGGACACTCCCACCAATTCTGAAATGTGGGAGATTAGAGAGTGTAAATGTTTCGGGAACAATCCCTTGACCACAGAAAGAAGCATCACCGTGAACCTAGATCATGGGGGAGAGAAAAGAAAATGAACGTAAGGGGTGGAGACATTTAGGTTTAGTAACCTAATAGTAACAGCAATAAAAAACAGCTATGCTCTCAGCACTCCCTGGTTGCCACATGCCACGTGCATGCTCAGTCGTGTCTGACTCTTTGTGACCCTGTAGACTGTAGCCCACCAGGCTCATCTGTCCATGGGATTTTCCAGGCAAGAATACTGGAGTAGGTTGCCATTTCCTCCTCCAGGAGATCTTCCTGACCCAGGGATTGAACCCGTGTCTCCTATGTCTGTCTCCTGCATTGGCAGGCAGATCCTTCACCACTGAGCCACCAAGGAAGCCCTGTCCCTGTATCTCTGTTTATAAAAAGCTGCTCCCTCCCCTCCTAAAAATCTGCTCATTATAGAACTTCCTAAAGCAGCTCTCAATGATGCTAAATCAGCCCTCTTCCTCTTGCAGCTACGACCAGCTGACCTATTCCTTCCACCCTACATCATCACCTGTACCCATGCATCCTCATCAATATGATAGTGTGCACGGCAGTATCAGAGAAGGTAGGGTGATGGGAGACACAGGAGAATCACCTCTAGGAAAGCAATCATGAAAACGGGCTGCAAGACGCAAGGAACAAAATGACTTCGAACCCTCACTCTGCCCCAATCAGATTTCCCCCCAGATGAGAGGGTGTCACTCACATCACCTCCTCCCCGCCGCGTGTGTTGGCCACCACTGCGAACATAAAAGAGAATGATGTGACAGCAAAGACGGGGGATGGGGGGCGAGGAGTGTATCATACACAAATGAAAGGAGGCTTTGAGGAAAGAGCAAAATACTATTATAAGAGAATCTCTGAAATGTGCTCTTTTTCCAGAACATTCGAAATCTACTAGATCATGATAGCACACACCTGACAAGGTCCTATTGTGGAGCACAGGGAACTAGCCTGTGCCCCGACCAGTGACGCCGAAGAAGCTGAAGCTGAACGGCTCTGTGAAGACCTGCAAGATCTTCTAGAACTAACACCCAACAAAGACGTCCTTTTCATTATAGGGGACTAGAAAGCAAAAGTAGGAAGTCAAGAAACACTTGGAGTAACAGGCAAATTTGGCCTTGGAGTACAGAATGAAGCAGGGCAAAGGGTAATAGAGTTCTGCCTAGAGAATGCACTGGTCATAGCAAACACCCTCTTACAACACAAGAGAAGACTCTACACATGGACATCACCAGATGGTCAACACCGAAATCAGATTGATTATATTCTTTGCAGCCAAAGATGGAGAAGTTCTATACATTAAGCAAAAATAAGACCCGGAGCTGACTGTGGCTCAGATCATGAACTCCTTATTGCCAAATTTGGACTTAAATAAGAAAGTAGGGAAAACCACTAGATCATTCAGGTGTGACCTAAATCAAATTCCTTATGACTATACAGTGGAAGTGAGAAATAGATTTAAGGGACTAGATCTGACAGACAGAGTGCCTGATGAACTATGGATGGAGGTTCGTGACATTGTACAGGAGACAGGGATCAAGACCATTCCCATGGAAAAGAAATGAAAAAAGGCAAAATGGTGTCTGAGGAGGCCTTACAAATAGCAGTGAAAAGAAGACAAGCAAAAAGCAAAGGAGAAAAGGAAAGATATTCCCATTTGAATGCAGAGTTCCAATGACTAGCAAGGAGAGATGAGAAAGCCTTCCTCAGCAATCAATGCAAAGAAATAGAGGAAAACAACAGAATGGGAAAGACTAGAGATTTCTTCAAGAAAATCAGAGATACCAAGGGAACATTTCATACAAAGATGGGTTCGATAAAGGACAGAAATGGTATGGACCTAACAGAAGCAGAAGATATTAAGAAGAGGTGGCAAGAATACACAGAACTGTACAAAAAAGATCTTCATGATACAGATTATCATGATGGTGTGATCACTCACCTAGAGCCAGACATCCTGGAATGTGAAGTCAGGTGGGCCTTAGAAAGCATCACTATGTACAAAGCTAGTGGAGGTGATGGAATTCCAGTTGAGCTATTTCAAATCCTGAAAGATGATGCTGTGAAAGTGTTGCACTCAATATGCCAGCAAATTTGGAAAACTCAGCAGTGGCCACAGGACTGGAAAAGGTCAGTTTTCATTCCAATCCCAAAGAAAGGCAATGCCAAAGAATGCTCAAACTACCGCACAATTGCCCTCATCTCACACGCTAGTAAAGTAATGCTGAAAATTCTCCAAGCCAGGCTTCAACAATATGTGAACCTTGAACTTCCAGATGTTCAAGCTGGTTTTAGAAAAGGCAGAGGAACCAGAGATCAAATTGCCAACATCTGATGGATCATCGAAAAAGCAAGAGAGGTCCAGAAAAACATCTATTTCTGCTTTATTGACTATGCCAAAGCCTTTGACTGTGTGGATCACAAGTAACTGTGGGAAATTCTGAAAGAGATGGGAATACCAGACCACCTGACCCACCTCTTGAGAAACCTATATGCAGGTCAGGAAGCAACAGTTAGAACTGGACATGGAACAACAGACTGGTTCCAAATAGGAAAAGGAGTACGTCAAGCCTGTATATTGTCACCCTGCTTATTTAACTAATATACAGAGTACATCATGAGAAACGCTGGGCTGGAAGAAGCACAAGCTGAAATATCAATATCAATAACCTCAGATATGCAGATGACACCACCCTTATGGCAGAAGAGGAACTAAAAAGTCTCTTGATGAAAGTGAAAGAGGAGAGTGAAAAAGTTGGCTTAAAGCTTAACATTCAGAAAACTAAGATCATGGCATCTGGTCCCATCACTTCATGGGAAATAGATGGGGAAACAGTGGAAGCAGTGTCAGACTTTATTTTTGGGGGCTCCAAAATCACTGCAGATGGTGGTTGCAGCCATGAAATTAAAAGACGCTTACTCCTTGGAAGGAAAGTTATGACCAACCTAGATAGCATGTTAAAAAGCAGAGACATTATTTTGTCAAAAAAAGGTCCATCTAGTCAAGGCTATGGTTTTTCCAGTGGTCATGTATGGATGTGAGAGTTGGACTGTGAAGAAAGCTGAGCACCGAAAAATTGATGCTTTTGAACTGTGGTGTTGGAGATTTTTGAGAATCCCTTGGACTGCAAGGAGATCCAACCAGTCCATCCTGAAGGAGATAAGTCCTGAGTGTTCATTGGAAGGACTGATGTTGAAACTGAAACTCCAGTACTTTAGCCACCTCATGTGAAGAGTTGACTCATTGGAAAAGACCCTGATGATGGGAGGGATTGGGGGCAGGAGGAGAAGGGGACGACAGAGGATGAGATGGCTGGATGGCATCACCGACTCGATGGACATGAGTTTGAGTAAATTCCGGGAGTTGGTGATGGACAGGGAGGTCTGGCGTGCTGCGATTCATGGGGTCGCAAAGAGTCGGACACGACTGAGCGACTGAACTGAACTGAACTGAATAAACCAGAATGGAAAAGAATTTTTAAAAGAATGTATATATGTGTGTATAAATAACTCACTTTGCTATATGGAAGAAATTAACACAATACTGTAAATTAACTATACTTCAATAAATAATTTTTAAAAATTGGGAAATGGAAGGTGATAGAAAAGGGAGTCAATTTTTTTTGAAAAGTTGAAAGCAAATAATGAGGGAATTGTAGATCTTAGGGGAAAGTATGAGTGCCACTGGCTTCATGCTATATAGAAGGCTATTATATCAATAAGGTATATGTTGTACACATAAATTTTACGTGATATTATATAATAAATGTATTTTAATTAAAAAGTTATTAAGTAAAAAAATAAGGGATAATTGGAGAGAGTAGCATGGAAACATATATATTACCATATGTAAAATAGATAGCAAGTGAGAATTTACTGTATAAAACAGGGAGCTCAAGCCAGTGTTCTCTGACAGCCTAGAGGGGTGGGTGATGGGGCAGGGGTTCAGGAGGGAGGGAACATATGTATGTATACCTGTCGCTGATTTGTGTTGATGAGTGTCAGAGGTCAATACAATATTGTAGAGCAATTATCCTCCAATAATTGTATTTTGTTCTATATTTCTCAATATTGTAAAATTATAATCTTCGATAATTTTAAAAAAATAAAGTGAATTTTGATAAAACAAAATAGAAAAAACAAATAAACAGCCAAAATGCTCAACTAAAGAATAACATGATCTGAAAAAAAAGGGTAAAACGACCTGATACAGGGAATTACCCAACGGTCCAGTGATTAGGACTCAGTGCTTTCACTACTGAGGCCTGGGTTCAGTCCCTTAGATGGGGAAGCTAAGATCCCAAAAGCCTCTTGGTGTGGCAAAAAAAGTTAATAAATTAATTTGTTCATTCCCTGAGTCATGTCCAACTCTTTGCGACCCATGGACTGCAGCATGCCAGGCTTCCCTGTCCTTCACTATCTCCCTGAGTTTGCTCAAACGCATGTCCATTGAGTCAGTGATGCCATCCAACTGTCTCATTCTCTGTCATCCCCTTCTCTTGCCCTCAATCTTTCCCAGCATCAGGGTCCTTTCCAATGAGTCAGCTCTTCCCATCACGTGGCTGAAGTATTGGAGTTTCAGCTTCAGCAGCAGTTCTTCCAATGAATATTCAGGGTTGATTTCCTTTAGAAATGACTGGTTTGATCTCCTTGCAGTCCAAGGGACTCTCAAGAGTCTTCTTCAGCACCACAGCTCAAAAGAATCAATTCTTTGGTGTTCAGCCTTCTTTATGGTCCAACTCTGACATCCATCCATGACTACTGGAAAAATCATAGCTTTGACTATACAGAACTTTGTCAGCAAAGTGATGTATCTGCTTTTTAATATGCTGTCTAGGTTTGTTGTAGTTTTTCTTCCAAGGAGCAAAAGTCTTTTAATTTTGTGGCTGCAGTCACTGTCCACATTAATTCTGGAGCCCAAGAATATGAAATATGACACTGTTTCCACTTTTTCTCCCATCTATTTGCCATGAAGTGATAGGACTGGATGCCATGATCTTTGTTTTTTTAATGTTGAGTTTTAAGCCAGATTTTTCTCTCTCCTCTTTCATCTTCATCAAGAGGCATTTTAGTTCCTCGTCACTTTCTGCCATTACAGTGGTATCATCTGCTTACTTGAGGTTGTTGATATTTCTCCTGGCAATCTTGATTCCAGCTTGTGAGTTATCCAGCCCAGCATTTCGCATGACGTACTCTGCACATAATTTAAATATGCAGGGTGACAATATACAACCTTGACATTCTCTTTTCCCAATTTTGAACCAGTCCATTGTAATTAATCTGATATGGTAACCACTGTGGCCCTAATTAGTACCAGAAATAAAAGACTTAAATACGAATGAAGAAAGAATCCTTGGAAGGTAGTTTTTTTAATGACAGTGAAAATGTCCTTAAAAGAGTAATTTGTATATACAAGTAGAACATTTTGGTTAAGAAAGGAATCCCTGCTTGCCTTGGTGAAATCTCCAACCCACACCTTCCCGTAGATAGAGGTCTACAGAGATGACTGACATTTTGGAGCATCCAAGAACAGTAATAACATACCCTTACATTACCTTCACAACACTATAAACATTATCTCTATTAACCCATTCATCTACCATGCATGGGGGCCCTGGGAAGGGAATTTCTATTGTTCCTTTTACAGGTGAGAAAATCAAGGTTCAGAAAGAGTTTGTATTTCACATGGCTAGGACTAGACCTTCTGTGATGCCTCCACTTTTTCTACTAATTTCCTCACCCTGCCAAACCCATCCCCTGGGTTAAGGAACTTACTGAGTTCTCAATTAACCCTCAGAACACTCTGGAAATGTAACACACTTCCCTTGACCTCTGAGATCTAGGGAAACAATGGGACAGAATCAAGCAAGAAGGCCAAGCTGTGCGTGCTAAATCACTTCTGTCTTGTCTGACTCTTTGTGACCCTATGGACCTTGCCCGCCAGGCTCCTGTGTCCATGGGATTCTCCAGGCAAGAATTCTGGAGTGGGTTGCCAAGCCCTCCTCCAAGGGATCTTTCCAACCCAGAGATTTTTCCAACCCATGTCTCTTATGTCTCCTGCATTGGCAGGTGGGTCCTTTACCACTAGCGCCACCTGGGAAGCCTGAAGGGCAAGCTGGAAGGCTGCAAAGCCAGGATCTGAACTTAGCTTTTCATTGTTCCAGAATCCTTACTATTTCTCACGGGGCTACACTATCAGGTCCAGCCCTCAGCCACACGCTGGCCCACAAGGGTCATGGGGTTCCAGGCATCTGAAAACCCCTCACTCTTTGGCCTCCTGGCTGATGGGACTTCTGTGTGGTAATGATGTGAATGATGTAAAAGGAGACCCGTAAAGCAAGGAAGAGAGATGGGTGTCTCACAGAAGAGGCACTGCTAAGAACATAATGGCTGTTCACAACTTGCATCGTTTTATCACGGTCTTAGGGTTCTTGGCGCTAAAGCCATATGTCATCTGCTAACTTTATTTCCTTTCTTAAATCAAAAGAGAAAAGATTCCATGGTGGTGGTGGTTTAGTCACTAAGTCATATCCAACTCTTGCAACACCATGGACTATAGCCTGCCAGGCTCCTCTATCCATAGGATGCTCCAGGACAGAATACTCCAGAATACTGGAGTGGGTTGCCATTTCCTCCTCCAGGGGATCTTCCCAACCCAGGAACTGAACCCAGGTCTCCTGCATTGCTGGCAGATTTGTTACCAACTGAGCTACAAGGGAAGCTCCAAAGACTCCATGGTTGCTCATAAAGCTTTGAGGAGTCAGGTCCATGAGCCCCAAGGAATTCTGGAGGCAGCAGAAACCACTCAATAAAATACAGTAAGGGGCATGGACACACACAGCTGATAACAAATGACAATGCAATCCCACCAGGTCCAGGACCAAGATGAATGACAGAGAGCAAAAGTATCATCTATAGTCTCACCCAGAATGATTTTATAGACTCCAAATTTCAGGTTTCCACAATAAATTAGAATGTTGAACTTGAATGAGGCAAGACACTGGCAGACATAGCAGGATAAAATGTTTTGGGAACACGAAGTAGAGAGAAGAGGGCAGTTTCTCATCAGTTTAAAGAACATGCCACTTTCACCTCTTACTTCAGAAATCAGTCTTAACATCAGGTTAATGTACTGGGAAAATGTGAATAACTGAACTATGTTAGAGTCTCATGAATTCAAGTGAAAGGTGAAGAGAATGTATGGCTAACAATGTGAAGATTTCTATTTAGAAATACTATATCATAATCAAATTCAAATGTGCTTACCCGACAATTTATTTACTACAAGTTTCTGGCCCATGAAAAATTAACAATAAGATAATGTAGTTATTTGTGCATGCTCAATGGATTCAGTTGTGTCTGACTCTTTGCAAATTTATGGACCATAGCCGGCCAAGCTCCTCTGTCCATGGGATTCTCCAGGCATGAATACTGGAGTGGGTTGCCATGCCCTCCTCTAGGGCATCTTCCTGACTCCAAGATCGAACTTGTATCTGTTATGTCTCCTGCATTGACAGTCAGATTCTTTACTACTAGTGCCATTTGGGAAGCCCCCAATTATTTGTATACATAGACAAATATTCTATTGCCTTGTGGATTTAACTGTTTTCATTGGGTTTAAAGACCCAGTTACTGATATCCAGGATTAATTATCCTCTAGGAGTTAAAGGTTTCATATTAAATGAATACTTGTAGAAGAAAAATGTGACCCACAATCTACACCTCTAAAATAAACCTGTTGGGTTACCAAAGGTGGGGGGCGGAGGAAGTAATACACTAATCATTTGTCTTGTTTGCCTTAATGCCAAAGACTTTCATTTTAAAGCAAACAAGCAAGCAAGCAAAATAACTCCTGACTCTTGCAGCCTTGTTAGATAGACAGACACTGTGTGGTTTCCATGAGGGTCACAGTTTCATAGAAGTAATGACATTTGTCCTCTTAGTAGTAGCAGCTATGTCAGTCCATGCTCCCTTAATTAATTCAGAACTCAAGAAAGGAAAAATACAGTGAAGACCTTTGTCTAAAGTCAGTTGCCTTGATTGGGGGAGGGGTGGAGGATAAATTGGGAGATCAAGATTGACATATACATACCACTACATTTAAAGTAGGTAACAAATAAGAACCTACTGTATAGCATAGGAAACTATTCAATACTTTGCAATGATCTATATGAGAATGGAATCTTAAAAAAAAGTAAATATATGTACATGTGTAACTGACTCACTTTGCTGTACAGCAGAAATTAACACAATATTGTAAATCAACTATACTCCAATAAAAAAAAATTAACTAGGGGCTTCTCTGGTGGTCCAGTGGCTGAGACTCTGTGCTCCCAAAGCTGGGGGGCCCGGGTTTGATCCCTGGTCAGGGAACTAGATCCCACATGCTGTAATAAGACCCAGCACAGTCAAATACATAAATAGAAATAAACATATTTTTAATTAGCTAAAAAAGTTATTTTTAAAAAGATCAGTCAAAAAATAAAACACAGTCAGTTGACTTGAGATTACTGGTGAGCAGATACTCACATCTGCTATGAATTTTTAAAACAACCCCCAAATCTTCTTTTCCCAAAAGTTCACCTTAGTTTTGTGTGGAACATGTGCCGTCTCCTGTCATGATAACTGTGGAATCCTATCCCAAGGCCACAGACTCTGAGCCCAGAACCAAGGTCACCTCCGAAGCTGACTGAGCCCCTCTGTAAGCATTGCCAAAAGCCCCCCAATCATCACCAGCAAGCTTCCTGACCCCAAATTAGGTAAAAATGCCCACCCCATGCTCACCCTATTATAGCGCTCTAACCAATCACCTAATACCACCCTTCCAGCAGGAATTTTGTCTTGAGGCTATAAAAATCGACTACTAACCCACAAAGGTGTCGGCTCTCCCTTGAGCCAGCCGGCTGCTCCAACAGCGTCCTATTGGCTCTCCCTGGTCTGCCAGGAGGGGACGGCCAGCCCTGCTAGCAGTGCCCACATTGTTTCTGCTCTTTGTTCTTAGTAAACGCACTCCTTTCTGCAGTACTCTGGAAATTCTTTTTCAACCCCCACTCGGACTGCCATGACAACTACCAACCTCGACATTCTTTCTTCCCAGTATTCCCAACCTCTGGCCTTACTTCCTGAAGCTCCCAGTACCTGTAAGCAGATGACTTTGTCCCCAGGCTGAGCTGAACTGTCTAGGGAGTAGTCCCCATCCTGCCTGGACTGCTGCCTCCCCCGAGTCTTCCCGACTGCCACAGGGTTCACGGCTTCCAGGTGCGAGGGGTTGGGCAGCATGGTCACATGGAGGGGATGGTGCGCACCGAAGTCCAGGTCAACCGAGGAAGTTAGGTGAGACAGGACATCGCCAACGGCTGAGACGTTTTCCGGAAATTCACTTAAGCCTCGCATTTTACGGAACATCAGCTAAGCCGAGTAAACACACAAGAAAAAATGGGAAGAGGTGGTTCGTTTAAATCATACAATCTAAAAAAAAACTTTATGCACATGTTGTATATATATTGTGACCATGCATGATTTAAAGATAAGCACACACTTGTAACTGCTCGAATGCACAGAGCTATTTGGCGATGTTCATCATCAAATGAAGTTCTAACACATTAAGACAAGTCCAGCATGATGCAGACAGTAAGATACCTCTGCCTTGCAATAAGCAAAATTTTTTTCTTAATTGCACCTGTTGGAATGTATTTTCCAAAAGAATTAGTATTCTTGTTAAATTATTAACAGGAACTGCTAATAAGAATTATTCTCGTTTAAGATGGAAAGGGAAATAAGAACTTCATCCCATTTAGTCACAGGATGACATCCACTACTTAGCTTAAGTGGCATCTAAGAAACTATTCTGCAATTCTCAGATTGTAACATCTATGTAAGTTCTGGTACCATTTTAGTTTCAAAATTGTGAAAAATGTATGGATATTTTGAAGATGAAAAGTAACAAAGTACTATGAAAGATTCTAAATATGTTCTCTTTACAAAATATAATGGGTAATTGATAAATCATTGATTTTTAAAATTAAAAAAAGAAACTATATTTTGCCATTCTCAAAGGACTTCTCTGCATACGTTCTGTCATCTCATTTTCATACTCTTCTAAGAGATAGGTGTCACTATCCATTTTAAAAATGAACAAACTAAAAGACTAAAAATAGAGCTGCCATTCAGTTCAGTTCAGTTCAGTCGCTCAGTCGTTTCTGACTCTTCTCGACCCCATGAACCGCAGCATGCCAGGCCTCCCGGTCCATCACCAATTCCCAGAGTTCACCCAAACCCATGTCCATTGAGTCGCTGATGCCATCCAACCACCTCATCCTCTGTTGTCCCCTTCTCCTCCTGCCCTCAATCTTTCCCAGCATCAGGGTCTTTTCAAATGAGTCAGCTCTTCACATCAGAGTTACCATACAATCCATCAGTCCACTCCTGGGCATATATCTGGAGAAAACTCTAATTAGTACAAGCACCCCAGTGTCCACCAGCAGCACTATTTACAATAGCCAACACATGGAAACAACCTAAATATCCATTGATAATGGATAAAAATGGATGAAAAATGGATTTAAAAAATGGATTAAAAAAGTTATATATATATAATGGAATATTACTCAGCCACAAAATAGAATGAAATAATGCCATTTACAGCAACCTGGAAACACCTAGAGATTATCATATTAAGTGAAATAAATCAGACAGAAAATGACAACAGACTTGTGTGTGCAATCTAAAGAAATGATACAGGAAATCCCCGGTGCCCAGTGATTAGAATTCTGCACTTTCACTGCCGAGGGCCTATGTTCAGTCTCTTGTCAGGGAACTAAGATCCCACAGGTTGAGCAAAGCAGACCAAAAAAAAAAAAAAAACAGGAGAACTTATTTACAAAACAGAAACAGATGCACAGACATAGAAAACAATGTTAAAGGGGAAGAGGAGTTTGAGAATTAAAAAAATAAAAAGGATGAGCAAGAGAAATTACTTCAGTTGTTTAAAGGTCCTTGGCTACAAAGCTGGGCCTCAAATCAAACTATCTACCAAAGACATTATATTGTGCTCAATTGGCCAAATGGTTTAAATGACCCAAAAGCTTCTTATCGCCCTCACTGTAAATAGGAGCATACAAACTCACAGGATAGGAAAAGATGTGTTTTTCACAAGCTTCAGTTCAGTTCAGTTCAGTCGCTCAGTCATATCTGACTCTTTGCGACCCATGAACTGCAGCATGCCAGGCTTCCCTGTCCATCACCAACTCCTGGAGCTTGCTCAAATTCATGTCCATCAAGTCAGTGATGCCATCCAACCATCTCAGTCTCTGTTGGCCCCTTCTCCTCCTGCCTTCAATCTTTCCCAGCATCAGGGTGTTTTCTAAGGAGTCAGTACTTCACATCAGCTGGCCAAAATAGTGGAGCTTCAGCTTCAGCGTCAGTCCTTCCAATGAACACTCAAGGTTGATTCCCTTTAGGATTGACTGGTTTGATCTCCTTGCAGAACAAGGGACTCTCATGAGTCTTCTCCAACAGCACAGTTCAAAAGCATCAATTCTTTGGTGCTCAGCTTTCTTTATGGCCCAACTCTCACATCCATATATGACTCCTGGAAAAACCATAGCTTTTACTAGACAGACCTTTATCAGCAAAGTAATGTCTCTGCTTTTTAATATGCTATCTAGGTTGGTTATAGTTTTTCTTCCAAGGAGCAAGCGTCTTTTAATCTCATGTCTGCAGTCACCATCTGCAGTGATTTTGGAGTCCCCAAAAATAAAGTCTGTCACTGTTTCTGTTGTTTCCGTATCTATGTGCCATGAAGTGATGGGACTAGATGCCATGATCTTAGTTTTTTGAATGTTTAGATTCAAGCCAGCTTTTTCACTCTCCTCTTTCACTCACATCAAGAGGCTCTTTAGTTCTTCTTCACTTTCTGCCATAAGGGTGGTGTCATCTGAATATCTGAGGTTGATATTTCTCCCAGCAATCTTGATTCCAGTTTGTGCTTCCTCCAGTCCAGCATTTCACATGATGTACTCTGCATATAAGTTAAATAAACAGGGTGACAATATACAGCCTTGACGTACTCCTTTCCCAATTTGGAATCAGTCTGTTGTTCCATGTCTGGTTCTAACTGTTGCTTCTTGACCTGCATAGAGATTTCTCAGCAGGCAGGTCAGGTAGTCTGGTATCCCCATCTCTTTAAGAATTTTCCACAGCTTCTTGTGATCCACACAGTCAAAGGCTTTGGTGTAGTCAATACAGCAGAAGTAGATGTTTTTCTGGAACTCTCTTGCTTTTTCTATGATCCAATGGTGTTCACAAATATGGTCATTGATAATCATTTCTGTGCTTTTGAGTAACTTCTTTGTCTGGGATATTTTAGGAATGCAATTTTTGGTTTAAGAATTTCTGCAGGTGTCAAAGGACACCTCCATCTGTCAATCATTTTATTCTGTTGTATGGTACCTTTTCTATGGTGAATTTTCAAAGCTGATTATGGCTCTCTTAGCACCAGAAACACTGAAGTATTAACAACAAAGTAAAACTTAGCCCCCATACACGACATCATGTGTGATTTTTTTAATTAAGAAAATTTTTTGGATTGAGGTATAGTTGATTTACAATATTATATAAACTTCAGGTATACAACATAGTGATTCAAAACTTTGGCTATATTGTAGCCAACATAAAATACAGCCAAAATATTGGTTATATTCTCTGTGTTTTACAATATAGCCTTTAGCTTATTTATTTTTTACAAAGTAGTTTATATTCCTCAATTCCATATCCCTATATTACCCCTTCCCATTTTCCCTCTCCCCACTGGTAACCATTAGTTTGTTCTATCTGTGAGTCTGTTTCTTTTTTGTTATAGTTATTAGTTTGTTTTATTTTTTAGATTTCACATATAAGTGATAACATGAAATATTTATCTTTGTGTGGCTTACTTCACTAAGCATAAAACCTTGCAAGTCCATTCCTATTGTTGCAAATGGCAAATTTACATTATTTTTTATGTCTGAGTTATATTCCATTGTGTGTATGTATGCCACATCTTTGTTTATCTGTTGATGGACACTTAGGTTGCTGCTGTATCTTATCAATTATAAATAATACTGCTACGAACATTGGGGTGCATGTATCTTTCCAAATTAGTGCTTTTGTTTTCTTCAAATATATACCCAGGAGTGGAGTTTCTGGGTCATATGATATTTTTTGTTTGTTTTTTGGGTTGTTTTTGCTGCAACACATGGCTTGTGGGATCTTAGTTCTCTGATCCAGGATTGAACCCAAGCCTGGCAGTGAAAGCAACAAGTCCTAACCACTGAACCCCCAGGGAACTACCTAACATTTATAATTGTCTTTAATCTCCTGGCCAAGAATAGCGGTGAGGTCTACCCATGCATAATGGCCATAACCTTATCAGACACTCACCAGACTATTCCCTGTCATTGAATATTGTGCCCTGACGCTCAAGTGCTTCGAGATTTACAGAGCACCTGAGTCAGACTGAACAAGAATACAAAAGATCCAATAACCAATAAAACTACTCACTTCGGAGGATCTCTTGAGATAACAATGTTTTATTAGTTTCATACAATCTATTAACTATAATCTGCAAATAAGTAGAAGGTAAAAATGACTTTCTGGAAGATGAAATTTTATCGAACTGAACAGATCTTTGTGTTTGTTTGAATGATTTCTACGAAATAGGGAAAGCATGCTTCAAAAAACAGAATTTATCTGTTTGCATCATCCTTAGGAAACAAACTAACTTTTAACTTTCCTAAGTGAAGAAAGAATTCCTGTAAAGAGATATAGGAAAATCAACCTAAACACCAGGTCCAACAGCATCAGTTTTCATCAATTAACAAAGCTGTCTCCTGGACCAATGGTTCATATGCTTAGTCGGTTTTCTAAAAGCGATTATTACCATCAACTTTACTCTGTTTCAGTCAATTGCACATCACTGGTGGGAAAAACACAAGGCATTTTACCTCTGGAGGGAACTGCAGAAGGCCTGTCAGCAAGTTCAGCCTCCCTCTATGGGGCATCCCAATAATAACATCCGTTACCCCGCTGTAAGCTGCCATTTTCAGCAGCTCGTAGAAAAAGCCCATCATGCTTTCTGCTCCTTCGCCTCCGTATCGCTTCACTGTGGCAAACTTGGTGGCCAAAAAGTGGTCAAACTCCTATGGAACACCATGTCAGACACAATAGTTACAGGAGAGCTGACTACATGGGTCAAAGTCAAACACATTTAAGGAGACCCCGCACTGCTTCAAGCAGCTACAACAGGGTCTATTCAGTGCAGACCCCAGAGATGAACAGAAGTCACTCAGAGCCTGGAAAGAAAGCCCTGCCGAGGACACCAGGCAGCAGTGGGGACACAGAGAAAACAACCCAAGCGGTAGAAGATCTCACCCCAGTAGGAATCCCATCAGAATGCCAGGCCTTTTCCAGGACTTGAGTTTTAGTTCAGGGCTCTATAGTATTTCATCTGGGCCACAAACTAGCCATCCACCCACACACATTACTGGGGGCAGGGGTCTTGTCATATTGATAGGCTCAAGTCCTGCGCACAGTCCTGGACATTCAATCCTATTAATCTATACTGACAGCCTCTTTCATGTATAGTTCCTTTCTCTTTAAAAAATTTTTAACTTTTTAAAATGTTTTAAAAAAAAAATAAAATGTTTTTTAAACTTTTTCTTTGTATTGGGGTATAGGCAAGTAACAATATTGTGATAGTTTAAGGTGAACGGTGAAGGAACTCAGCCATACATATACATGTATTCCTTTTTCCTTTTTTAATCCCTTCAGGTAATTAAAAGAGGAATCAAATCTTAAGGACTTTGCAGTCTTTTATGAAGGGAAGAGACAAATACATAGAAAGTATCAACTCTGAGGAGAACCAACAGCTCTGGCGGTTGGAGATCTACTTCATTTTACTTAGAATAAAGTGGTGTGTGTTACACTGTCTGTTGTGTTGAGGCCATGGGGGAATTGTGGCTACATTCGGAGAGTTCATATCTTAACTCCCTCTCTTCAATATTTATATGTCTTTGGAGAAAAAGAGCTGAACAATTCCTTTGATGTTAGCTGCTACTTTTATACCTGAGATTCTAACATTAGTTTTGACAGGTGTTTTCGCTCTTCTGTGGTAAATGCCTCCTTCTTCAGTTCCTCAAACCGCTTGGCGAACCAGTCTTTCTCCTCCTGGCTCTGAAGCTGAGAGGTTTCGATAGAAATCTGCCCACAGTATATCTGGTTGAGATAGGCGACAACTTCCTCAAGAGAGGCCTCCTCCTTCCCCATGTTCAATAATCCTATGAAATGGAATCAAAAGGGTCGCTTTAAAGAATAGTCAAACAAATATAGAACATACCAAGATCCTTATCTCAATTCAGAGCATTTCATTCTAAATAACTTGGGTCATCATCAATGGTTATCCAGATTTTTCTAAAGGCAAAACTAAAAATATGGTCAAAGGCCATAAAGTACTAAAAGGAGAGGAAATAAAAATCTTCCCCCAAACAGAGCGATGATTTTTAATGCCAAATTTCAATTCTATAGTCTTTTAAAAGTGAATTTTGGACTTGCCATTCACCTGCTTTATAGCTATAAATAATATGTTCTATCTTGATCTGAAATATCTATCAAAATGTTCAAGTCTTATCAATATCTATAAAGCAATGCCTATTATTGCTCAGTTGATCTTAATGTGAATTAATATTGACAGCAATGCAACATTCTAAGGTAAAAGGAAATCTCCCTGAACCTTAGCCAAAGAAAAGGAAGTTGTGTAATATGTGACTAGCCCAGCACCAAATCAATAACCAGTCTTTTGCCTAAACCTACAATATGAATTTAACAAGCCAACATTTACTTTATATTGTGTACGGTTTCTTATAGTAAGCGTTACATCTTTGACATTGGCTGATCAAAGCTGCAATGAACATGGGAGTACAGATACATCTTTCATGATTTCAGTTCCTTTAGATTTATACTCAGAAATGGAATTCCTGGGTCATACAGTAGTTCTATTTTTAATTTTTTGAAGATCCTCCCTACTGCTTTTGATAGTGGCTGCACCAACTTGCATTCCTACCAAGAGTGGATAAGAGTTCCCTTTTCTCTCTGCATCCTCACTGACACTTGTATCTTTGGTTTTTGTTTGTTTTTTTTTTAATTGAAGAATACTTGATCTACACTGTTGTGTTAATTTTAGCAAAGTAATTCAGTTTTATATACACGCGCACACACACACACACTCTCTCTCTCTCTTTCATTTTCCTTTCCATTATGGTTTACCACAGGATAAACTAGTTCACTGTGCTATAGTACAGTAGGACCTTGTGGTTCGTCCAACTCTGGGGTTTTTTGACAACAGCCATTCTAACAGTTGTGAGGTGATAGCTCATTGTGGTTTTGATTTGCATTTCCCTGATGATTAGTGATGCCAAGCACTTTTTTATGTACCCATTGGCCATTTGTATATATGATTTGAACACAGAGGATATAGGCCCTGTCGGAAGACAGTTCTAGAACCTCAACACTACTCTCCCAGACAGTGTCCAAATGTGCTCCTTACTGTCTCCTCACACCCATGGAAGCCTCAGCTCCAGCGGGCATGACTGCAGTTCTTCAAGAAAGGAGCCCCACTTCACTGGCAGTTAACTAACACACGGACAGTCGACAGCTGATGACCTTTACCTGTGGTATTAAAGGGTCCCTGCAGAGTCTGCAGCAGGGCTTGGATTTCAGGCACGCTTTCCTGTAGGGCTTGACCATTGAAGAGCGGGTTGATTTTGGCAGCTTTATGCCCATGCTCACAATACACCGTCACCAACCTGGCAAGGCCATGGTCCACTGATTGAGTGGAAAAACAACAACAACAATAGAACAACAGTTTAGGAAATGCCCACAAACCACAAAATCAGTTTTCAAAGAAGCCTTTGTGGCTTTGGACATTTTTAACACGCGGTTCTACCCACCATAGCTGCCAGTGGTTTTCAGGATTAAAAACTAGCAGAATCCAGAAAAACACACTTATTTCCTTAAATTTGTCTCCTGAGAGCAAAAGTCATTGAAAAATAACCAGAAGGAACCAGAATTATGGGTACACATTTGTGGAAATAACTATGCACATGGATAGATTTTACAAGGAAACACCCCAAATTGAAAATAACTGTTAAAATGCTATAATTTTAATTATGGATAATTATAGTCCTCTTAATTATTATTTGAGTTTTTTATATTATATATTAAAAAAAACAGAGTTTAAACTGCAAAATCAATGTTACATTTCCTTCCTTAACGTCCTCCAGGTACACATTTTATAGACTCATGAAATCACAGACCAGGAAAAAGACCTTAGAAATGATCTTATTACTACATAATAAAAAACAAAATCCTATTTGTAGCCTTAAATGAGTAGTTCTCCAACCTCTTCTTAAAGGGGAAATCACTATACTTCAATGAATCTAATCCTATCTTAGATTATTTTTTAAAAAATCTTAGATGACTTTATATTAAGCCAAAAGCTGCTTTTCTTCCCTTTTGCACATGAAAGCCCTTCTAAAATTTGGAAGAAAATCCTTCAAGACCACAACTTCCAATATCATCTACAAAATTACATCCTTAGTGGAGTTAAGTTAACGGTAAATATACAGGGTTAGCATCACCATTCTCACCACAGTTTACCAGCCCTCTTTAAAAAAAAATTAATTAATTATATTGGACTTCCTGGTGGCACAGTGGATAAGAATCTGTCTGCCAATGCAGGGGACATGGGTTTGACTCCTGGTCCAGGAAGATTCCTTATGCCTCGCAACAACGAAGCCCCTGTGCCGCAACTCCTGAGCCTGAGTGCTGCAACTACTGAAGCCCTCTCGCCTAGAGCCTGTGCCCTGCAACTAGAAAAGCCACCACAGTGAGAAGTCCGAGCACTGCAAGTAGACAGTAGCCTCTGCTCTCAGAAACCAGGGAAAGCCTGCACAAAGCATCTAAGACCCCACACAGGTAAAAATAAATACAAATAAATAAATATTATTATTATTATTTATGTTTTGACCACACCCGCACCACATGTGGGATCTTATGTTCCTGATCAAGGATCAAACCTGGGCCTCCTGCATTAGAAGCATAGAGTCTTAACCACTGGATGACCAGGGAAGTCCCCTACAAGCCCTCTTGTGAAAACATTCTCTTTAGCAAACCCCATCTAGTTATGAGATCACTGCTTCAGTTTCTCACTGAAAATCCAAGCTTTTAGTGATACTCAGATGGGGGAGTTGGCACAAAAGGATGCTGTTCACCCCAAAGAACACACAGCACCTACTACTCTTGAAGAGAGAGAGGCCTCTTCCCGTCCTACCTCGGGGCACATCCTCCACCCATCCTCACCATCTGTTTTCTCTCAGACTCTTTATTTCACTACTCTGGTTTCTGCTGCTGCTGCTGTGCTCCATCGTGTCTGACTCTTTTCGACCCCATGGACTGTAGCCTGCCGGGTTCCTCTGTCCATGGAATTTTCCAGGCAATACTGGAGTGGGTTGCCATTTCCTCCAGACCCAACCCCGTATCTTTTCCCTCTCTGCCACCTAGATCCTTCCACTGTGACATCTAGAATTCCATCCGTTCCATGATTAACAGACCTCCCTACATTCTTCACCTCTTCCCTAAATGTTCCTTATACGCCTGTCTTCACAGGTATCTGTTTTCCCGTGAGGACACCAGTAAATGGTGCAATTACTCATCACCCACACCCACGCCCCTCCAGGAGGGTGGGTGGAGTCAATGCCTCCTCATTCCTCATTAATCTTTCCCTCCTGTTAGTCCTCTAACTCGCTACAGACCCCAGTCATCTGAGGGACATGACACAGTGCTGATGACTAATCCCCACTGGCCAAAACTCATCATCAGATAATGTTGTAGGAGAATGCCTATTGGATGTGCCAATTTGTTTAGAAGAAAAAAGACTAAAAGACACTATATATCATATGAGCCTGAGCTGTGTTAAAATGTGTGTATTATACCTATATATTTTCATTACAAAGTGTATCTAGCATATTAGTACCTACATACTTCATATATGTCTCTTCATTTGCATACATATTTCATATGTATCAAGGAAATAGACCAAAAAGTTAGTGATGATTTTATGTCAAAATTCCCAATTTTCCTTGCTTATTATATTTTCTAAGTTTTCCATAGTGAACACGTCCAATAGAGCTCTTTATTTATTTATTTATATTTTGGGGGGCCATGCCACAAAGCTTGTGGGATCTGTTCTCTGACTAGGAATTAAATCTGTGCCTGTGGCAATGGAAGCACTGAGTCCTCCACTGGACAGATGCTGAAGGTAAAGCTCCAACACTTTAGCCACCTGATGTGAAGAGCTGACTCACTGGAAAGGATCCTGATGCTGGGAAAGATGGAATGCAAAAGAAGAGGACAACAGAGGATGAGATGGTTAGATAGCATCACCAATTCAATGGACATGAATTTGAGCAAACTCCATGAGATGGTGAAGCACAGGGAAGCCCGGGGTGCTGCAGTCCATGGGGTAGCAAAAAATTGGACACGACTTAGCAACAACTGTGCCTAGACAGCTTGTGTGAACAAGATGATTTAGGCTGAACACCTGCTGTCCTTCTGTGCATCCTCATTGCACCTACTAAACCTCAGCCAGGAGTCCAGCCATACACTATGTGCTATGAGTGCCTTCTGGAGACTCCAAGTGTGGGGTGGTCTTCAGGGCACACATTATGGATGACACAGGAGCTAAGTACCTTAACAGTTGTGCCTTACAAATGCATATGGACAAATGCATATTCTGGGCCGCAGGCTCTGTGCCCCAAATTTCCGGGCTGAAATATAGACAAGTGCCTATTTTGGGTCACAGGCTCCATGCCCCGTTTCCAGGCTGAAATCTGGACAAGTATATTTTTCCGGTCCCACTTTCTGAGCACCAAGTTTCCAGGTTGAAACATGAACAAGTGCATTTTATCTGCGTAAGAGTCAGCAGAAGCCCAAACAGGTTAAGTGACCCGCAGAAAGTAACAGAGTTAATCACAAAGTTGGAATTTGAACTATTTGTACTTTAGTGTACTTCCCTGATAGCTCAGTTGGTAAAGAATTCACCTGCAATGCAGGAGACCCCGATTCAATTCCTGGGTCGGGAAGACCCGCTGGACAAGGGATAGGCTACCCACTCCAGTATCCTTGGGCTTTCCTGGTGGCTCAGCTGGTAAAGAATCTGCCTGCAATGTGGGAGACCTGGGTTCAATCCCTGGATTGGGAAGATCCCCTTGGAAAAGGGAAAGGCTACCCACTCCAATATTCTGGTCTGAAGAATTCCATGGACTGTATATATCTATATTCTCCAGTATATATATCTATATACTCCAGTATTCTTATACTGGAGTGGGTAACCATTCCCTTCTCCAGAGGATCTTCCTGACCCAGGGATCAAACCCAGGTCTCCTGCATTGGCAGGCAGATTCTTTACTATCTGAGTCACCAAGGAAGCCCTTATGTATGGAAATATACCTCCATTTCAATTTAAGATTGTTGATAAATAGAACTCAAGCTTACTTGGAAGCTGAGGTTTACAGAGGTTAAAGTACAAGCTCTTTTACTAATAGCCAACTACAAAGGACACATATCGTGGATCAAATTTTAACTCCTGAAACCACTGCCATCCAAAATGGTCACTAGAAGCAAATTCAAGACCTCTTTGAAGGCTTACTACAGTGAAAACCTTAATAAATGAGGTATTCATCCTATGTTGGCCTTGATACTTGCTTGACCAAGATAAACATATGAAGAAAGAAGCTGATGAAGGGCAGAGAGGAGGAGGAAAGCACCACAACTTGGACTACACCTCCTCCCATTTCTCTATGTACCTTGGACGTGGGAGCTGCCTTGTGTTCATTTTCAGTAGGGTTTGTGAATACATTCTCTGTGTGGGAAGAAAACCTTAGAGTATTTAAATAGCCAAAGGGGTTGAGTGTGGTGATACTAGTTATTTTCCAACATCCATTTTCCTCTTCTCTTTCAAAATAACTTTTAGCTGGAAGGTGGCCACCCTGAAGAAAGACTATGCTTTCCAATCTCCCTTGCAAGGATGTACAGACGTGACCAAGCTCTATTGGACAAACATACCTTATATATACATCCCTTATTGACTATAACGATGCTTGGCCATGGTGGCCACAGACCTCCTGCTAGAAAATCACTTAGTGTGACATAAAAATACAAATTCCTGGACCTCATCTCAGGCCACTGAATAAGAACTGGGATGAGGGTGAGGTGAGGGAGGGCAGCCTGGGAACTAGCCTTTTAAACATCATTCAGGGTGATCTGAACGCACATTTCAGTTTGGGGGAAACTGACATGCAAAATTAGATACTCCATGTGTCAAGTGAAATAAGATATAGTCTTACTCTCAAGAGATTAGCCATCTAGCTGACCAAAATGCTGTTCCTAAAGAAACCTGTTGCACTCAAGAAAGAGAAATCAGTTTTATTCTGAATGTCTCCTGAGATCAAGAACACAATATTGAGGTTTCAGTGTGTGATCTACTACTCAAAGGTCAGGTGTTTAGATGATGAAGGGATCCTAATTGTTAATCCAATAACCGGACCAAAGATATCAAATGGGACCTCCCCGGTGGTCCAGTGGTTAGGACTTCAGACTCTCACTGTCCAGGGCCAGTGTTCAATCCCTGGTCAGGGAACTAAGATCTCATAAGCCACATGGCACAGCAAACAGTAATAACACATAAAAATTAAAAATGCCGGGGAATACATGTAAATCCATGGCTAATTCATTTCAATGTATGACAAAAAACACTACAATGATGTAATTAGCCTCCAACTAATAAAAATGAATGAAAAAAAAAAAGAACTTTCACAACTCAACAATAAAAATAAATAAATAAATAAATAAAAAATAAAAATGCCAAGTGACCTTCCTCTAACGACCAATCTGTGTTCATCTTCTATTCTGTGAGGATGAATAAACATACAATAATTTTGGGGCATAAACCAAATACTCAAAATTGGTCTCTTGTACATGAGGATGCAACTGAGCCTCCAAAAACTGATATTCGTGTCTCCTAATCCATTAAAATCCGAGTAGCATAGTTCTGAATTCAACAAAGAGTTTTAAACTCCTAAAGAGGCTAGACAGAAGAGACGAACGGATAATAAATACCATGATGAGGTCCAAGAACGCCCTCTTCACCCTAGTCACCATCGCGATCCCCACAGATCCCTCTCACACCAGTTTTGGAGACAGCCCTGGAAAATGTGTATCCTTGGGTGAACTCCAGGAGCTGGTCTATCTTAGAACTTTTCCTGCAGCCCCGCCTCCCTAAACAGCTAAGTTCTCACACGTTTTATAACCAGGGAATGGAAAAGACAAAAGAGTTCACAGAACCATTCTGTGACCCGGACCCTGACAAGACGCAGGCTTGTCCCTCTCTGCTCCCTGGCCTCCCCTTCCTCACCACCGGCCTGATCCCACACTGAGGCCCCCAGAAGTCCCAACCCTCAAAAGCACCCACCCCCGGCCCAGAAATAAGACCCCCTGACTCCCCAGCCGCCACGCTCACCGGCCCAGGCCCCATTCTGACCTGGGGGGCGCGCCAGGCCGCCCTCGGGCTCCCGGCTCTCGGGCTTCCTCGGCCGGTAGCCATAGACACCCCTCTCTGTCTGGTAGCCGCGCCGGAGGAAGAGCGGAGCGGCCCGACCGAGGCCCAGTCTTGCTGCTGCCATAGCGGCCCAGGCCATGTCCCACCAGGCCCCCGGTGCCCAGAGATCTGGGCGGGATGTCCAGGGGCCGCGGCAGCAGGGAGGTCGCTCTTGCGCTGACCCACCGCGGGGGAGGTGAGAGGCTGGAGGAGAGAGGCCAGGGGAAAAAACCCGCCCCCTAGACAACACTCCCACTCCTGATTGGCCAGGGCCCGGCCCTTGGAGCCAATCCAGATCAGCGGCCCTCAAAGCCAAGCCGCGCGGCTGGGATCCCGCGACCCTCGCGAGGGCCTGGAGGCTGAGGAAGGTCCTGCGTTTGGGAAAAGGAGGAGTGCTGAGGGGAGCGTACCGGCTTTCTGGTAACCAAGCTGTGTATGCTGGATGTTTCTGTGTATGCTGTAGTCTCCCTCCGGGCGTGATCACCCACCACCCCTCTCAAGGAAGCTCCAGAGCATAGACTCACACGCACCATGCAGTCTCCCACAGAAAGGAAAAATTAGCGGCAGACTGCGTGAAAGGTGGCTGGGACTCAGACCAAGTTCATAGGAAGGAGCCAGAAAATCAATATCCCGTCTCTGTTTGTATTTTTGTAAAAAACATTGAGGGGGGAAAGGTTCAAACAGGGGAGAAGGAGCCTGTACGAAAGCGATAGGAGTGAAGAAAAAAATGGACTTGGAAGATTTTAGATAATTGAGATTCTTGATTGGTCTATCTCTGACAGAGTTTCCCAAACTATTTTATTCCACTACTCACCTTTAATTTTACCAATATGGGGAGGTCTGAATGCTTCCCAGTCGGTCATCCATTCTTCCAGTCACCTGAGCAGCTGCACCCCCATACTCCTAAGAATGTTACACATGTGAGCCTAAGATATCTTTCCACTTCACTCTTTCAGCCCCTGTACGCACAGATCCCTCTGTTGGGTTACACAGATAAATAAAATACAGTGTCTGCCCCTAATCAGGTCCCAGTCCAGTGGCAGACTGAACTCAACACACAATATGAGACACACGGTAATCCAAGTGTGTGCAGGTGCCCTGCAAGCATAGACAGCTGTGTCAGGGAAACCTCTGAGTGGAAGGCACACTAGAACAGAATCTTGAAGACTGAGGAGTTAGGCAAATGTGTAAGAAGAGGAGGCCACCAAGGAGAGGGGGCAAAGCATGAGCCCAGAAGCCGGGGAGAGGTTGCAAGGCATTGCAAGTGATTCTGAGGGGCTGGCAAATTGGGTGTATATTGAGAAATTGGAGTGAACAGGTGAAGATAGTATGAAATTGTTATCGAGGAGAGTAGTAAAGGTAGAATATTGTCTTTAAAGTTTTGAAGCTCACCCCATTGAGGTCGGTGGCCATGAATATAGAGAGAAAGCACTTTCTGCTGCTTTGTGATTTTCTCCTACCTTGGTACTGAGAAGGTCAGAAGGGTGATAATTGGGTTCATTCAGGGCTGAAGTTTTGCAGGCAGATGGGATAGAAAGGCCGAGATGCAAAGACATTTAACATATTTGTTAGAGGACGATTGAAATAACAAAACATGGGGTTTAACCTAACATTTAAAAAATTCTATCAAATATAAGAATGGGCAGATGGTAAAAGAAAAGGGCCAGTCTGTTGGCAGTTCCAATGAGGTAAATTGGTAAAGACTAGGTAAATCGGGAGTTGGTTGAGAATCTCAGCTGGAACAGAAGGTTGCAGACAGGAAACAAAATGTCGAAAATGGTCATTGTAGCAGTGATGCAAATGTTGATACTGACCAGGAAGCTTGTTGGCTAAAGTGGAGTTTGGAAGAGTGTTTTCAGAGGTGAGGTCAAGAAACTGAGAGAACAGGTATTTAGGTTTTTTGAGTTGCCATAAGGACAACCAGCCAGAAACTTCAATGTGCCAGGCGTTCACACACAAACCCTTTTTCCTTTAAAATTTCATTCACACTCATGACTTGAATTAGCAATAAAAAAGAAATGACACCAAATACAAATCACCAGTATAACCTCTCTTCTGAACCCAGGATCCACACAAATGGAATACTGCCTACCAGACATTTTTACTTTTGTGCATCATTATGAGTCCGTGATATACTAAGTGCTGTGATGTTAAAATATGATCCTTTTGCAAACTGGTGACCCACAGGTCCCATCTAAACTGCTTATATGGGGAGTTCTCTGGCATTCCAGTGGTTAGGACTAGGTGGTTCCGACTCTGCTATGGTGCGGGTTCAATCCCTGGTCGAGGGATGAAGATCCCACAAGCCGTGTGGGATGGCCAAAAATAAAAAAATTAATTGCTGATATATGCTTTGTTTGCCATCAGAAAGTCTTAATTTTTTAAATTGGATGCTTTTATTAAAAATGTGGAAGATTGCATATTAAAGTTCGGGTTTGTGGTTTTTCTTAGAGATCTGACCACACTGCACTCACTGTCCTCCATGATGGTGATCGGCATGAGCTGAGTGGTTGCTGGTCTCTCTAGACGGGGTGTGTGGGTACCAGTTTTCAGTTCCCACCTCTCTTACCTTTATATGGTCTGCTTTTCTGGACCCTATAGCTGCTTGTGTTTGCAAACTCTATAGTCTGCTGTGGTTTGCCTGCCTCTTCTTTCACCCTTAATTAGAACCACACTTTCTATGGTTCTCACTGTGAATCAGCAATACTATTTTTGGTTGCTCAAACATCCATACTTTTCCTACTTCATGGTTTTCACACAACCTATTCCCTCTGCCAGGAAGGCTCTTCCTCCTGACCCCATCCCATCACCAGAAAGATTCCTATCCTCCTTCTCCACTGGCCCAGGAGTTACTTTCTACGGGAAAAAAAAAAAAGTGTTCCTGGCCATCTTGGGTAAATTAGTTTTTCCTACTGTATGCCCTCATAGTACTCCATAAATTTCCTTATTTTATTATATAATTTTGAAAAATATTTCTTGAGTACCAGATATATCATAATTGTGGGAATCTAAATTTTTACCCACTTAGAATATTACAATGATTCTGTCTCTACCTTCCCATGCATAATTACATAATTGATTAAATTAATGTAAGCTAAATATAAATATGATGTGCCTTCTTTGTGGGTGGTTCTCCCACTAAATTGTAAATGACAAGAGTGTGCGATTATGTCTGTCTACTGCATTGCTCTGTCCCCAGCACCTTATTTACTGGTGACCTACAGATCCCATCTAAACTGCTGATATGGGGAGTTCCCTGGTGGTCCAGTGGTTAGGACTCAGTGCTAAGGTTAGGACTTGGTGCTAGGGTGTGGGTCCAATCCCTGGTCGGGGAACAAAGATCCCACAGGCCACGTGAGGTCAAACATCCAGTAATTCACCAGTATGTGATGAGTAAAAATTTTGAGTATGAGTTAATGAAAGAAGAATATAGGATGCAGTGATTGGATATGAAAACTAAGTGGGGAAGTGGGGAAACAGACTTCTTGGCTTCTGACTTGAGACACTGTGTGGTTGGTGATGCCATTAACAGATAAAGGTGCACAGGACCAACAGAAGGCTTTGAGACAGGATTAATTCCATTTTGGACCTTCTGATACTCAATGTTTGTGAGACTGCTGAGTGTAGACATCTGGTACATAATTGGACTCATGGGTCTAGAGCTCAGAAAACTCTTCAAGGTGGGTAATAGCAACTTTATTTTGCACATTTGAGGGCTGATAAATCCAAGGCACATACAACTAATAAGCAACAGAGATAGGACCTACATCCATATTTTTAGCCTTGACATTAATACAATCCAGTCTCTTCCTTATTGCTATGATACTTGTTATATTATAAAAACCTTATTCATTTTAGAGATCTGTCCTTCTAAAACCTCCATTCTTTTTTTTTTTTCTTTCTTTAGTTTATTTGACTACACCATGTCTTAGTTGTGGCATGTAGGATCTAGTTCCCTGATCATGGTCCCTGCATTGGGAGTTTGGAGTCTTAGCCACTAGACCAGCAGAGAAGTCCCCAAAACCTCTGTCCTTGACAAAACTTGTAATAAAGTAATACATTTTAAAATACAATCTTCAGTTTCTATTCACCAGTCCTTAAATTGAAGACAATAATGCAATGCACTCTTAGACTTGGGTTCCAGTATAAAATTGTATAATGCTTTTCTATCAGAACCAATATGTTTTCAAAAGATAAAGAATAGGTATAGTGATATGAGATCTGGGTCAGAGAAACCAAGATTTGAATCCAGGCCCTGCCACTTATTACTGTAGGAGAGAAGAAAATTTATCTTCTATCCATTCATGTTCTGCTTCTGAATGAATTAAACTGAGAAAAGACAGATTAAAATAAGAAAAGGCGTATATTTCTTTCCTTTTCGGTGTGTGTGATCAAGCAGCCTGTGGAATTTTAGTACACCAGCCGGGGATTGAACCCATGCCCTCTGCATTGGAAGCATGGAGTCTCAGCCACTGTACCACTGGGGAAATTCCAGCATATATTTATTGGTGTTAATATTTTTCATGCATGGGGGCTTAAGAGAAAGGAATGAAAATCCAAAGGGGTGACTAGACTTCGGGCCTCGTATGCTGTTTTAACAAAGGGTAATACACAATGTTATGAAGAAGACACTAGGCAAAGGAAAAAAGTTTTGAGCTCCTAGGAATGGTATACTGTGAAAAGTGACTAGAAAAGGTGTGATAGAGAAGGGTTAGCATTTGGTATGGTTTCTTATGCAGACAGACTCCATTCATCTCTGCTGGTAAGAATCATTCTCCTCTTACTAGTATGGGAGACAGGAAACTTATATCATCTTTACAAATGGAACTCTATGTCATTTTTACAAAGGGAAATTTGTGCCTACTTTTAGGTAGAAAGGGGGAAGCCAGTTTCTCAATTGCTTTCAGCTTAAAATAATGAATATGCCAAAGTGAAATATTTGGGGTAGCATGCCCTGATCCCTTCACTATATAGGCCTTAGGCAGATTCCTTGAATGCTTAGTCTATATAGTTACTTGTAAAATATTTAAGCATATATGTAAAACACACAAAGTTCAGTGATTAGGTGCTCAATAAGTGTTAGCTACCACTATTATTATT